ATCATCATGGGCATGGATGATACGGAGCTTCCAGTGGTGATGCTTGTGTTTTGTTAGGGAGGGACCTTTGTGTTGCACCTTTACTGCTCTGCTCTGCAGCTGCCGCCGAATTGATGGCGCCATGTCCACGTTTCTTCGTTTCCCCCAATTTCGGTCTCCCACTGCTACCATCCCACAGCTCTCTCTCTCTCTCTCTGTTCTTTAATAAGACGTCTTGATGCGTCCACATTCTAGATTACTTCAAAGCTTTCGCTCAGCTCGGATACAAACACCTCGATCATTTCTTTCAAGGCCTTTCTCCACATACAGACCAATGGCGCAAGAATACAAGCTCAAGGGCGTTTCATCGCTCGACCTCTCCCCAGGCTCCAAGCAGGAGGTTGAAGTCGAGGGTATCGAGAACGGCAAGGTTCTTCTCGTCAACACTGGGGGAAAGACCCAAGCTCTAGGTTCCAAGTGCACTCATTATGGTGCACCTCTTGCAAAAGGTGTATTGACTAGCGACGGTCGCATCACATGCCCATGGCACGGAGGTATGTCCGAATGCAGTCCTCACCCATTTATGCTTGTACTAACTGATCGTAGCTTGCTTCAACGCAAAGACCGGCGATATTGAAGATGCCCCCGCCCTCGATCATCTTCCCGTCTTCCAAGTCGCCGAACGAGACGGCGCGGTGTACCTCACCGGAGAGGAGAGTGCCATCAAGTCATCCAAGCGACAGCCCAATGTCAAGTGCGCCGTATCCGGAAGTGTCCAGGAAGACCATGTCGTTGTCGTCGGTGGTGGTTCAGGAACACTGGGTGTCGTCGAGAGCCTTCGCGAGAATGGATACAAGGGTGGTATCACCGTCGTCTCCAACGAGGGCTACTACCCCATCGACCGAACAAAGCTGAGCAAGGCTCTCATGACCGACCTCAGCAAGCTGCAATGGCGAAACAAGGATTTCTACGAGGGCGGCTCTATCAAGTTTGTCCAGGGCGAGGTCAACAATGTTGACTTTTCGGGTCGCTTCGTTACCACCAGCGAAGGCGAGAAGATTGACTACACCAAGTTAGTCCTTGCTACTGGTGGAACTCCCAGACGACTTCCGCTCGAGGGATTCAAGAACCTCGACAACATTTTCACTCTCCGAAGTGTTCACGACACGAAAAAGATTGTCGAGCAGATTGGTGAGAAGGGCAAGAAGATTGTTGTTGTCGGATCTTCATTCATCGGAATTGAATTGGCGGTCGCGACAGCCGGCGATAACGATGTGACCGTCATTGGTATGGAGAATGTTCCTCTTGAGCGCGTCCTCGGCGAAAAGGTTGGCTCAGGGCTTCAGAAGGCGCTTGAAGGCAAAGGTGTCAAGTTCTACATGGGCGCAAGCGTCGACAAGGCTGAGCCCTCTGCATCTGACGCGTCCAAGGTTGGCTCCGTATCGCTCAAGGATGGGACCAAGCTGGAGGCGGACCTCGTCGTTCTTGGTGTCGGTGTCGCACCTGCTACCCAGTTCCTCAAGAACAACAGCGGCATCAAACTGGAGGACGATGGTTCTATCAAGACAAACGACGACTACTCTGTTCAAGGTTTGAAGGATGTTTACGCCATCGGCGACATTGCTACGTTCCCCTACAACGGCCCCGGAGGTGAAGGCAAGCACGTACGAATTGAGCACTGGAACGTTGCTCAAAAGGCGGGCCGTATCGCGGCGAACCACATTGTCAACCCTGGCGGCAAGACTGAGCACTTTATTCCCGTTTTTTGGTCTGCTCTGGGGGCTCAACTACGATACTGCGGCAACACCATGGCCTCTGGCTGGGACGATCTTGTCTTGGATGGTAGTCCGGCCGAGAATAAGTTTGTGGCGTACTACTGCAAGGGCGAAACGGTCGTCGCCATGGCCAGCATGGGAAGAGATCCAGCCATGGCCCAGAGCGCAGAATTAATGCGGGTTAACAAGATGCCCACCAAGACGGAGCTCCAAGAGGGGACCAGTGTAGTGTAAAGCTTGGCGCAACGGGAGCGATGCGACCGGTTGAACTATGATGAGGCTATGAGCTTAGATCGAGATGACAGGTACAGAATAGGAAATCGTTTCATCGGTAATGAAGCTTAGTTGAGCAGATAATTCCGAGCGTCCAGTTACATCTCACGGCGGAAGATAGTCCCCGGGTTCGGGAAGTCAATGACGTACGGAGCAGGGATCGTCATGATGGCATCAACTCCACAACACCACACAGTCATGGTGACGATACTACGTATGACGGGTAGAAGATTATTACATGAAGTCATGATGAATAAACAAAAATGTTCATAAATACCGCCTCTTGCCGTGCCATCAAGGTGCTTTCAGTCAACAGTATATCGCATTAGAACTCTGTTACAATGACTACTCAAGCAGCTTACCAGGCCGAAAAGGTCATTGGACATGGCGATAATGCCGTCACAGCGCAGGATGTCACTTCATACCATGAACCTGGGGCCGGCGAGTCTGGAGAGACTATGAAGGCTCTCGCATGGATCAGCAAGAACAAAGTCCAAATGGGTACGTCTCACTCCATTACATGCATTACACAATCACCTAACACCAACAGTCGACGCCCCCAAGCCCAAGATCATTGAAGACCGCGACGTGATTCTCAAAGTAACAGGCAGCACCGTCTGCGGCTCAGATCTGCATCTCCTCCACGGCACAGTTGTGCAGCTCAGCGAGGGCGACATCCTCGGGCATGAGTTCTGCGGCGTGGTCGACCAGGTCGGTTCAGCCGTCAAGGGCATCGACGTTGGAAAGCGCTACGTCGCATCGTTCCAGATCGCGTGTGGCGATTGCTTCTTCTGCAAGCAGAAGCTCTCGTCGCAGTGTGAGAAGACGAACTCGAACACCACTGAGAGGGCCATGTATGGGGGTCGCACGGCGGGTATGTTTGGGTACTCGCATTTCACGGGGGGGTTTGCGGGTGGTCAGGCGGAGTATGTGCGTGTCCCACTGGGGGATGTGAATCTGTTGGAGATCCCTGATGATGTGCCCGATGAGAAGGGTGAGTACTTGTCTCTGTTGAGTGAGCTATGCTGACATGTTCAGCGCTGTACCTGTCTGATGTACTGGCTACGTCCTACAACGCTGTCAAGGACACAGCCGTGTATCCCAACGACTCGGTCGCCATTTTCGGCGCTGGCCCAATTGGCCAAATGGCTGGTGTCTTTGCCATCAAAGAGGGCGCAAGCCAGATCATCTTCGTGGATACGGAGCCACGCCTGTCGTTTATTCGAGACCACTGGCCCGCTGAGCACAAGGACAAGCTTGAGCTGGTAGACTACAAGCACTTGTCGCACGGGGTGACCAACAAGCCTACCGTTGTCAGCCGTCTCAAGGAACTCACTGGGAACCGTGGACCTGATTGCGCGATCGAGTGCGCAGCTGGTGAGTATGCCAAGGGCTGGATGCACTGGCTCGAGATGGCAGTTGGGATCGAGACGGACACGAGCGAGATTATCAATGAGATGATTGAGGGTGTGCGAAACTATGGACGATGTGGCGTTACTGGTGTTTACGTCGGCTACGTAAGTCTTGCCAATCGCTCTCACGACACGCGACTAACATGACTAGACCAACCACTTCAACATCGGCTCTCTTATGGAGCGAGGCATTCGTCTCATCGGCAACGGCCAAGCGCCCGTTCACAAATACTGGCATGAGCTTCTTGCGATGATTCAAAAGGGCGAGCTTGATCCTGGCCAGATGCTGTCACACCGTGTTAGACTGGAGGATCTGGATAAGGTGTACTACAAGTTTGAGAAGAGGGAGGATGGGATGCAGAAGATCTTTGTGGAGACCAAGTTTTCGTTCCCTCAGGACCCTAGCACGCCTAGTCTGACGACTTATTGATGAGATGAGGATAGTGATGAGTTATGAATTGAGTAAATGAGAATGATATATTTGGTCAACTATTTTGGTGGTGTTTTGTTATCGCGTGTGGTGAGATACGTTTCGCACGGACTAATCGGGGTGATAAGATAAGATTGTGGAGGCATACTCCAGTTACTGCAATCGCCCGCCAGTCTACGGAAGTTCGCGACATCAGAAGCACACTATTCTTGGTCCAAAGGAAGTTTTGTATTCGGCTATCTCTTATGGCCAATGCAATGGCCGCAAAAGGTTGCCAACTGCGCTGGAGCTTACCGGAGACATGTATTCCCATTCTGCATCCGATGGCCTTCAAATTCTGGGTGAATACTTTCGATCTTACGATTATAGCTTCCTGTGTTATAATTTTTTTGATTGCTAAGACTGCGGCAAATTGAAGTCTATGATGGGCTAAATACTGATGATGTGAATGCAGTGCTAGACCAACACTTTGATCCTGGTCGTATATTGAACCTTCTTTGCTTCAACAGCGACCTACATAGCAAGACAACTGTTTGGAGGTACTTAGTAAACCATAGAAACCACTCACTAGGCCACTGAACTCGACCAGAGCAGCTCAATTTACACTCTTTCTCACTGAGCACGTTTCTGTGTAATTGAGACGGCTACAGACAGAGCTTGGCGCACCAGCCGAACCAAGCCCTGATATGAATGAGCCAACCCAAGCGCTGGGACCTCTCGGAAAAGGCAACCTGGTCTCACAGATACAAATAAGCAAATCTATTGGCAGATTATTTCTAACCTCTTACACGTTTGCTCCATCCCTGCCAACTCGACGCCCAACATCAAATCACGTGTCGGCCTCCTTTTAAGCCTTCAACTTGCAACGACCAACAACTTCACTCTTCCTTTATCCCTTCTACCCCGCATGGATCCTGCCGAGCGTCTACCACCAGAGATCTTGAGAAAGATCATCTGGGATCTCCCAAAGTCATATCATCAAGGCATAATATGCGGACTGCGATGGAAAAAAACATTGCGGCTCAGCACCGTCGCAACAGTATCACGGCGCTGGCAACAGCTCATCGAACCATTGCTATTCAGAGACCTGCACTTGAGAATAGATAAAGTACTAGAATCCAGGTATGTCACATGCTTGACACCACAAAGACTCTTGTACGTTCGAAATGTCACGGTGAAGTGCGTTCTTGCCAGCCATATATGCAAATATCCGAAGGGATTCTCGAAACCCCATGGAGACTGCGACTTTCGTCAACATCATCCCGGTGATGAACGAGAATTCAATGATTTTGTAGAGAGAGTTTTTGGAATTCTTAAAGATCTCCCACGTCAAGAGAAGCCCTACATAGAGTTAGTCTTTGAGATGTCAAGCAGTGGATCTCGCGTCACATTCACGCAAAAAGGAATGCAGTACATGGAGCTCTTTGACACGTGGAAGGATTTCCCAGAACTCCCTATGATATCAGTCTTTAGAGCGTGCGGATCTACTGATACACCTTCGTTCACGCCTGGGGATATGTGTCGGCTTGCAAGTAAGATGCCACGGTTGGAGAAGTTTGGGGTGAGGGCAATAGAAAGTATACGAGAGTATGTCTATGGGGATGCTCTAGTCAGAAACGGTAAGAGTGATTCTTTATCACTGATACCTGTCCCCGCTAACAGCATTGTAGACCTTGCCAAGTCTTTGGATTTGCTACCAATAGCTGTGCAAACGTTGCTTATCGACTACCAGCGGGAAAGGATCCCAGACCAGACTTTTGAGCCTCTAAGTATCATGGCAGCTGATTCAGACGCCGATGTTCTCTCCGAAGCCGTACAACGACTTACCCAGAGAAGCGGTATTCGAGAGATCATCCTTCTTGCAAGCATCGACAGTGCTGTATTCCAACCTACGAAAGCAAATCCTTGCTGGCCGACCCTCGAGAGTTTCACATTCGCATTTTGCGACGTTCTTCCTTCTGGTGAATGGGTAGTCACTGGTGAAAATCCTTTATCAGCAGAAGAAGAAGAACGTCAACGACAGGAGACCCGCGAATGGGCGACTGATGGAATCTACTGCCCCCCAGGCTGCGAGATAGAGAACAGCTTCAAATCTCGCATGAAAGAGGCAGTCATGGATCGTTTTCTTGTGGCGGCGGCAAATGCTGTTTGCCGCATGCCCAAGATTAAAACTCTCTCAGTTCGACATGTCTTTGATCCTACTGATTTTGAAGGGGATATATCGCGTGCGGGGTTTAGCTTCAGTACGGCAAAGGGCCTGATGGTGCTTGGGAAGATGGATATCCCTGTACTTGGTAGCGATGTTCTGGAGGCTTGGAGAACGGCTGCGAAAACTCATGATGTTGTGTTTGATCGGTGTCTAACAAATGAGTTGGAGGTCGCGGGGAGATATGCCAATGAGTTTGGACCCGAGTTTCAATGGGACGACCAGGATGTTTATTTATTCTAAGCCACGAATAAGAGCCAAAAGAAAAAGCACAAGCAAAAGGAGACAGATCTTTGGAAATGGGTTACTTGACAATTGCTTTCAAACTTAAGGGTTCAAATCATGAAATACCTTCTCCAAGTGATTGAACACTGGAGCACTTGTTACATGTTATCCAACTGGCTACATCAGGATCCATAAAAGCAAGATGGTAATGCGCGGTCGACAAACGTTGTCAAAAAGAGCAAAAGAATGGTTCCGCCCGGGCTCGAACCGGGGACCTTCTCGGTGTGAGCGAGATGCCATAACCAGCTAGACCACGAAACCGCGACTTTCAGGAATAGCTTCCTATTGGATGCCAGATTCAAGAAACATTTTTGACTATAGACTTAACTAGATTGTTCCTCTTTGCCAAGTGATCTTCTAGTGCCGCGGTCTTTTTATGTTGTTTGGAGGGGTGAGCCAACGAGAAGGATTTTAGTAAATGAACTGGAATTGTGCTTACTGTGCTATGCTCTTATAATTATCTTAGAAATAAGCCTCTTCTAAGTTCTTAAAGTTCTAACTTCTATACAGTAAATTAGCCAATGGCCTCAGGTGCAAATAGCACATCTTGCTCAGTTCTTAGAGAAGGTTTGTTTACAGAACTTAGAAACTTATTATTTTACTTTCTCTAGAGTTACCTGTGCCTATGAAGTTGCATAGGATTTACCACAAAGCCTTCACATTTGTGCTTTAGAGAAAGCTTAATATAAACAGCATTTCAAACACAAACTTTATATCTCACTTACGTAGCCTCTCCGGGAATTTGAATAAGTATAAAATGCTCCTATCTCCCTCTTCCTTACGCCTGCAGACCCATTCGTTTTATCATTCATTCTAATAATTGGTTACCTTCTCACGAACTCAACAATGGCTATGATCTCGAACAACACTCCTTCAACTGAAGGCCACATACCACCTCCACCCAACGTCCTTGGTGCTCAGAATCCTAGACAAAGTTCTTCTTGCGAGACTAAAACAGATAAATCTACCGAATCGACTGTCTTTCACCTGGAGGCCGCCTGGGGCACTGAGACAATGGACGTATCATTGAAAGTCGGAGCTGCTGGCTTCGCCCTTATACTTGCCTTGGCCTTGCTCACTTTGGTAGCTCTGGTAGCATTGGCAGAAGCGGTTGCTTTCACCACTTACCTGACTCCCTTGAAATTATGGGTTGTGGTGTTTATCTTGGTGCTGCTTTGGGTGCTGCTTTCGGTGGTTGTAGATGATATAAGGGGGTCGGCCGACGTGAGGAGTGGCCATTAAGACAACACGGGGTGCTCTTACATAAGTCTGAAGCATTTCGGGTCACAGCCAACTCCACGACCTCGAAATCTATGCACTTTTGCTCTAATTTTCTTACAAGTCCTTGGGAGGAATGTCTCGAAACATCAGCTTGCGGCTCACCGTAAAGATGGGCCAACACGTTCTTTGCGCCCTTCGGCCTCAAAAGGGGTGAACAGAACCCACCATCTTGCCAGCCCTTGACATGACGTTCCGAATAGGGTTTCAAGGCAAGAAAAGGATATCAGAAGCACCATGGCGTTACGAAAATGCCTAATCTTGAATGTATTCATTTACCAGACTCTGTTTCTCTGTCCCTTGCGTCAGCCGTAGGACAGACAAGTTATGTGCAGGGCCGGAAGGTTTTAATTCTTCGCCTAAACTCTTCAAACAATGATCATCTTATGGAAAAGGTGGTCAAGACTTTTGCCACAGTTAAAATATAACGGCCATTGACTGACCCTGAGCGGCCACGCCGAAGCAGGCTGATATAATTGGTTGTAAAACTTATATCATTACAGGCAACCTAAACTTGTTCTAATCGGATTCTGTTGTTTTTGACCATACGAGCATGACTATTTCAATGCCTGAAGTGATCAGTGGGATTTATAATTGCTATTGGTTTTGTGATGACCCTGGCTAGTCCCTGAATGCGACTGATCCTGAAGACCATTGCTTTATGGAGACACACTCTATTTCTACGACATGACAAAGACTATCAGTTGTTTCGTGCATCTCCATCATCATCTCCGACTCTCCTGAACCGCTTAGCCATAAAGATAAACAGCCCACCCAAAAAGAGCGATGCACCAGCAAAGATCTGCGCACCCAGATAATGACCCCCAGAGTGTCTAATAATCATACCAGCGATAGGCGGCCCAGTAAGAGTTGCAATACTGTTCGTCGTAAAAATCATGCCCATCCTCACACCTGTCTTGTGCACATCCGTTGTCAAATCCGACAAAGCTGGAGGGAACAAACTCATGGATGCTCCAGCCACAATGCCGTAAATACTAGCCCATACGTACAAACCCGCTTCTGTGGACACTGCTGGCCACGTGAATAAACAGATCGATGAGATAAACACGACGGGTATGAGGACTGTGATGCTTCCGAAGCGATGTGCGATGGCGTTTGGTAGTGAACGACCGATGATTCCGACACCGTTGACGACAAGAAGGACATTCAATGCGGCCGAGTATGTGAGGGGTTTTTCCAACTGCGAAACTGCAAAAGAAGCAAGGTAGTAGAACGGGAAGAATGTTCCCCAAAATGTCTATTCCAGTTAGTATGCACATACGCCTTAGCAATAGCACAGACTTACGAAGAAGATTCCGATGGCAAAGAACAAGTACCCCTTTTCTTTGAACGACGCTAGATCGATCCACGGCCCTGACTGTCTCGGCGGTATTCTAGGTCTCAGGAGTAGATTCGCCATGACCAGCGTGATGAGCTGCACCAACCCCATAGCTCTAACCGTCCAAGCAAAACCAATACTCCCAAGAAGCTGACGAGCCATAGATGGAAATATCAAACCACCCGTGGCACTTCCAGTGGCAGTGATTCCAAAGGCCAGGGCCCTTCTCCGCTTAAAGTATGTAGAAACAACAGCAAGACTAGGAGTAAACATCAGACCGTTACCCAGCCCTGTGCAGAGACCCTGTGAGAGGAGGAGTTGCCAGAATGTCGTACTGAGAGAAGTCATGAATACACCAAGACAGGTGAGAAGTGTGCCGGCAGCAAATGTGATGCGAAAGTAGCCGGCGTCTGTAAGGCGACCAGAGAGGGTTCCTATAAAGAACAGGGCAGAGATTTGGACCGATCCTATCCAGGATATTTGGCTGGCTGGATTATCGAGGTGTGCTGCGTAATAGGTCTGAAAGACGCCAAAAGAGCTGTTGTACCCCCTGATAGAACGTTAGTCCTGTTAGTGCACAGAGGATCCAACTTTGACATACCATGAGTTTAGCATGACTATATGCCCGGCAATGGCTACAAATAGGTTAGTGCTGCATTTGGCCCTATTTATAAAAGAGCTTACCTGACGCCCAGGCCCAAAAGCCACCATCGGGCGGAGGTCCATGGTCACTGTCCGCAACCGAAGTGCGACTCATGACACGATCCAAGACGGAGAGTCTGTCCTGTGGCTGAGTGTATCCATCTTCAGATATGTCGTCCTCCTTCTTTTTAAACTCAATCTCATCACCATTACAGCCATTCCAGGCTCCTTCGCTCAGAAATAAATGCCTCTCATATTTTCCATGGCGAAGAGACTCATCGCTTTCCTGAAAAGGTGGCTCGGTTGTGTCTTTATTCTCATGCGATGATCGATGCGGGGATGGCATTTCTGTGAATAGGGAAGAAGAGGGACGCATGTGGAAGTCTTGGAAGGAGAGGTCCTCAGAAGCTTGAAGAAAAATATTTCATAGAATGTCAAGAGAAGAGATTAAGCTAATCTCAAACCTTTTTAAATATCTCTGGTCGCACTAACTTATTTTTCTCATGGCCTTGTAGCCGAACATAGCCAGGAAACTGTCCGTGGAAATCATCCGAGCCAGACATCTGGAGCGCTAAGAAAACACAAAATAGCCCGAAGTCTGTAAGTGACGTAGAATGTTTCTAACGTAACCGAATGATTTGTACTCATCATAGCAAACGTCTATGTTTGTGTCATGGCCACGATTCTAGAACGTCTAGTATGCCACCAATTCCTCGCTACTTACAAGCTTTGCGACAAAACGGTCAAGACCCAGCACTGTGCTGCTGATTGGCCAATCAGCAGCAACTGCACAGACTCACAGTGATGTTCTCATTCGCTTATCTAATCTTATCTGATCATCAGACAATCAATCAGCTGCGTCTCCATCTCCATCACCATCACCAGATTCCCCTCCCCTCAACAAATCAACCATGACTCTCGTCCCAATAACTCTCGAGAGCGCTAACGCGCATAACTCATGCCAAGTCTTATTCCCTACCCGACGAGGTGATTATCTCATCCAGGTATCGTGGCCTCTTTGTTGGAACGATCGCGCTCCAGTAAATGACGATGCAGTCGTCTCCACTGTGTAAGAAAAGCCTCACCGAGAACACAAACGGGGGATGGGATTAATCTGGATCAGGTATATCGTCGATGGAAATGCCTACTTTTTTACGGCTACGGATATCGCAAGAAGATTGGAGTTTATGCATCAGACGAGAGCTGTAATCGTGGCTGTTGGGTATCCTGACAAGACTTGTGTTTTTGACAAGCGGCGGAATGGAGACTTGACACCGGAGTCTTGGGATGGGGTTTATGATATCCCGCCCGGACCGGATGGGAAACCATCGCTTGGTCCTTTTGGCGGCGCGTCAGACTTTCTAGATATCATCAAGAACGACATCCAGCCGTATATCGAAAACACGCTCTTCCCGAATGCATCTCTGGGAACAGGTCCCAAGGCGCTCTTCGGTCATTCTTACGGCGGTCTCTTCACCCTCAACGCGCTGTTCACAATGCCAGAGTCTTTCGACACATTTATTGCTGCGAGTCCGTCCATCTGGTTCAACAATTGCAGTATCGTTCGCGACCAGGAACAGCGCTTCAATGAGCGTGACCCTTTGACCAGTCGCGCGCCAAGATTGCTGGTCATGTTTGGTGGAGCGGAACAGACGCTGATTCAATTGCCTGGTGAGTCGGATGAGAAGTTTGAGAAGAAACAAAAGGGCGCGACGCTGCGAAAGATGAGGGATAATGCTCTGGCGTTGGTGGCGAGGATGCAAGAGTCGCGTCATTTGAGAAATGTTTGGTGCTGGGAGTTTGAGGGTGAGGATCATGGTTGCGCGGCACCGTGTGCGTTGCAGAGAGGGCTATTGAGGTTTCTTATGGATCAACGTGCGGGGCAGTAAGTTCCGAGTAACCAAGGTATATTTATTCTATCTCTGCCAAACATCAAATGGTACTACTAGAGCTAACACATGGCGAGTAGGTAGCAGAATTGAAAACGCAATCAGGTCTATCGAGGTGTTCTACGGGTGGCCGCTGTCTTGTCTTGTCTTGTCTTGTCTTGTGTATCATTTCGTTCCTCTCTTCTTTGACGCTTCTCTTGGCGCTCTTTTCTGAGGCGCCTTTGTCTTGGTGACGCGTCCAGTGGCAACCTTCTTTGTTGACTTCTGGACAGCCCGCCAGTTGAACTTTGCGGGGTCAAAGGGTGGACGATGCACCATGGGCTTGGTCTCGGCGTCGTAGACGAGCATAGGAAGGACAGGCCCGTATGACTGAGGCCTGGGCCGAAGGCGCTGGTACATATCGTCGCTTTGCCGTGCCACAAGGTTGTGTTTCCGTAGGCGCGGCACTGTGCGTTCTGCTTGCTTGTCGAAATCATCGAGAATGGTTTGGAAGCATTGAAGGTCCCATGCCGCCATGCTCTCAAAGCTCCAGGGAGGTCGGAGGCCGCTCTCTGGACCCAAGATATGGGGGATGGTCCAGGCGAAGCTGAAGCCTACAAGCTGTCCGTCTAGGTACTGCTGCCACTTGAGATCCCGAATCACGATGCCTGACTTGTGCAACTCTCGAAGATTACGCAGCAGCCGAGGCAGGTGTCCAATGCTTTTCTTAACCACCGCCCAGTCTGGCCTTGGAGGCGGCCAACGCACCAACTTTGGACCCTCAGAAGAGGGCACCCACTCTTTGACGATGGCCATCATGGGTATGCGGAGATCGTCGTGCTGCAAGAGGCAGCTGATCACACCTTCATCGGTGGGTTCTTTGTTCCCTCTAAAACCTAGAGTTTTTCTTGCGCCGTTTCCAAATAGTAGGAAATATCGCTGGACCTTCTCGTCGCTGAGATCGAATTGCAGGTATCCATACGACTTGACGGCGAGGTCTTCACGGCCTAGCTCCTTCAGGCGCCCAAAGACACGGCATTCGTTGTAGAACGAGGTTGCATGGAGGCGCAGACTATCAATCGTCGATGGGGACATTTGACCCATTTCTTCGGGGGGCTCGTATCCGTCGTCCAGGTCGTGCGTCTCGTCGTTAATAGGGTCCATGAGGAAGCTTGGCTCGCGGGCCCAGAGACTAAAGAACTAATGGATGAATGGGATGGTTAGATAATGGAGAAATAGAAGAGGGGGCGGGAGCTTGAATGGTAAGCTTACCAGCTTGATAGCGTAGACTTGGCCATTGATTTCGACTTTCCAAACTTGAGAATGACATCCAGAGCCGAGACGCTCGATAAGTTTGAAGTCGCAGGTTGTGGTATCGTCAACGAAACACTCGAGCTTGGGACCTTGGCAGTCCGGGAGCGGTTTCAGCTGAGGCATGAGAAGATTTGTCGGTTCACGGTGGTATGTATGTGAGGTGTTGTTTCAGTATCTAAGACGTAGGGGTCACAGGGATCTGAACGAATTTGGATTTTGATGGGTGTAGAATACAACACGACATGGGACGTGTTTATATGTTAAAACGCATTGAACACCAGACTAGAGCATGTGGCGCAATTGTCAAAGAAAGAGAGTCCAGAAATAGAACAGCATTCGTCAAAGAGGGACGTTATAGAAATAGCGCAGGACTTCTCAAAGGGGAGAAACATACGAACAGTGCTCTCGTTGTCAAAGGGCAGACTATGTGAACAGAACAGTACCATAATCGAGGAAAGGGAAGAGCCCAGGAACCATCCAGGCAATGCCAGAGGGGGGGATGGGGATGCTGCAAACCGCCCGTCCGATAGCGATTCTCAAAAGGGGGCTGGCGACAACATGGCCAGAAGACTGATCCCCAGGAAGAAGCAAAATATGACAGAATCCCGCCATGGTTTTGTGCGCAAAATGAAAGATGAGGAAGTGACACATTGGGGGGATGGCTAACTGGCTTGGGCCATTACCCTCCCGTCTGGCTGTCTGAGCTTTGTTCAACCAGTGCGCTTCACTTTTTATTAGCATCCAAGGTTACGCGACCGTAAAACAGAATGTTGACTCCAAACTGGTCGGCCGCAAGACCATGTTTTCTTTATCTTGACACCTAACTCAGCATGTCTTGCTCGTTTTGCCTACCACCTATTTATGTGCTACAAACTTCCCTATCCATCGCAAGGCATCTTTTCCCGTTACGTATGTTAATAACCACATTGTTATTCTTGTGTTACTACACTCTATCCAATTCCTACTTATCCGTCATATTATTACCAAATGGTGATAGGTTACTTGGCTAGAGCGGGATGTTATGTTACTACGTGATACCCGAAGTCCTGGTAGGCCATGGCTAGCTACTAATTAGGGTCTTTGTAGCAGTGGATAATTAGAAAAGCTGCTTGGAAATTACCGCAAGTCAGCTACGGATTCCAAGGTCATTTACCTAATTTGTGTTAGCTACTACTAATAAGAGAAGCGAGTGCGAAATAGTTAGTTTGGCATATGAGGTCGGCTCTGTAGCCTGCGCCAAGGGATAAGAGGCTGTAAATGGTTATTCCGGTTCTAGTAGCTCGGAGAAGGCTTTAGCACTTTGAACAGAATAGAAATCTTAGAAATATAACCTATGGTTTGAAAATGACTTAGTATGGTAAGCTGTCATGTGTGTAGCTGAATCTGTGACTTGGTGGTATCCTGTAACTGAGGATCATCTGCTGCACTTGCCGCACACTCTTGAGAAGCACCGGACTATGCGATTGTCGATCGTGTAATGTAATGTTTCCGGACAATGCAGCCTGTTTTGGCCATGTATATGATCAGCGTGGGCGTGATGCCTACCAAAGGGTTTGGCTGTTTGCCGCTAGACTCAACGTCGCCACAAAGTAGAAGAAGTCAGTCAGTTGCTGATAGTTCCTGGTCTATGTGAACGCTGTGGTAGACTCCAAGTACGCTACAATGCCAACGGAGAAATTGCTGTGTTGAGATATGAAGGGAAGAGGCTTGACAAACGGTGGTGGCCAAGGTTGCAATCTGGCAGTCCCTGATGTCCAATGTCGCAAAGTGTTGCGAGCGCCTTGCATGTAAGTTAGCTCAAATGACGAAGCGTCGTTCCATTTCTTTCGTATGTTAGAAATCGTAAAGGGAATGGAGGTTAGCTCGCTGCTCACAGAGCCCAATCCCAAAAGGAAAGCGGCGAGTATAGAATAGCAGCAGATAGTGCATGGGAACCGTCCTGTGCTTCCGTCTCTTGAACGTGCGATTACAGAGGGTCAATGAGCGAGCCACACGATTGTTAGCGGAGAAGCGCAACGATACCGCACGCGATGGAGACTCGACTGCTTTTCATTCGTCGTTTGCGCTGTCATTACCAAGAACTGAGTTTGCTATAAAGCCAGCTACCAAATAGAGCTGACTATAATCCTAAAGGTCAAAGTCTGGTGTTCTATCAGAGCACCGAAGCCGCCAAACTGACATAAATAGGTCAACTTCAACCAATGCAATTTCCCCTCTCCATCTCACACGACCAACTCCAAGTACAGGGAGAGGCTGATCCTAAGACAACATTGACATCTAGGCAACTCCAAAGTTAGGGCGTTGTATGTCTGTGTTTCCATATGCCGTACATTCAATTAAAAGATGCACACCTTTTCTGTCGCGCCCTGCAGGGGGAAACGAATGTCATGTGATGAGGATTTACGGAGTAAGGTAGGTTGGTTCAAATGAGCTGGGGAAAGAGATCAGATAAGATTAGATGCGCCAGAGGATATCGTGAGTGGAGTTGGAGCATGTTTTGTGGATGGATAAAAAGTGGTGCGGCTGATTAGCGATTGTGATTGGGTTAATTGAGCCTCAATTGAAGTTGGAGGTTTATGCTGCTCGTTGGGGAAATACCCCAGATCTTCAATGATCACTATAAACCAACACTGCAGTAGTTGGTGAGCAAACAACGTGCTTAATTGAGCTCGGGTACAGTAATTCCGCCCCTCACGAATACATACATACCCCCCTCACCACCGAATCCTCCCAGCCGCGAGATTAATTGCTCGTACCAACGACACTGCACTGCGTCATCAACAACCCGCCCACCACACGGCTCACGAAGCCGAGTCTCGCCCACATGGCACAAGTGATTGGTGGTGCCTTTTAGTTCCCTGACTCGAAGCATGTACCTTGCATGTGACGCAGGCATTTCTCTCACAGCATACGCAGTGTCGACACGGTTAAAAGAATAATGCCCACCACATCCAATCGTCTTGCACATGTGCTTGATCCCTCCCGTGCACGTGGGCCCTTGTTTATCTGCCGTGGGGGCCTTTGTCGATCCTTGTTGTTATCCCCTCTAACCCGTATTCAGAATGGTACACTACGGTGGACTCGTGTGCTGCAGCTTTCCCGTAGGTGGGCCGGCCGGCCATCTTGGTTTCTTAAAAGACGGGCCATCTGCACCCTGTTGATCATCTGTCTCTCCTCTTCTCAGCTCCTGTACGTTATTTCTTCAAGTCTCAGGACTTGACATTCACGACAGTTATTGTTTCATCGGCAAAGTGGGGAGTTGGGAACAGGACGAGCATGGATCACAAAACATCCCACTTGCCGACATGGCAGGATAACAAAACCGCGGGCGAAAAGGCTGGTCCCGCTGGACAAGATGAGAAATCGGGTCTTTTGAACGACAAGACGAAGAATCAACAAACGATGGATATGCAGCAAATCTTTACCAATCGCCTCATGCCTGTCGCATTCGCTCTCCCGTGGGTGATGGGGATGTTAATTTCGTGGATCCCATTCATCAAGATCTCGCTTTACAACGCCCCCGATTTCCTGTACGTGCATCACCAAGGCCTCACCCGACCGTGTCTAACAATTGTAGTATTCTCGCCGCTCTCATCAGCACCCTCGAGGTCCTCAGCATCGTCGCAGTCTTTATCTTGACATCCCTCCGCCCCTCAATGCTCGACACCGAACCTAGCGCCAGCACGACTCTCAAAGAGAAATTCTTCCGCGCGTGGTTCTGGTTCTTATTCATCAGCCCTTTTATTACTGGAACAATGGTTGTCTTGATGGCGAGCGACATTTCGTGCGATCCGGAAGATGATCTGGATATGTTTCAACCAATCTGCCAAGTTGGCATCCGTCTCATTAAAGCGACTGCTCTGTGTCGCGCTGGAATTATGTACGTCACTTCAATTCAGTTACCTCTCTGCCGGTTAAACTAACATCTCATCAGAGCGACATTTCTCTTTGCTACCTCTTCATATTTAGAACAACGACCTACGAAGCGATGCACCGACTCGGACTCTGCATGATGTTTTGGAAATAAATCTATGGCGTCATGATCTTTTGTACAACGATACCCCAGAAAGCATAAAATAAAATATCTGCATTAACATCAAGCCCAACCTTTCTATTAAGCAAATAAACTTTATCCCAGTTTCAAGATTTCTCTACCGAAAACTTTTGGCGCCACTTGCTATTGTTCCTGATGACGTTCTGGTCTGTGTTTAGTGCTGCTTAATAATAAGCCTTGAGAGCTTTTTAGTGCTATCTCGAATGCTTGCTTTTTGGTGCTCGGATGTCGCTCATGCGTTATCATTGAATGACGCCACGCCACGTCCAAGCATTGTCCCCTCCCGAGATACCCGCCTCCCGAATCAATTCTCCCCATCGAGGGGTTCAACCCGTCGCTTGCATGCGTCGACACTGCGAATCGCTTGCGTTGCGTTGCGTTGCTTTTTTGCGTGGTGATACAATCCGCATCTCCCACTTTCCGGCAGTTGTCGTAAGCATTTCGCGTCGCACTGTAGGTACCTTAGTTCAAGCCAAACTCTGTTTTAAGCATAGCCAGCTTCTCAGCTCTCCGCGTATTCATCACGTTACAGTGACTGCGCGCGCTTTGGCATGCAACCAAAAAGAATTGAATTGCAAGCGGGTGGCTCGCGTGCACTTTTTCTCTACAGAGCTAGAGAGTTGGCTGTGCCTCTTTTCGACATGGTGAGAAATGTCCCTGGGCTTTTACTAACCTCGTTCAAGATGCGAATTTCTCGTTTGGTCTCGTTCGGCTGCTTCCGTGGGCGTAGCGGGCAGGGCGCTACGCCCGATTGAATCTTATCTCCCGTCTTCCGAGGTTAATGCTTTGGCTTGCATCCTTAGACGCGGGATTGGTTGGATTTCGCAGTCAGCGCTGAATCAGCGCAACTCGGCGTCAATCGACTATACTGTATACAAACATATCCCTTCAGTACGTGAATAAAACCAAACCACAATACCCTATGCCTAGACTTTATGAGAACATAATTGCGTTATTTGTCTTATCTTATACTTGGCCTACGTAGCACTCACCGTAAATAACTGGATATTTTGTCATCATGTGCAGGATGATTCCACAAATAATTTACTCGGCGTTATCTGCCTGATTGTGAGGACGAATAGGGTATCAAGGAGATACAGGTTGAAGGCCAAGATACTTCTGATAAGGATTTATTGGTACATAATTGAAAGGCCCCCAATGCGACATGTCCGGTCGTCAGGATAGGCATCTCGGGCCGCTCGGTTATGAAATATCGTTTGTTCAATTTGTAGATTTCTTGTGTGACGCAGGATGACCAGATTGACACCTCAAAAATAGAGAATCGGAATGAATTGATCCCTGTACAGCATTCTATGTGCAAGTACGCATCCAATCTTGTGTTTTTAATAACAAAGTGGAAAAAGCGACTAGAAAATACAATCAAACAACGCTTCCCTGTTTCTTGGCAACCAACGCTTTTGTATGCAAACGTAGTTCCTTTTTAACGCCCCCAATCTTTTAACCAATCGCATAAATATATCCAATCAAAACAATACCCTTCCTACTCCTTGCCAACCAGCCCTTTTCGCCTCGTATCAACAACTGTCAGAAACTTATCAAATGCCTTCCGATCCCTGTCCTTCTCCTCGCAACTAACCCTCATGATTTCCTTCCCATCACCAGGACTATCAGTATAAGGGTGGCCCCCATCCTCAACATGCTCCACGTACTGGAAAACCGCGCCAAAATCCTGAACCGCCTCAGATCCATAGCGTCGAATTCCAGTGCCCGTGGTAAAGGGGTGAGGACACTCAAAGTGCAGATGGCTGGTATCTTGGAACGGCTGGAATATAACCTCGTGGTCTTCTTCGACGTATTCGTAAAAATCCCCCTCGTAGGTCGGATCAATTGCCTTCCAAGCACTGCCGCCGTCTAGGCCCCAGCCCTGTCCGATTTTAAAGACGCGGAGGTTCGGCATGGTGTTGGCCCAGTGTTCAAAGATGTGGTGCCAGCGGGTGTGTGTATGGTAGGTTGAGCCCTCACGCCAGGCATTACGTTTCACCCGCTCGGCCTCCTCTTGACAAAGACAAACCGCCCGATTGCGATCCGAGTGCAGAACTGTGCAATCATCGAGATAAAGCTTCTCCATGCCAAGGGATCCGATCCACTCGACTTGCCACCATTGACTGAACTCAAAGTTTCCCAAAGCGAGAACCTTGAGGTTGGGCATATCGTTGGCACCAATCAGGCGGAAGTCAGTGTTAGGAAGCCATCCCCACAAGTCTGGGGAAAACAGGGACAGGACCTGGAGATTGCTGGCGATGCTGGGGGCGAGTACTATATCAAGAAGATCGTGGTGGATATTTTGGCTGCTCTTCTGCTTTGTAGTGATGACTTGAGGGTCATCAAGATTACCTACGCTGATGCGCAGGTCTTTCAGAGCTCCCGAGTTCATGACTGATTGAAAAGCAGGAAGCGCTTTGATGCGGCTAACATCAACAAGATTCGAGATCGTCAGGGTCTTGATAGGATGTGGAGTGCCAGTCTGAGCCTGTTGATTGGTCAACTTAGGTGAAGTCCTTGTGTCCTTGTGAACATAATCATGTACCTTCCAGGCATTCTCCAGCCAGTGAAACACCATCTCCAACACTCTTTGTTGCGTATCTTGGTAGATATAAGATCTATCGTGCTCCAGACGTATGTTGAAAGTGTCGAGTTTAGGAAACACGGAGATGGAAGGAATAGCATCGAGGAACTTGGCTATGAACTCCCGGCGTTTATGTATCGGAAAAGATCCTGTCCATGTATCGCAAGTGACTTCTCGCACGTGGCATCTGAGATGTTCCGTCATGGCGATGTTGATGAAACGCTGTGGCTCATCTCTATGAGCGCGGAAACGGATGGCGCGAAAGATCATTGGTGTGATGAGGCGGCAGAATGTGTGGCTGACGAGACGAAGGTCGATGAGGGAATATTTGTATATGTATCCCAAGATCTGAATCTGAAGCTCTTCGGGGAGAGCAGAGAGAGAAGGAGCAGACATCGCGGTGATGATGATGGAGAAAGTCAAGATGTGAAATGAAATTGAGAGTGAGGCTGAGATTGAAGTTGGTGAGCTGTCCGCGGAGATGAGATGACTGAAGTTGGCGTTGAGAGATAAGGCGATATGTGGAGTCAACTTGAGTCAGGTCCTCGGAAATGTAAAGGAGGAAAGAAAACGGGAGACAATTTCAGAACGAGAAGGGGGTTTTATAGTCAAGGGAATGATAGAAACTTGTATCTGATAAAAGTTTGATTTCTGAGTTGGTGAACAAAACGAGATGATTGAAAGCTTGATTGGGTACGATATTGCCAATGGACAAGCTGAGCCACAAGGTTTGAAACCTTAACGTTAGTTTTGGAACAGGATATGCGGTATTTAGAGTGTGATTATATAGACTTTAATATATCGGTGTTGTGATCTGTGAGAATGGAAGCTTGAAGGTCTCAAGGTTTAGAATAAATGCTCGGGAGTGGGGTGAGGCTATGAGTCAACCAACAACTTTGACGATACGAACCAAGGAAAAGAACAAGAAATCAAACAGAGAACGATAGGCTGCACTAAAACATGGTTTACCAACATCCGACTGTGTGTTTCAGAAATTATTTTATTTAGACATGTCATATTCTCTTCCACCAACTTGATCGTTCCCGATTGGCTCAATCATCCTTTGTCCAATGATACTTCGCCGCAGGATGATCAGCCGGCGGTCTAGCAACGCCCTTCTTCCCATAGACATTCTCCCTATACGTGCCTCCATCAACAGCATAATCCTCCCAAAACAACCCCCTCTCCCTCAACACCGGCAACAAATCAGAGATAACCTCCTCGAAACTCGCAGGCATAAGAGCATACGCCAGATTGAACCCATCGACGTCAGCTTCATTAACCCATCGCTCCATCTCATCTGCGATGCGCTCTGGTGTTCCTGCGACTGTGGCGCCTAGACCACCGACCTTAATGTGATTTGCGACAGTATGCTTCGTCCATTTCGGAACACCTGGGATCGACTTGGACCATGATTCCACAGCTGAGCGAATCGCATTTGACTCAACATACCGTAATTCCTCATCATCACCATACTGCGCAAGATCAATCCCCGTCCAACCCCCAAACAGCGCCAACGCACCGTCCTCAGACCCATAGCTCACAAGCTCTTTATACTTCGCATCAGCCTCCTCCTGCGTCTTTCCGATAATCGGACAAAACAAGGCCAGAAACTTGATCGCTTTGGGATCACGATCGAATTGCTCTTTTGCTAGGGTTCTGATCTCAGCTATGTTCTTCGCCACTGTGACGGGGCTGTGGCCAGCGACGAAGATGGCCTCGGCGTGCTTGGCGGCAAAGTTCTTTCCGGCTTTGGATGTCCCGGCTTGGAGGATTAGGGGCGTGCGTTGCGGGGAGGGCTGGCAGATGTGAGGGCCGGGGACGGTGTAGTATTTTCCGGAGTGGTTGATTAGGCGGACTAGCGAGGGGTCTGTGTAGATGCCCTTTTCGCGGTCGAGTTTGACTGCGTCGTCTCGCCAGGATGATTGCCTAGATTTGTGAGTGAAGATTCAAATGAAGATGATGAGTTACGTACCAGAGCTTGTAAGTGACATCGACGTATTCTTCGGCAATGGCATATCTCTCATCGTGGCTCGGCTGTTCAGTATGTCCCAGATTTCGAGCAGCAGAGTCAAGATAGCCAGTCACGATGTTCCAGCCAAGTCTTCCACCAGTTAGATGGTCCACAGTACTGAGTCTGCGGGCAAGATGATAAGGCTGCTCATAAGTGGTCGCCACGGTTACACCAAAACCAATATTCTTGGTAGCGGCAGCCATAGCTGGCACAGTAGCAAGGGGTTCATTGACAGGCCACTGTGCACCGGAAATGATGGCAGGATCTGGGTTGCGAGGACCTTTGTAGACATCATAAGATCCCTGAAAAATGTGAGCGATATGAAATGTAATGCAATGAGGGTAACTCACAAGAACATCCGCGATGAAAATACCGTGAAATTTTCCCTTCTCGAGAAGTTGAGCCAGTTTCACCCAGTGGCTGATATTATTAAAATCCCATGATTTATCATCTGGATGTCTCCAAAGACCAGGTGATTGATGACCGCTACAAGATTCAACAAAGGCGTTGATGATGAGCTGCTTTTTGGCCTTTGGGGTCTCTTGTGATTCAGACATTTTGACTGCAAGATGTCCCTCGGAATTGAGTGAATGAGGGGTAAAGAATGAGGTAATATTAGTGAGTGAGACTTTATGTGAGCATAATACTCATATAAGTGAAATGCGACATATAAAAATGTTGCGCAATCGACCGACTAGAATCGCGTGCTTGCGGAGAGGTGGGGCTGTACCTTGAGATCTACTTCTCTCAATTGCCGATATCAGATGGTGTGACGAGACTAAACACTATTCTCGGATAAATGGATGTGATACAATGGCGCTCATATTTCATTTTGTGGCTTTGTCGTGTAACCTGACAGTTGATTTGGTTCAGCTTACGCCTGAGTTCCATTTTAGGCAATTCTCATATTGTACAGCAAGAACGGGCCCGTGCCTCTGTTGTTTTCTTTTTTCTATAATGATCAGGGACCGAGGGCCCGGGGCTTTGTCGGTAAGCATTTGCCGAGATAAGCGTAGATCACGTCAGTTTGTAGATGCAGAGTTTGGATATCACATCTCATCATTTTAGGGCGAAACACGCCACCGCGCCGAGAGCATGAACTAGCCAGGATGTAGATGTGACAGGAAAATAGGACAGGGGGAGACAAAAAGATAAGCACATATTTATGTCTAGGTACTATGCTCTAATGTTGTGTAACAAGGAGTAAGCACGAGGCTGAGCTTGACTTAGTAGGAAAATGGACGACCTCCCTATCCCAACATACCTAGGTCATTCATAGGTTATAGGAAGTAAAAGAACTTTAGTTTTTATCTCTGAGTAAGAATACAACCAACTAAACGTTACTCTAACTTTATATCAAACTCAACCAGATATTTATTACGACCAGTATAGACTATGGTCATAGATTTGCTTGTCCCTCAATGAAGTTCCTCTGTCTATCGAGTCGCCGAGTCTGGGGTCTCCAAGTTCATCGGAAACAAACCTGATCTTGAATCACTCGTCGCGGAATCGAATCCTTGTCCTATAATCCCGCCAGGGAATGCTGTCGTTGGAAACCCGGCAATACACTCTGAGAAAATATCATTTTCTAAGACCGCATTAGCAGATATGACTGAAGGCAGAATCGAGGAAAGAGGGGACGCATAGCTAGAAACATGATTTATTTGGGCCGCTTACCGTCGTATATGCCCCAAGTAAACTGATCAAGAGATACATTTGTATCCTGAGGCGTATCGGCCATAGGATCAGCAAGAGGTTCACCGATCTCTTGTTCCTGCAGCTCTAGTCTGAGGCTCAGATAATCAATGGCTCGCTTGGCTTCCCTAGATACTGTGGTCGATTGCAGCCAAAGTGGATATGCATTACGCAACCGGCCGTGAATCTCTGTCCCTGTGCTCTCGTCCAGCGAAACATCTGACTGTGTTTTGACCAGCTGTACATAGTAACACAGGATGCTCACGCCTAGCAAAAAGACTGCACGTGGCCGGGAGGACAGGAGCATCCACCTAGCCCACCTTGCAGGGTATAGCAGTCCGTCTGCCTGCGTCTCCTCAGCTTCTTGTAGCTTTCGGTCCAGTTCCATGATCTCGGTGTATGGATGCTCCTTGGTGTCATTAACAAGATCACTGACCAGTCCCATCATGTTGTCTATCCTCCCCTTAGCTAAGCTGTATAGCACGGGCGTGACTTCAGTTTCGGGTCTCGAAGGAGGTAGATCGGTGGTATTGTCGTCGAAATCCGAGTCTAACAGATTACGCGGCTCAGCCGTGTCATACTGCTGCGACTTAAGCACGCACAGCAATGCCATCTGGCTCGAAAGACGAAGATCTAACTGCACAATGACAGCCCACACGCGCCGCCGCTTCTCACCAGAAAAGGGCGTAATGCTTGGGAAGTGGCTGGGGTCTCAATGGTAGCCTTCACTCAAGGCGAGCTGGACGATGACACCTTGCACGAGCCATAGTCCAGTCTCATCGTCCTGCGACATAAACGACTCACAGATGAGATAATTGATCAAAGTTTCGAGTACGTATTCTCCGCCTTTGGTGTACTGGCCTAGGATAAGGCTGTGGAGAGTCTGTTCTCGAAATAAGCGCACTCGTTCGTGAATTTCAGGATCTGTTGGGTCGTCGATGGAGTGTTGAAATAATGTAGCGACGCTCATTACGCTGAAGAGGAGGCCGATCCAAATACACGGTATGGCCGGAGGATCCTGCCAAAACTTATCATACTAGTCAAAATGTCAGTCAAAGCAAGGATCCAGGGAGGAGATTCCAGAAGGAGGAAAAAGGGTAGAGCAGCCATATTGTACTGCAAGTGTACACTCCGATACATAGTAAATTCCATACCTCTTGAAGGAAATGCCCGCTGTGAAGTATGCTTGGTACAACGCCTTGTGTAATGAAGTATCTCGCGACCAGACGATCAACAACGGGCCGCGGCGGGATGGAAGCAAGAAGATCAGCTTTCGTGGTATGGACCGGCTCATATAACAGTCTAGGTCCCGGGCTTTGGAGAAGCACATGATCATTGGTGTCCAGCATCCGGGACTCCTCTTCCTCCTCGTAGTGGTCTTTAAGCTCAGAGATACTATCAAGGACAGCGGCCCAGTGGACACTCCCGACGTAGCTGGCACTGACAACATGTGAACTAAGACGCATGCTACCGGGCTCTGAGGGTGAAGGTGCGGGTGGGTTAGCAACTTCATTCCCCCGTGATATAGATGCACGATCTATAGCTGGCACGAGAGTGTTCTCATCGAGTGGGGCTTGAGGGACCGTAGAGACACTTTGAGGTGACTTGGCTTGAGACGAAAGCTCTCGAATAAGACCATCAGGATCGACATCGGGCGTACTTTGTTGCTGCGCAAGTAGGGTACGGACAAGCTCCTCGAGCTGTTGGATACGATGACCGACACTAACTTTGCTCTTCCCTTTACTTGGCCCGCCTGATTCGTAGGTACATGATAACCCGATTCCTCCATTTGTGCAGGTTTTACATGGCAGCTGACGGTCGCATCGCACCCTAAGCGACTAGCCATTAGTCTAAAAGCCTGCGAGAGCAATAGGTGGGCAACTATACTTTCGGTTCCTACAAAAGGTACATGATAGCAGCGGCTTTTCCCGCCGACGATCCCGAAGTTGCGGCGCCGAGTCTTTGATTACAGTGGCTGATCGCTGATGCGGCTAGTTTGGTATTTCTGTATAGGCGGGCGGCTCATGAGAATCCATTTAATGGAAGCTTCGGCTTATTTGTTGTGAACAAAGAGCGTGGTTGAAAACAGGAGCGGAAATTGGCATATGGAACATTCGACGGAGCAAAGTGGTGATGGGTGCTCTGCAAAGGCGGGGCTATGGTCGGAGCATTCGACGGAGCATTTAACGGAGCATTTTATGAGCCAGTCAGAGGTCGTCAACAACCGTGCCCCACTAATGCACTTATGTCTTTCTAGGTGTATCAGGATCGTTAAATGTCACTTTCAGTAAATATCATAATTGCTGCCTCCCATTAACAAAGTCGGAATAAGCATTAAGATATTAGAAGTTTGATATGAACCTCTGACTATTTGAGGTAAATAACGTTTATGGGAGGCGCCTCTCCTTGTATTATTTCCTTTGATTTTCATTCGCTGGATGATCTGTCGCTAATGTCTAATAACGGAGCAAATCCGGGGCAAACAAGATATCACGGCATGGCTAACTACTACTGGAGCTTGCCCTTAAAACCATCATCATTTCTTCCCTTATAACCATGGATAACTTGGTTTCCAAATCAATCAGCATCGAGGAAGAAAAAATAAAGCACAGAAATTAAAGTCTCGAATAGCTTACTCCACGGCCCAGTCTCAACCACGACACCACATGACGAGTGTATCTGGCAACAATGGTGAAAGTCCAAGCTGAGAGCAGCAACACCGTTTGCGATAATGAAGCTAGCACGGCAGTCAGGTTCGATGATACGGTTCAAGGCAATATTGGTCATGAAAAAGAACCAAGTACCGACAGGCAACGAGGAACGAACTCTGACGAGACCCATGCTGCAAACGTGAAGTCTGATGCCGAAAAAGGTGCAACAGAAACTGGCGAGGGATCTCCTACGCCAGACCCAAACATCGTCGACTGGTCGGGCCCCAACGACCCTGAGAACCCACGGAACTGGTCCAAAGCCTACAAGTTGACCAACATCATCGCCATCAGCCTATCCGTCCTATACACCAACCTCGCAACCACAATGTTCGCCCCCGGCGCCGCTACAACGAAACGCGAATTCGGTTTCAAAAGCAACACAGTTGAAGTCCTGACCATCACCATGGCATGACTCGGTTTTGCGCTTGGCCAGTTATTCATACCCCCCATGTCTGAGGTCTTTGGCCGCATGCCCATCTACCGCACCAGCTCAGTATTCTATATGGGGTTTACGGCTGGTTGTGCAAGAAGCACTAATGTTGCTGAGTTTCTGGTCTTTCGGTTGCTAACTGGCATGGCTGCTGCGTCGTATATGTCTACTGGTGGGGGTACGGTGGCTGATCTTTTGCCGAAGGAGGAGAGGGGTGTTGCGATGGCTATTTTCACGGCTGGACCGCTCTTCGGGCCTGTACGATTTCTTTTCGATGTTTGGAGATTTTGGTAAGCTAATAGTCAAACTAGGTCCTCGGTCCCATCGTGGGAGGATTCGTCGTTGAGAGTCTTGGATGGAGGTGGTGTTTCTACCTTACTTTGATACTTGTAAGTATCACTCCGTCCACATCCTTTTTTCCCCTTTTCTCTTCTTTTTTGTTGCGTCAGCTAACAGGAGGTGTAAATACCAGGCCGGTTTGGTTACAACCGTCACCTTTTTATTCATGCACGAGACGAGCTCCATCAACATACTCAAGTCCAAGGCCGCTAGACTTCGTAAAGAGACAGGCAACCCGAACCTCCGCGCCGTCGGCGATAAACAGATCCCAGTCAAGCAGCTCGTGCTCCATGACCTAACCCGACCTATGCAATTCCTCTTCCAATCGCCCATCGTCGCTCTAATCTCACTCTACATCGCCTTCAACTTCGGCGTAACCATGCTTCTCTTCGCCAGATTCCCCACGGTATACGAAAATACTTATCACTGGAGTGTCAGCGTTTCCGGACTGGCGTACATTGGTGTTGGAGTTGGCTGCGCCATAGGCGTCATCACCTTTGCCAAGCTTAGTGATCGTCTGCTGAAAGCTAAAGGAGGAAACTACCGCGCTGAACGACGACTTATCATGATGATGTTTGTCTCTCCAATGTTTCCAATCGGGTTGTTTATCTATGGTTGGACCACTGAGTACAAGGTGCACTGGGTAGTGCCCATCATCGGTACTGCAATCGTAATCTTACTGGTGCTTTTCTGCCACTTGCCGCCCCGACACTCTATGCCAACCTGGGCCTGAGTTGGGGAAACAGTGTTTTGGCTTTCATTACGGTTGCTTTTATACCTGTGCCGATTTACTTTTATTTGTGCGGTGCATCCCTTCGGAAAAGGTTTCCTGTCGAGATCTGACGCAGATGATGGTGCCCCCGACTCATTCTAGGAATCTTGATATCTGGTAGAAACCATGTGTCGCCAGTGCCCTGATGCCTCTTTTCCTTCCTAATTTACTATCTTTGTTTTTCCTTTCTAATTTACTGTATTTAGCTATTTCCTTTTAGACTAGATTCCTACTAAATAGAACTAGTTAAAGATATATCTTAATAAATTTATCTTAGACTTTAATATAGTTTAAAAACAGATTTACACCTCAAATACTTTAATGCCTTGACAAATAACTAAGAATCATTAAAACACCTTCATTGAGGTAAATTGCTTAGTCATGCGACATGACATGCTTTGTGCCGCTCATCTCATCATTTTAGACCAAAAGACGCCAATACCCCGGTCGAACCTTGATGACGCCAATCACGCAAGAGAAGGTCAGCTCATGGATACAGTGGCTGATAACCGCTTTGACACTGACACAATTACTGGAGAATGATCGCCATAGATAAATTGCTCAACTGCCGAGGTTAGCTTGACCTGCAGACAGTTTGACCCGTTTGTCCCTGCAGCTGTGATAACGACATACCCGACGCTGTATACGCAATGTGAGGAGATATCTGCCTATATAGACAGCATGACTCTCAGGTAATTTTTCTCAATTTGTTATTCTCTATAGAGTCATATTGTCATCATACCCCAAAATTTCGCATCATGGCCACCACTTTTGAGAGTTCTGACCCAGCTGTCTACAAAGAGTATGAAGCTCAGTGGTCCACTCTCCCCACTGACGCTGAGGGCTGGATCAAGCGTGCCAAAGATGTCGCTCAAGTCCTAGCAAAAGACGCTCCAGCTCGAGAGCGCGCAAACAAGTCTCCAAAGGCAGAAGTTGCTCTTCTCAAGCACTCTGGTCTTCTCAAGATCCTCGGTCCGGCTAAATATGGCGGTGGTGAACAGCCATGGAGTATTGGCTTCAGAGCAATTCGCGAAGTCGCCAAGACGGATGGGTGAGTCCTATCTGACATGATATGAGACATAAATGCTGATGAGTGACAGGTCTGTTGGCATGCTTCTCGGCTACCATCTCGTCTGGTCCACAACCGCCAACGTAGTCGGAACTCCTGAGCAGGCAGACCGCACGCACAAACTAATCATCTCAAACAACTACTTCGTCGGCGGTGCCGTGAACCCTCGCGACAACGATCTCAAGATCACTTCCAACGGAGATAAGATTGTCTTCAATGGTTTCAAGAACTTTAGCACTGGCGGTGTGATCTCAGACTTGACTGTTCTTGAGGGTGTTTATGGTGAGAAGGAAGAGCACATCTTTGCTATTGTTCCGACGCAGCAGCCTGGCATTCAGTTTAAGCATAACTGGGATAATGTTGGGCTGAGGCTTACGGAGTCGGGGGGTGTTAATATCGAGAATGTTGAGGCTCCATGGGGTGATGCCTTGGGATGGGATGTTGAGGCCAAGAAGCCTGATCCCAAGATATTGGCTATTCCATTTACCAGCCTCTTTTTGCCGACGTAAGGTGTTTGTGTGTCTTGTTATTCTTCGAATTTGCTAACATGAGATACAGAATTCAGCTTAACTTTGCCAACCTTTACCTCGGCATTGCGGCTGGTGCTCTTGAGTTCGCCAAGGAGTATACTCTCAAGAACACTCGCGCCTGGCCCTTCGGCGGCGATGTAAGTACCAAAACCTCCCATAACAACATTCTCTAATAAATCACCAGAACAAGGAGAAAGCAACAGACGAATTCTACGTCCTCTCCACCTACGGCAACTTCTTCGCCCACCTCCGCGCCACCGAAGCACTCGCGGAGAAAGTCAACGCCGAAGCAGACTCCCTCTACGCAAAGTACTCACAAGATCGCTCTGCCGTTACAGCCGAGCAACGCGGTGAATTTGCCGAATGGGTCGCCAGTCTCAAGGTCGTCACTACAGACACTGGTCTTAAGATCACGTCGGGAGTGTTTGAAGTTACGGGTTCGAGGTCGACAGCTGCCAAGGTTGGGTTAGATAGGTTCTGGAGGGATTTGAGAACGCATACGCTACATGATCCTGTGGCGTATAAGAATAGGGAGTTGGGAAGGTATCTTTTGTTGGGAGAGTATCCTGAGCCTACTTGGTATACTTGATGAGATAGTCATGATGTTAGATATCTCACAGGATAATCACTGAGAATACCATACGACGCCTAGTACTTGAGCCTGATGGATATTGTGTAAGAATGGTGCACTTTATCGATAGTTAGCTCTCTACAGCTTCTAGTCTCTGACACATGGAGACCCGAGTGAACAAAAGGCCAGCTCTCCCATCGTAAAAGAATTACAAATTGCATCCAAGTGCTTCAAATCCCCCATTTCCGGAGCTAAGCCCTGAACAAAAGAGATCTCTTCCTTTCATGAACCAAACCCTCAGTTCTTTGCCTTCTTGGTCTCTGGCCCCGCGTAAGCATCAGTCTGGCCAATCTTGGTCCAAGGAGCGAAAGCCTGTTACAACGGTCAGCTAAGAATTATCACAATGAATAGAGAACACTCACGTTCTTGACATTGTGCAGCGTCGCAGCAAGTTCAGGAAAGTGTCGACACAAAACATCCTTCATGGTGTTATTCTGCACCCAATTGATGCCCTCACGAGTGTACACCTCAGGACACCAACCATCACCGGCAAGGAAGCGATCGGACTTGATGCGGCGAGTGGCCATGAGGATAAACACGCGGAAGGCAGTGTCGCTAAAGCCAAAGCCCTTGGGCAGAGGCTCGCTGAGCGTACCGACAAGAAGATCTACGGCTTCGAGATCGCCGTCGTAGACTTCTTCCAACTCAGCAGCCAGCTTGGCATCACCGCCTGTAAGATCAAGGAAGCTCTTTGCGGGTGCCATGTGGAACAAACGACGGAAAGCGTTGTAACGAGGAACGCCGCGCTCACGATCACGAAGAATGTCAATGGTTCCCAAGTCCAAGTGGCGACCGTGAGGAAAGTCTTTATCGCCTGGGATGTTCAAGTCGCGCAAGAAATTGGGCATGTTGTGAGCTCGGATGGCACCTGGGTAGTTGACGCCGAAGGAGTAAAAGACATCGGCGAATGATAGACTCAAACCTGATTTGTCGTCGTCGAAAGGCTTGCGGGCTGACTCAAAGGCAACGTCTTTGATGGGAAGTGTACCCTTGTGTTGACCGTCTTTGATGCTGAAGAATGCTACGTTATCGGGGATGAGAGGATGGAGACGGTAGACGGAGACGAATTCTTCTGTGAGGCAGTAGGGCGCGTTGTCGTGATCGACACCTGATCCGGGAATACCAGAAATGACTTCTGATTTGTTGTCAAAGACACGGCCAAAGACATGCCAGAGCTATTAAAGTCAGTCAGTAACTATTTATAATGGGGACCAGTCTATCAGAGGACATACCTTGTCACCCAAGAGCCCCCACCAATTCGCATTCATCCCAATCTGCAGCGCCGGGTGCTGCAGAATACCCGGTGTCCACTCAACAGTATGAATCTTGGCCATAAGAGCACAGTTGATAAGTCGCGCAGTATCAAAGATCTGATCACTCGACCAGCTCGGATTCGAAAGATGAAGCTGCGTGGCAATGGCGTTATGCTCAAGCGCAAACAAGGCGTGAAGAAGTTCAAGCCCCAACCACCAATTCTGTCTGAACCCAGTCTTGGGGATACCATCCTTCGATCGAGGGAGGAACTGCACGCCATCTTCACGCGTAACATGAAGTTGACCGGGATATGATCTATCACACTTTGCTCGGAGAGCTTTTGTCTCAGCTTCAGTGGATCCGTAGATCTGAGAGGCGTCCCACCAATGGGTGCACTCGTTGGTATAAGCAGGTGTTTCTATATCTTGTTGTGAAAGAGGATCATCCTTCTTTGTTCTGGGAATTTTCATGATGCGCTCTGACCATCTGTCGGCTTTGTCTAGAGGAATCTCAACGTCTTTGTCGCCGTTTGTGACGAGGGAGTGCTGTGCCCAATCATGGACTTGGAACTGGATCCAAGCTGCGGCGAGAAGATTGACGATTTCGGCGGGTTTGAACTGGCCTTCAGGTCTAGCGAGAATCTTTTCAGAGATAAGTCTTGGGTTTGGAGTTAGAAGTTCCTGCTGAGTGGGCGGCGCGGTATTCTTTCTGGGAACATTTCGGCCAAATCTCATACCAGCACAGCCCATCTTTGGCTGCGCCAGATCGTTGAAATCACCATCAGAGTTTCTAGTCGCGATGAACTTTGAATTCTTCACGGGACAATCAGCCGCAGTGCCTTGAAACTCGGCGTTGGGGTAGGTGTCGTGAAGGTTCTTCTCGCGGAGTTCATATCGAAGAGCGAGGAGATTAAAGACACCGAGCCATGTGGGCAGTCTGTGCCAGTGGACAAAGATGTTTACAACTTTCCAAAGACGAATATAAACGGACTTGAAGATGGATTTAAGGGAAATCATGTTGAAGTGAGAGAGTCCAATGAGTAGTGTAACGATAGAAAAGGAAACAGCGAGGGACTCTTTACTGAGTACAGAAGCCATCTTGCGTGTGTCCCTTAAATTTCCGGAGGGGATCATGGTCGCTTTATACCTGTAATCACGGGCTTCGAACTAGGCAGAATATAGGCACATGCAGGCCATCCCTCCTTGTGATCTATCACCAGTTGGGCGAGGGGCGTCGTGCTAGGTAACACAGTATGTGACGAAGCTTATTTGTTGACTCACGGGCTTGTATCCCCCTCCATTCCATATTTTTCTGAGCCATTTACCTATCGTGAGCAAAGACAGCGGTGATGCCTAGCCGAAGAAGTGAATGGCGTTCCACAAAGTGTAATCTCGGTGACTGCCGAAGCTTACTGTAGGCAATCACAAGAGTCTCGTCATGCACCGATTGAGCTGTGCATTGCATGTGTTACTGGGTGTTATGGGCATGTGAAATGCTAAGAGGGGAGGTTCGTGTGGCGTTTGTTCAGCCCTCAATAGTTCAGCCCTGGGGCGGGAGCTAAGCGCGTATAGAACACGCACCATACCGTATTCACAGCAAGATATGTGATAGTGTCCCGTGAGATCAATAGTTTATCGGCCTAGAACCAAAACTGAGCGTTTTAGCGTCATATCGTATCTCGTGGCTGCGGCTGAGGATGCGATAGGTATTTGGTGGTCGAAGCTTGTTTCTCCCGTTACGAAAACGTCGTGTTTGATTGGTTGATAAGGGTTCGCAGGTGAGACATGGCTATGCAGCTGAAAGCTGGACTACGTTTTCAGTAACTGTTCTCCGAGTGCTATACTTGTAGTTATGGGTATTGGTGTGATAAGGAGGCCAAAGAAGTATAGCGACATGGATTTCATCACTTGATACTTCAATCAACAGGAATATCATCACATTATGCATGCTTTGCCGCATTCACTATGAGGAGGGAACTTTGGGTATTCGTATCCGGACATATCTACCCGACAGCAGGACAAGCTATTAGAACTGAGCAGTACCAAATCATAGTCATTATATGATACAAGAGAATAAGAAAAACGATCCTCCCATCTTACTTCTACCGCGCTCTCACTCCTTCTTCTCCTTCTCCCCCTTCTTATTCTTCGGGACTCTAACAAGCCAATACAACGCCAAAGCCGCAAAAACATTAAAGATGATATACACCCACATCAGCCCAAAATTCCTCCACCGCTCATCATAATGTGACTGAACCCTCGCCAAAAACACATTACTGTCCCCAATAGTACAATACGTGCAAGAACTGTTGCTACTCTCGTCCACAAGATAACCCCCCGCGCTCTTGATATACGCCTGCATATACTCCCCGCACGTCTTCCCCTCCGGCGGTGGGAAAACAACATATTCGTTCTGCGCACAGACAGCTTCTGTATTTGCCACCGCGGTGGACAAGATGGCTGAGATGAGGTATGTGAACGGACTGACGCGATACATCCAGATCCAGAACTTGGGGAAACTGTCTGGTGGTGCGAGAACACCGCAGAATATGAGACACATCATGAAGAGCAGGTTGGCGATGTTTCCTCCTGTTTCAGCTGAGCTGCACCCTGCGATTATGAAATCGGTAAAGGTGCAGGTGAAGAGCATAAAGACGAGGAAGAGCAGGAACATCAGGGCACCACGCTCAGCTACTGCGTCGGTGGGTGCGGCGTTGCGGTATAGACCGATGGGGTAGTACCAGCAAAAGTACATAATCGCAGCCATGAGGGTGTTCCAAGGGATTTCGACGATGATTTGACTGAGGATGAAGACTTGCCAGCTGTACGTTTTGGAGGGCCGTTCTCTAACTTCATATAAATCTCGTTGAATGACAAAGTGCGGCATCTGAATAGTCAGTCTTGCTCGTGTTAGACCAAATTTGAGGGAATTTGGCGTACCTGTTGCTGCGTGAGCTGGCCAAAGACAGTCAACACCTGGAAGATCGCAAACATCTGATTCTGCAGTCCAAGCGCCGTGTTAGGAGCTTGATAAAATGAAAAGCCAATAAACAGTGCGACAAGTGTACACAGCGCCGCTTTCGAGTAGATATACGACGGCGTTCTCCAATACTGCTCAAAGACTCGCGTCGTGACATACTTCAACTGCGTCGTGAACGTAGCTGCAAACTCATCGTACAAATGCGGATCTTCATCCTGACTCTTCTCAACCTTATGATGTGATAAGTCCTGCAAGTGTTTCTGAACTTCAGCAAACTCGGAGGAATCTTTCCAGATCTGGGGCCAGTCGAGGTCCGTCTCGGAGCCAGGCGCTGCACCGATTACTTCGAGCATCCATTCTGCGGGGTTTGCTTCAGGTGGACATGGTTCTGCGCCGTGAGATTCGAAATAGCGAGTCATTGCGAGGGAATGATCGCCGATGTCTCCGAAATATACTGTTTTCCCTCCGCTGGCTAGGAAAAGTAGACGATCGAAGCGCTGGAAGAGCATGGCTGATGGTTGGTGGATGGTGCAGAGGATAGCTTGTCCACTGCGAGCCAATTTTTCCAACAGGTCCAGAATAGCCCATGAAGTCTGGGAATCCAATCCCGAGGTAGGTTCATCGACAAACAGTAAAACTGGCGGTTTTGCAGCAAGTTCAACACCAATTGTTAGTCGTTTCCGTTGTTCCACATTCAAACCCTCGCCTAAAACACCAACAACGGCTTCGGAATAGTCCTGCATATCTAGCATTTTGATGACTTCATCAACATACGCGATCTTCTGTTTCACTGGTATGTGTTTTGGCTGACGCATGATGGCGGAGAAGTTGAGGGCTTCGCGGACTGTTGTTGTGGATAGGTGTAGGTCTTGTTGCTGGACGTAGCCTGTTTTACGCTGGAAGGAGGCGTCGCGGAGTTTGTCGTCGACGAGGATGTCGCCGTGGATGACGCCCATGCTTGTGCGGTCGGCGAGACAATCGAGGAGGGTTGTTTTGCCGGCTCCTGAGACGCCCTAAATTTGTTAGTGCTGAGAAGGATATGGTGTTGCAGGGGGCGTACCATTAGAGCTGTCATTGTACCGGGCTTGACCCATCCGGCTACGTTATCAAGAATACGCCTGTTTTCACTCTTGATCTTGATGTCGTAGCAGACGTTGTTCCAGTGGAAGACGCTCGTTGACTTGAAGTTTGACGGCTGCCCCTCTCCATAGCCTTCTTTCTCAGTGACAACCACGCGACCCGCTGGACTAGACTCTGCATCGACTCTGTTCTTCGCAAGTCTGTGTCCACGACGAAAAACAAGAACTTCTCCTTTTGACTTCTTTGCACTGACAGCTTCAGCAAAGAACATGTACGTCGCAAGGAAAAGAAGTGTGAAAGCAATAACGATGCCAACATTTCGCCACTTGTGCGCATGGTAGTACGAGAACGACAAGTTGATATACCTGTCCCCTGAAACCATCGGCTCGCCCTGTACAGCACCAACAGTCGAACAAACTCGATTCTCAGGCGCTGCATCCGGATACGTAGGAATGAACAAGTTACACTCAAACTTGCGGTTATGAAACTCATTCACCATAAGTGACTCAAACGCATACGCAAGAGGATTGACGTAGTTGATCCACCGGCACCAACCGAGCATATAGTCGATCTGAATAACAAAGCCCGTGAAGGTAACTAGTGCGAGGATGAGGAGGGCAGCGGGGACCATAGCTTGGGAGAGTGTTCGAGACGCAGAAGCGATTGTTCTGAAAATCATGGACATGCAGAGCGTGACGAGGAATGTGATGAAGAGGAAGAAGAAGAAGGGGCCGGGTTCTCGGCGGAGGTTGGTCATGAAGTAGAGTGTGAGGTTGTACGTGAAGGCGTTGAGGATCTTGTAGGGCATGTCGCAGAGCATAGAGGCCACTGCTTCAGACGATGGATGATACAGAGCGTAGCGATCGTGTTTCTCAACGATGGGTCGTTGAGCGTACAACGTAAGAATCTAGAACTGTTAGCCAAAGCTGTGAATATGACAAAGGTTGATGAGTGTACCTCGAGAGCACTGGAGAACGCATTGGACAGACAAGCCAAAAACAGCAAAGCCCCCCTCTGAAAAAAGCTCGAAGTCGTCTGATTGATATTATAAAACACACTCCCCACAATAAGCGCCATAATGAAATTCCCAAACAACTGCGTCAGCGTAATAGTCGGATCCGTCACAAGCCGCTTAAAACCCCGCCAGACACAGAGCTTCGTCTGCTGCCAGTAGCTCAAGGTATACGGGCTATTCTTTCGTTGGTTCTTCGCTTGCGCTGCGCGTCGATTCGCTCTAAACTCTTCTGCTTCAGGTCCATTAATCGGAAAGTCGCGTTTATACTCTTCGATTTCGCGCTGGAGAAGGACGTTGGCTTGTGAGGCTTTCCACGCTGCTGCGAATTCATCTGGTGTTCTCGGTGCTCGGTCTTCAAACCCTTTTCGAATAATTCGCTCTTGTGGACTCGTCATCGACGTCAAGAAATCAGGCACCGTCTGTCTTGCTGGACACTCAAATCCCAGATCTTCGAAATACCGCTTCGCCATTTTCGTTCCCCCAAAGAAAATCTGCCTTCCCTCATACAGCACAAGAACCTTGTCAAAAATATCATAAGCAGCTTGTGGAGCCTGATATATCGACACCATAGCCGCCGTATCAGACATCTGCGTCTGCAGCCTCAACGTCTTACAAAACTCGACCGCATTCGCTGAATCCAGACCTCTTGTGCTATTATCCCAGCACTGCAGCGGTGCGCCGCTTAGAGAAGCTTCGGCGATGGTGACGCGTTTGCGCTCGCCGCCGGACACGCCGCGGACGTACTCGTTTCCGACTTTTGTGTTTACGGTGTGGCTTATGCCGAACATGGCCATCACCACGTCGCGGGAGTGCGAGATGAAGGTCTCGCGGTCGATGTCGCCGGGGATGGAGCGCGGGGCGCGGGCGTGGGCGGCGAAGTCGAGGGTGTCGCCGACGGTGAGGTGGGGGAAGTGGACGTCTACTTCTGCGGTGTAAATTGCTTCGCCGCGGTGGCGGGTGTGCATCTCATGGGCCGTTATGCCTGGTTATGTTCAGCCAGTTCAAAGTCTGAAGAGCCTGGTGACTTACCCCTGTAGTTGAAGTAGGCATCGTCGTTTATGTAGATACCACTAGTCTCGCCGGAAATGGTCTTGAGATATGTTGAGCAGCCAGATCCAGGAGGTCCCAATACCACCAACATCTCTCCGTTCTTGACAACACCATCAAAGTCTCGAATGATGTCGATCCTAGTCTTTCCGTAGCCCATCAGCTGTCGTGGAAGTGCAGCGACGTCAAGCCAAATATTGGCCACGTTCTTCTGATAATCTGTTGGCTGGCCATATCCAAACACATTGAGATTCTGGTAGCAAACACCAGCTTTTCGGTTAGTAAACCCAGTCTCACTGTGCAATTTCGAAATGGCTTTTGCCCAAGCCAAAGCTCGGAACTTGTCGCTTCTGGGATTCAGGGGGCTGTTTTCATCTGCGGTAAAGGGGTTGCCGCTGATAGCAGACATTTGACTCTGGTTGGTGTACTGGCGTGCCAAATCGCGAACGATACTGTGTCTGCGCTCGAGCTCCGAGTCTTCTTCATCTTCTGTGGTGGATTTGGCTGGTGTTTCGTGCTTGGAAGCCATGTGGTCTTGAGAATAGTTGACAGGGGTTGTGTCTGAACTTGGATGTACGGGTGTTTGAAGGCCATGAGTTGAAGTAGTAGTCTGAGTGTTTGCTGTCACATTTGGTCCCAGTCCAGGTAACGGTGCTGGTTGGACGGAAGTACCGCCCATATAAGTTGATGCCATGATTGATTTGCTTAACCTGTGTTTCTTGCGGAGTGCTATGGGGTATTTTGGAGACTTGTGTATCAACAGAGATAGTATGGGCCGAGAGTTTTGAGCTTCAGGAATCTAGCGATTGAGTACAAGCAAGTGGACTCATAATGATCTGATGTCCAATGCTTCAGCCTCTCATATCAATAGAATTTGCAATACGAAAAAGCTGCAACGAACCGCTGGAAATAAAACTTCAGTATCGTGATAATGAACACATAAACCACACAGTCCTTTTAAGTCGGCCAAGCGGACTCTTGTCAGAATGCGTCCCCCGAATCGCGTGTTCACCAGAATTATCCGCATCTCCAAGTTCCAATATCCCGGTCTGTCACCCCCTGGCCTCGGGAAGTTGTGGAGAGCTCTCGGGATGCTTCTCGAGCCCGACTGCCCGAGTGTGGCACCCCCATTCCCCGCCATGTATTTGTTGCATGTTCTGCTACCCAATCGTCTTCACCCTAGTCCGCGGAGGGTTTTGAGTTTGGGCTATATGCTTTTAAAGTCGACATCGACATCTCATGAGAGGCAAGTTGAGATATTGTAAGAACAATAATTATCGTAAATTCCATACGAGAATGTCGAGTCCTGCTTCGCATCGGGATGAGTCTACGGACTTGAGCCCTACAGTTACAAACACATCGATGGATTCGGAGCCAAAGAAATCGAGCAAGAGAGTACTGTCATGTGTGCTCTGCCAACAGAGGAAAAAGAAATGCGATCGGAAGAGTCCGTGTTCAAATTGCATAAGGGTAATTCCCTCAACAAAACCTCGGGTAGAGTTTGATACTGACGATTAGATAGCTCAAAACAGTCTGCACTCCAAGTTTACCAGCTCCGCCAAGGAAGCGCAGACGCCCGAATCAAGATCTTCTGGAAAGGCTTGCGAGATGTGAAGAACTTCTCCGGCATTGCACTTGCATAAGACTTCCAACGCCGGAGCATAGTCCACCAAATCAACGCGAGCAGTCACCCTTGAGCTTACACGAAGGCGATGATTTGAAAAGGAAGAGGAGCAGAGAGTCGTCGCCTACAGTGACAAGTTGATAGACACCTGGAGTCGTCCTCTCACACGAATGAGTTCTCGAAGAAAACATGGATGGTCGGGCGGTTTGTTATTTGGCATTGAAGTCTCCTGGTGCGAAGCTTCATATTTTCTAAGACCAGTTCTCTGGCAATTGGGTTTTGTCTTGATGGAGTTGAGGTTTTTCATTGGAGATGGACCATCTGGCAGACAATCACGGACGACTTGCCTGCATTTATGACGATACCCAATTCTCTTGTTTCAACATCTCAGTCTCTGAGAAACAAAATAATTATTTCAAGCGATCCCTCTTTATATAAGACGATCAGGTACTTATACAATCACTATCGAAACCTACTTGTTCTAAACACGCGTCTTCTCGTTTAGCATAGCGAAACCGAAATGCGAAAACGTAAAAAACCTGGGGCCTTTGAGTTACTCGGACAGATCTGACCCTCCATCAGCAAAGCCATTACAGGGGTTCTTTACAGGGATCACCCGCTGAAGACCAATCATTCGGCAGCCCGCTTTTCAAGGGTTGCAGGTGATCAATTGACGTGAGGGGATCAGGCCAACCATAGCGTTGTCTTGACTGAATTGGTGGCGTGAGCTTAAAGTCAGTGGTCTGAGTTGGTCTACGGGGTTTTGGAGTGTCCGCTTCCCGAATAGCTTCAGATGGGGGTTGGGATGGGTGAGGTGGTATTTGCTCAGCATTATGTGAGATTGACTCAGAATATGTTGACACGGAGACAGGCATAGATGTGATTCTGATATCTGGATTGATAGTCAATCTTGGATGTTTGCTATCTAGATAATTTACGACCAGCCGGAGAATAACACAAGACCGTACCCCTAGCTTCAACACTTGACATATTTCCAAGCGAGGCGGTTATACGGATATACGCAAATAGAAATGCTTATTTCGATCCCGTCGATCCATTTCTCTAACGGCTAAATATCCACCTCCACAATGTCACATCACCAACATCACACCACTTCAAGAATCCTACGGACGGAGTATCTCTCGAGTCCGTACTTCCGGCCGATACCCCAGATTTCTCGAAAGGGAAGATAGTCTGATGCTCGTCGGGCCTATTTGCCGATAAGATTCTGATGATGCAAAATGACATAGTTTGTTTTCCGGTAATAATCGATATGCCGTTAGAGGTTGGCGTGTTGGTGGTTTGTGCTGTCGCTGTAAATTTTGGGTAGAGCGAGTAATAGCTTGGACCTCATATTCGAAGCTGTTCATTCAGAAATGGATATTTACTGACCATTAACCAGTTACATCGTACAGTTGCTAGTCATGGGGTAGTCCTTATTGACTGGGATACGTTCAGTCAGCCATTGCAGTCAGTTTTGGTAGGCAGCGACAAAGTCTTTACTCATTTTCTCAGAGGAGTACTATAGAATGGTTTGTTATCCAGGAACATGGGTAAGATACTGCGAAAATACAATCTCTTGCATGCAACCCAGCCAACGAAAAGTATTTATATACTAAATAACCTGCAGGTCTTTTTTCCTTTTTCGTCAGTATTGAGGTTCTTTTCTCTGAGTCTCTGTATGGTCACTTTTACTATACTAAATCCATTTTCTCCTCACTTGTCCCCGATCTCTCATCAATCATGCCTGGGCAACGAAGCGCCTGCTTCCTTTTTGGTTCCTCTTTTTTCCTCGCCTTAGCTGTAGCGTGAGTTCTGTTCCAGTGGACCGGGGCCCTCGTTGAACTGTCTCACGTTTTGTCTCGAGCTCAGGTAAAATCAACCTTCGTATAGCATCCTCGACAGTTTTGAGAAGCCTGGGGCTGTTTGTGTTTAGCTGTGTCCCTGGGTTGACTTTGGTGGAATCTGTGCTGTTGCTATGCTGGATTTGTTTGACTTTGAGTCGTGATCGTCTGGCGACTTTTTGGTCTCCAAGGTCTCGTGTCATCGTTAGGCGTATATCCTGAATCAAAAGATTAATAACATGCATTCTTTCCTGGTACCTTTGTTGTCACACTGCCTTTTCATTTCTCATCCTCGACCTCGACAGGTCCTCGTGGACTTGCCTGTCATCCCCGTCCAAGACCGTGGTTGCCTTCAAGGTCAGCCAGGCTTTGTTGAAAGCAAAAAATGTTTGGGGATTGGAAAATACCCATGAGGCAACCGTCAAGTAGTCCATCCAAAGCTATGTCAGAAGCACGGTCAAACACGGTTGGTCTTTTTAACCTCAGGATGGTATTTTGTGTCAACTACTTTCCTCTTAGAACTTAGGCGTACACAACGGTAGGGCGACTACCAAAAGGAGAACTCTGGTCTTTTCCCTTCGAAGTATTCCTTAAGTAAGGCAGTCTGTGACTTCGTAGTCTTTCTCCTGCCCGAACATGTCGGTAGTGACCGTAGTGATGTCTGCAGGTATATCTGGGGGCCCAGCAGACAAGCTACCGGCATTAAGATATATCGTTGATTCTCCTTGTTGAGACTTATCTTGTTTCACTCCAGTCACTGCATCCTTAGTCGCAGTTTGAGTCCGTCGCCGAATTCTAGGCGCCAGGTCTCGTGAACTCTTATCTCTGGACTCAGGTGAGGAGTCAGAATTTCTCAAATGGTCCATTATCCCTTGCATTGCTACTCTCGGTTTGACAACTGTCAGGACTTTCAGAGTTATCAACCTTTTTATCCACAGTTCTCCCCATGAAATCTAGACCTACTAGATTCGTACAGGACGGCGGCGGAGGTATATATAACGGCATCGAAGTAGTCTGTTGACTCGACTTGCAACCCAAATCAATGAGATACTTGACTAGATCTATTGCCTCACCATAGGGTTGCCGGAAGGGACAATCAAGCTCTCTGCGAGGTGGCAACTCTCGATTGCGTTTGGCTTGTGCTTGAGCGAGAGCTCGAAGATACGCCCGTCTGTTGATGAGTGCGTGGTCAAAGTCAAACTCATCTGTACTCAGCTCGCTCTCTCGATTCTCCCAATTCGCATAGATGCTATCAACCGTTCCCTTATCAAGAGGGTCAAGAATCGTATCACGGCAAGGCCAGTAGGTTGGTATGACAGCCGTTATATCCTCTTGCGCCGCAACTAAAACACTCTATATCTTGGCGACCAGCGACTCAAACTCTTGTACCGAGCTTCTTTGACGATGCAGTCAGCTAGGGAGTACAGTTGCGCATTCGATAACTGGGGTCAGGCCTACAGGCTCAGAAGTTGAAGCAACAACAAGATACTTTCTCGTTCGCGATCAAGGCGCATCTTTCTCGTGTCGTCTTCCTTCCAAAATGCCATGAAACCAGCTTTATAGTCACGCTGATAAGAAAACAGCTCAAACTCCTGTTGGATGCACGCCGATGTCGCGCGGCAGCCCTTGACAGCAATGGAGAAATCCCCGTCGACCTTGTGTCGCGAGATTGCTTCTTGATTATCTTGCAGCGCGATTTAAACACCCTACAAGGCTCCTTGAATAAGTCGGGCCTCTTCAGCTAGGTCGAGAGCGAGTCAGCCGCGACGGCGATGGTGCTAATGATCTTTTTGACCTCAATCGCGCATTTCTAGACAGCGGCGGCTAGCGCGACTTTGGGACTGATGATGCTAAGAGGGTTCATTTAACGCCTGAGACCCTCCTGTAGGGTATGGACCAGATCCGTATGGTCTCATCAGGCCAAGCTCCCCAGAGGTTCCGAAACTACTGCGAGCCTGACGTTGCAGGCCTGTTGAGTGTTGACTCTACGTTTCCAGTTTCATCCTCCAGGGTGGCAGTGCAACAGAAATCACAATGAGGGATTCACAGGGATTGGATAAGAATGCATGTCTAGCGACCCACGGGAATTGTTGTAGTTCTAGCCAGCAAATTCTAAGTGACGTTAAGCCGCAACGTAGGACGACAGCCTGATTTGATCCATATCGACTGCAGTAGGCAATGGCGACAAGTCGCAGGCAGAGCACTCCAACATGAAGGAATACTGATTATATCGAACGGCCGAGATTAAACCGTCGCTCACTAGGATAAGAACCAACGCTGTCTTGTGAATTGGGTTGTTGATTGCTACTTGCGCTAATTAGGTGCGTATCTCCCCTATACGATGGACCATGACCCAATTCCTTGTCGCACCCTTAGACATTCGCCTTGTCACAGATCAGACGAGAAAACAGGAACCGAATCTGGCTAATCTCCCCAAACGGACTTTCTGTTGTATACAGTATTGGACATCAATGACTACGGACAAGACCCATTCGACAATCACCTTGTTTTTATTCACGCAACTCTAACCTCTGTAACCCCTCACAAAATATCGAAGCCTGTGTCGGAGCTAAAACTATCCCTGCTTGGATCGACAGGGCCAGCTGGCTGCTCAACGCGCCTTGTTGCGTGTAGGAGGTAACCTTGTACTCTCGACTACCTGTCAGCAGTTGTTTTTCGCTTTCCAACACTGGCTTGGTACTTGGGATCAATCTCCGTACGTGAGTTATGTTTCACGGTTACGCCTCCAGACCAGCAGAGTCTGCAAAAGCTTGCTCACTACCTAAGTATAAGACGAAAGTAGTCTATATAACGCGCGTGCAACCTCTAGCATTTCACGGACAAGATACAGCAATGTCTTCTCCACTTGTGAGCAGCTCTAAAGAACAGATATTTCACTGCCAGCTCACGGCTTTAGTTCTTCCCTGGAGTTTTCTTCAGGGGTGTACCTTTGGAGAATATGACAAGGATATGAAGAGAGGTGCCCAGCTAAGAGGGGGCTCCCTATATTAGCGCCTTTGCCAATGACGTATGCTTATTTTACCATCCCTGAGCGCTGGTGACCTCTTTGTGTGATCTAGACGACGCAATATGGCTGGGCATGGTAGACAATTGACGTCTTAATAGCTCATACTATTGCTAGGGATGCAGGAAAGAATGATGATATCAAGTTCATTTTCACAATTACTGTGGATGAACTTGCTCAGTTCTACCTTGAATGCAACCACCTCGTGCGTTAGCATCAGGCTATTGAAATCATAGGTGCTGAAAGGTCAAACAAACACTGAGTCACTGTGTCCCAGCGGTGTCTAAACCCGACGCTGCGTCGTATCACTCGGTTATCTTATCGCGTGGTTGGTTCTGATATAAAGAAAGCGTGGCAAGCTGAAAACCCAACAAGGGGCCACCGTTTCTTGGCAATTCAGTTGGTCCAATTGCACCGGTCCGATGGTACACAACCATCAAGGGACAGGAAGCATAATTCCGCACATTTCCCCGGGTCTTCCGTTGCTGTGACCCAAGATCCTGGTAAGGCCGACACCCCGAGCCAATGGCACATTGCTACGACCTTGATGATTTCCAAGTTGGCGGCTATACAGTGCGCTGTTAACAGTGGCCGACTACTAATTAAAACTGCACACCAAGATTATTGTGATGAAAAGAAGTTGGAGTGTTGTCGGAGCATTAACTGGGTACTGTACGCGGAGCTATAAAGCCGCCATGATCCAGCCGCACGTTTGCTCGCTTAGAATTGTGGCTTTGAACTATTGAAAGCCTTGGGCGACTGTCAACTCTAAACGAACCTCGTCATTCTCATCTCACGCGGGGTGACGCGGCCAAATCTCTGAAGTAATTGTGAATATGGGCAATCTTTGAATCATATACACAATATTCAGTATCTAAAAATGTCTGAAGATCTACAAAGGGTCCTGTTGAAAACTCGGTCAGATCTGCATTCAGAGTACCCCAGATCTTGGCGATCATCTCTGCGTCCCAAAACCCCTTTGCATTCACCGTTGCACCTGTTGTGGACTGGTCAGCAGCCTACCAACTGCCCAAGAAACAACACATGCTCTGCCCGGCTAAAAGCCGTTAGTCCATCAGTTGTGGCTTTTTTACTTCGGATGTTTTGGTGCTTATCTTTCTAAGACTTTACCCTAGCCAAGAGCTGATTAGACCCAATGGGACACCATGCTGATATCTCCGATTTTTAAGGCCAAGGATAAAAGCACAATTAGCAGCAAACAACGTAGCAGCCAAGCAAGAACTATTAAAAAAGTCATGCAGGTCGATCAATAGTCTAATTCAGCCTTTCAGCTTTCGGAAGTCGGTGGGAGTCGCTCCGAATCATACGGTCAACTCCCTAAACGGATGCGAGGGCGTTAAAAGATGTAAGAATTGCCAACGGCTCATCCAGAGTCTGCTATATAAAGCACCGCGAGAGCCAGCTTCTATGGTACTGCATTCTCTCAAGCAACTTTACAAACATCCTCATAACTACCATAACAACCATCACCATGCGCTTCTCAACCGTCCTTGCTACTGCCCTCGCGGCCTTTTCCAATGCCTCCCCTTGCCTCGCAGGTGCATCTGAGCCCATCTGCGGCGGAAACGGCTACGTCGGCGCCACAGATACTCCCTGGTACAAGAAGTCTCAAGCCGAGGGCACCATCGAGGGCTGCTTCAACTCGTGCACCGGCGGCTGCAAAGCCATCAGCTTCGACACCCAGTACAAGACGTGCTACTTCTACACCGCAGAAGTCTCCAAGATGCGCCTCTACCAGGTCACCAACTCGCCCATGACATTCCACTACTTCGATCGAGCTTGCGTCGCGGACGCTGTTGGCAAGACCTGTGGAGCTACTGGCTACGTTAGAGCCACGAACACCCCCTGGTACAAGAAGTCGCAGGCTGAGGGTAACATGAAGAACTGCCTTGATGCTTGCCGTGGCGGATGCAAGGCTGTCAGCTTTGATGTCCAGTACAAGACCTGCTACTTCTATACCGCCGAGGTCTCAGCCATGCAGCTTTACACTGTCTCTTCGCCCATGAGCTTCTACTACTTCGACCGAGCCTGTGGCTATGAACCTACCGAGGCTGTCCCTGTCTAGGCTGGTCTTGTTACCGTTAAGACCTGGACCAGTTGTCCTCAACACTTGTCTTTCATTCCAGTGTTGGGGCCGTTCAATACGATGTTAGCGAGGGCTTCGAGGCTACGTGCTACACACTGGCCGGAAGTGATGTTGGTACGGGGTTTACGTTCAATGTAAAATAATTGTTGATGACGATGAGGGAGATAGTCATATTTACTCAAATCATAATGAGATAACGGGATATGTTCGAACAGGCTGTGAGGCTCTGTAGGCAGTAGATGATAAGTTATCGTGTAGCTCAAGGTTATTATCAAATCATAATATTTGTTTGTCAAACTGGCTTTTACGCGATATGCACCTAATAGCTGTCTCAGTTGTTTGCTGGATGTGTTCGCTAGCGACTCTAGCGCGGTGTATCATATTCCAACACTAAGGTACAGTACTTAGTGTGGTGGCTTTTGTTAAAGATGCCGCGAGACCAAAAGTGAAGAGGCCCCTTCAAGGGTCAAGGCGGGTAGATTGGTCCTATAGGCCTGCACCCTTCAACACCACCCCTCAGGCTAGGCCCGATAGGGATTAAGCTGGCAGGCGTGCAGGCCTGTGATTGGCTCGGAAGCCGTAGTTTTTGGGAGGGGTCAAGGCGGGTAGATTGGTCCTATAGGCCTGCACCCTTCAACAGCTTTGCACTAACAGATCGATGACATAACACTAGGAAGCCGAGATTTGATGAGTTAAAATTCTATGGGACAATAGTCAACAAAGTGCAACCAACTAACAGAGGTTGCTGGTGAAATTCCCAAAGAGTCTTGATGCCACCGACCGGGAGCCCATCGACGATATCTAGCTTAACATTGCTCTCACAACGAACCTGAGAAATAAAGCCATTACTCGAGGGAAAGGCTTGAGGACAAAGCTCATACATAGTAAAACCAACAGGCAGTAATTTTATCAAATTAAACAATCACGCCTCTCACTCCAAAACTTCCAATCCTACAGGGAAAGTAGAATACAATTGAGTTTCCGTAATCTTCTATGTCTAATAGTGACTACTTAAACCCCAAGCAGTTCGAGAGTTCCATGGTCAACGATACAAGCAGAGTATCTCTCCGCCATAGCAAATACCACCTTATCTGGCTGCATAGTCTGAGGAGTCATGGCCCACAAGAAGCCTTGCAGACTATATCGCCGATAATCATCCCAAAGATCTTCTCTCGTCAACCTCGGCCCTCCCTCCCTATGCAAAGACTGCAAATACGTATCAACCAGACCTGTTTCATGCTTGCGTCTATCCTCAACCGTCAGGGCACCCGTGAGGAAATAAGCCAAGTCGAGAACCGACGGCCCATACTGCAGACCCTGCCAATCGATAAACCCAGGAGTGCCGTCATTCGCAACCAGCGTGTTTCCGACATGGTCATCGCCGTGAAAGAGTGAGTGATACTTCTTATCCGCATCTGCATATTTCCACAGGGCCTGAAATGCTCTGCGTATGCGGTCAGGGTCAAGAAGTTCCGTCGCCACAGACGGCTGAACCTTTTCGTCAAAGCGTGCTTCCCATGGTGCAGGCTCCAGCAGCGCCAGAATAATATTCCGGACTGGGTTCTCCAGCTTTGCTCCATCCCTTCCAAAGAGCCAGGGATACTTTTCTTCACTGGTGTTCCATGTCTTTGCGTGTAGGCTAGCGAGTTGCTTTAGACCTTCTCCAACACACTCGGGAGTCCATGGTTCCAGGGGGCTCCCGAAGGTAGCTTCGCTTGATACATCCGACATGATAAATATGCCTTGACCGTTGACGGTATCTGTACCGGTGAACCAGATCTTGGAAAGAAGAATTGTAGTCTGCGGCGCAACGTGAAAGTAGAACTCAGCCTCGCGGCGGTAAGTCGGCAGCATCTGAGCAACCGTCTCGCGAATCACTGGGTTAAACCCTCCCTTGAGCATAACCCTACTAGGAATCTCAGTCTCGACGCCATCGTCAAATACAAGATCCACAAAGACTTTGGACGAAGTGCCGTGTATAACGGAACTAATCTTGAAGTCCTTCACAACAATGCCAAGAGCTTCCGATAGCCACTCAGAAGTAACCTCGTCCGGTGTTAACGGCAACGGCGTTTCACTGTTGAAGTTACCCCTCGGGACTCGAGATTCCGTGACAAGCGATTTGGACATCATGATCGATTGTTTAAGCGGATGATACGGGGAGAGAAAGTGGTATTGCCTTTTTGCTCCATCAGCCAGTAACGTAGATTATATACCCTTGTCGGGCCCTCATTGCAACCCGCTCCCCGCAGGCCTATCTGCAAGGGCATGACTCGCTTGTGGATTCTCATATCGACTCATAAACTCTTTACTGGGTGGATGTCCCGTCCATTTGAAGTCCTGGTCCGTTGTAGCTTGTACATGTAAGAGAATCGTTGGTTCACCTTTGAAGATGCGGCCGGGAGTTACATCCGCCAATTTGTCAGCGGGACTCATGTTTCATCGTCCGAGATTGATTTTACGCTAATTCCTTCGTTGCTAGTTCAGAAGACCGACTCTTACCATTTTCTGCATGTCTCTCTCGTCCACTGACTGTTGATAAGATCAGGCCATTAACACTAATCATTCGCTTGATAGGACTTGACTTGAGAGAATACCTAGACGAACAAAGATTCTCAAAATACCTCCAGCGAGAGCTATATGCCTGTTAACTGACCTGAATCTCCTCCGAAGCAGAGTTGATCCCGCGGGATACATTGGGTTAATGATTCTGCCACTGCCCACCTTGCATAATCTTCAAACATCATTGCGACAAAAGGTTGCTATTGGCGGTATTCCGTCGATTGGATCTGGGTATATATCCGCGGGTTGATTGCGAGACAACGAAATACTAATCGAAGCTGCAGTGTCCTGATCGCATCCATCGTCCGAGCTCCTTACGTCCGCATCATGGCCACCAATCCCGACTTCACCTGTAAACAAGCCGAGGCTGGTGTCTGGTCTTTGGTCGAACTCAGAATGGGCATTGTATGCAACAACTTGATGCGGCTGGAGCCGTTCCTCAGAACATGCCTTCCGAGAGTCTTGACTTTTGTCGGTCTCACAGCCAAGTTGAAGTACCAAGGAGAGAATCCATCCAAATCCAGCGGGAAATGGAGGCAAAGACCCGCGCACAGCTATCAGCTGAATAACCTAGAGCATGAGGATCCCCATCATAGGAGTTTTAGAAAGGAGCCTTCAGTGGAGGCGGCTAGTTTTGGGGACAGATAAGGAACCATCGCGGCATATTGGGAGCACTGATGATATACTTAGATCATAACGATTGCGCTCCGTTACATAAACTCTAGAAACTATTTACAAAAAGCCATCAAAGTATTCAGATACAACCATTGATCTTCCATACTTTCCGATAACACAACGATGCCTCAGTACTCCGACAAATGCACCTCCCTAACATATCCCTTCGTTGAGACGCAAGCACCTCGTCTCGCTTGAGTTTCCGTCACCCAGACACACGCTTTGCCTAACGAAACTCCTAGGGCTACCACAAGATAACTGCACAGCGGTTTGTTCTCTCTCGCGGCCATGGTAAACGGCAAGCACTGCGATGAATGCCGCCGTTGACCTGAAGACAAATATTTGGAGAAAAGCCTTTCTGGCCTGCGAGATCAGGCTCTATGGTACCATCTAGTTCCCCTCTTCCAGTAAGTGCCAGCTGAGATGCAGGAAGCACAAGGCTTCGACCAGTTGTGGACGCCTTGACCTACAACCTCGGCCGTAATGACGTTACAGGTGAACCAGCACCCAGTCTTCATGGAGAATGCGCGTGTCAGGTTTGAGTGGCCACATAGAAAATGGTTGGTGTTCATGATCCAGACACACATTGTGAGCTTTATGTGGAGTCTGTATGAAAGGGCAAAAGCCGGTTGGTGATATATGGGGAGGGGGGGACTGTGGGTAGCCTCGCAGGTTGTATTAACAGACAATAGACAGATGGAGGTATTCTGTCTCTAAATTGCCGAGAAGTTGAGTATCATCGATGTCGCTCTGAAGAACTTCAAGCATGAGAAGCAACAATCAAGATGGACGGACGCGAGGAACTGAGCCTTGTTATCTATGTGGCAGGTTGGGTGTCGCGTATGAAGCCAGGACTGATAACTCTCATGTGCACGGTATCACACCTGAGTGAATCTGACCAGCCCGTTGACCAAACTGCAGACTCAAGAAGCAAGGGGTTTGAAAAGGATGTCTAAAGTGCAACGGTTACTGTTTCGGAATAAATTCTCCGAAATAAAGTGAAGGGCTGACTTTTCACGGTATTCCATATTAGGAAGGTTTTATCATATCATGCTGACGGATGACGCTCTCCAGAGCCTTACGAGACATGTCTACAAGCCTTGCTCTTATTGGCTAGCGACAAGAAATCCATGTTGAAGCGTAAGCAAGGCAGAATCCTACTGGGCGAACGGCTATCCACGTAAGACGTGATCAGGTCAGCAACGCTGCTGTGCCGCTCGACAGCTTGAAAATGCAGATTGATAACCGAGAAGTTGTAGAAAACGTTAATTCAGCTACCCGTTTTGTCATGAGCTGAGGATCTTCCAGATGCAGGAATAGAGACTCATTGGCTGAGTGGGGTTGCCTCACTCAAGAAGCAGGACACCATGTCAGCATCGCTTCCAAAGAAGGAGGCCTCACTGAATTAACCGAGAAAAATGATGCGGTTTTTCCGATTGTTACTGGTAATAGCCTCAATGGCCCCCATAGCTGCCTGCTGTCTACTGACATATTGATGCAGCCTCACTGCATCGCTAACGGAAACATAGCTTCCATGTTGGTATGGCATGATCTGGTGATGAGTCATCAATATTATAGCCTGAAGGATTTCATCTGGAGAATTCGACGTTGGGCTTTATGGCCTGGTCCCGGGGGGAGAGTTCACCGAGGGCCTCTCAAATTCGATGAAATCATACTGGCTACGACCCTTCTCAGCCATTATGTACCTGAACCTCTCTCGGATAGCAAAATCATGCTGAGTTTAATACACAAATCAGCCCTCAACTGAGGGAGACATATAAGGCGGTGTAAGTATTTGCCAGCAGTATGGAAACAGTGCGCGAGGACTGAGAGACCCAGAATCGATTTCCGAGAAAAGATATCAAATCTCAATTAATCACTGTTCTATTCTATTCTATAGACCTCTAGGAATCTGTTTTCATCTAGACATTGGATATCAACGCTAACATCTACGCGCGCCTTTAGACTCAAAGCATAATTCGACCTATTTTCGTCCATCCTTGACTCCATTTCGTCTACTTGTTGGAGGACTTGGGCTTCCAAAGAACCCAAGCGAAAGTGATACACAACTTAAGGAACGCCGCAATCCAGAGCGCTCCGGCGAACCCAACCCAAGACTTGGATAGGAAACCACCGGAAACAGCACCAGCGAAGAGAAGCACAGCTCCGGTCGCTCTTCGGTTTCGATCGGCATTATCGTTGATAGGAGCAGTGAAGAGCTTTGCATCGCTCATCATATCGCAGTACAAACTTGTCAGGACAATGGTCGGCATGGCGTTGTACTTGAGGACACGGCTGGCAACAATCTGGCCTGCGCTCTGGAAAGCGAGGATGATGATGGCAGCGTAGTCAGTTGCTGGGAATGAGTCCTGGACTCTCTCGATAATCCAGCCATTCTCGTGCACAGTCTCCCGACCGTGGGGATGATTGTAGACAGCGCCGGTCGTGGCGAGGATGGCGACAAGGCCAGTGAGAAGAGCCTGGATGAGGAATGACGTGATGAGAACCCAACGCTTCTGAGGTCCGAAGTATCGATGGAAGCTTGAGAAGAAGAGAGCTCCAAAGGCGAAGCAAACAATGGCGAGAAAACAGCGAGACCATGCTTTTCCAGGTAGATTCTCGGGTTGATGGCTGACGCCTAGGCCAACAAAGATTGTGTTTCCTGGAAGATGTGAGTTTGAGGTTTGAGATATCAATTGAGGGATATGGACTGACCTGTTTGCATACTGACGAAACAGCCGTACATGTTGAACGCAGCGCTATCAACGAGACCAGCCACGAAGAAGCAAATGAGCAGCAGAATATCACCCCATCGCGTATCAATCTCCGTCGTGAATCTGCTGGCTACAGGGCTCTTGTTCTCTCCCTTTGGCCCAGCTTCGGGGTTATCGCTGCCAGAGTCGGGCATATTGACCGAGATTCGGAGGTTTTGCCGAAGTGTCTTTTTTTTCGTGCTTGCGGTTCAATTCCCAACGTCGACCGTTCTGATGCAACGGTGAGAACGAGGTTCTGAGTTATGACGTCTTTGACAGATTGAAAATATTTTCTTAGTCGACGCCTCGAAAGTTATTTTAAAGGGAGAGAAGAAGAAAAGAGTCACACCTTTAATCGAGATGACGTGCTGGGTGGGCCCACTATTATTCGGAGCGAAAATTGTCTGGGCTGAGTGAGAAAGAAATTGGGATCCGGTGATTTCGGCTCTGAATTGCTTCGCCAAGAAGAGTGCACAGACGATACGTACGTGTACTAGTCTGGGTAAACAGGCAAAATATCGTTTATGGGCGCTGTATTAGTGGATAAGACGAATTATATATATTAGAAAACGTTGCTTATAACCCAAAATTATAGTCTTTTCTCTACTTTGAATAGCTGCATCACAGTGTAATTAAACCATCAAATTTCAAAGAGAGAAGACATGCCAAGGTGCACTGCCTCACCTTACTGGAGCGCCTTCTATTGACAAAACAATACCAAGAATCGCGTACTGCCAAGCCGGCACTTAGCTCCCCATGCCGAGATCACTTTTTCTAGGCATTGAGCGACCGCGCATTCCTCCAAGAAGAAAGAGTTCCAAATACAATCATCGGTTTCTAAGCATATTCTCGATGTAGTCGCCATGCCAAAAGAGTACAGCGGGCAACTTTCAGCAGCTCAACTGAGTAAAAGGATAACTATATACAGTTTTACTACAGACTGAGACAGAATCATGCCCTAGTTATAAGGCCTTTCGGATTCATAATTGATCACTCGTATTAATTTTGTTGTCTCGAGTATCTACTTACCCTGTACGACTGCTGTGGCGTTTTGGCTTTTCAACAGCAACATTGCAGTTATTAGCTGTGTCAAGCGATAACGCCGATTGGCATTCGGTCCGAAGCCCTGAATTATATCAATAATTATTATCATCCTTGAAGCGTCTTTAAAAGCTACTAGCCAATTTCCACAACGAAGAAATTCGTGGACTGACATCTCGTAGGTGCAAGCCACGTGTGGCGCAGCACCCAGCACAAATGTTTTATGCAGGCAAAATTGAGAGGCGGATTTTCTACCTCTAAGCACCAACTCACAGCTTACCCATCATGTCGAACACAGCAAACTCACAACCCGATAGCTTAATACAAGCAGAAAAATGCAAAGAATACTGGGAGTCCGTTGAATCCGACAATAATGGGATGCTTGGCGGTGTTCTGTCGGTCATGCCTTCCGTTTCCCGCATCGATCTTCAAGGCTCGCGAACTTTTCTTGCCAGATTAGGAATAGGAATCAAGAGCGGCAGACAGAGGATACCGAGGGTTCTTGAGGGTGGAGCAGGGTGAGTTTCTGTGAGATAGCTGTGGATTCAAAATACTGACGGTGAATATCCTAGAATTGGCAGGATAACGGAGGGTCTTCTGCTAAAGCTTGCAGATCAGGTCGATGTCGTTGAGCCCGTGGTCAAATTCACAGAAACCTTACGCAGCAAACCCGGCGTAGGAGAAATCCACAACGTCGGTCTTGAGAAATGGGAGCCTAGCGAAGGAGCTGTCTACGATCTTATCTGGATCCAATGGTGCATAGGCCATCTCAACGACGAGGAGCTGCTGCAGTTCTTGGAGAGGTGCAAATCCGTGCTGGAAAAGAAGCATGGGCTTATCGTGTTTAAGGAGAATTTGAGCACATGGGGGCAGGATAAGTTTGATGAGCTTGACGGCAGCGTTACAAGGTGAGAAATCCAGCTGGTTTTTGGGAGTTGATGACTGATGAGTGAACAGAGAGGATGAGAAGTTCCAGCAGCTTTTTAAAAGAGCGGGACTGAAGTTGGTGAGATCAGATATGCAGCACGGATTCCCGGTTGTCAAGAACCGTCAACTACTCCCGTTGAAGATGTATGCTCTTCGACTAGAGCAATAAACAACACCACGATTTTCTCTCATTTGCACCTAGTTCAGCAAGTAAAGTCAGTGCACAATGTCACTTCTATATTCGTCAGTATGTCACGTATCTCGAAGCCACAAAATTATGCCAAGCCAACAACTTAGACGCGCGAGCCGCCATCTTAGACCGGTGATTGGCTGCTGAAGAAGCGTACCCAACCAACAACTTATCGAACAAACGATCGAAGAGACCTTCCTTGTCCAATTGGCTTCAGTGCATAAATCATAAGAGGCAGCAAATGTTTAGGAAAGTCTGCCTGCACTTCAGACCGGATAACCATCAATCCAGCTTTGCGAAAAATAGCTCTGAAGCCTTGATCTGTTCTAGTTAAACGATCAGCATGAACCTCAAGGTTAGTTCGCGACGTGTAAGCATACCGTGTTACCGAGTTGTCGACCTCGTCGTACGTACATACCCCACAATCACTCAAGTTCTCCTTGAGAACAATGACCCCGTCGGCAGTCAATGAAGCAGCGCAGCGCTGGAGGTATTTGACGAGGAGAAGATCGGATATTTGACCCGCACACCATTGCGTCCAGATCAAATCATACTTGAAGTCTTGTGGGCGCCACTCCTGCAAACCAATGTTGTGAATCTGGCCTACACCGGGGGTATCTACCAAAACAGCGGTGAACTTAGCAACGGGCTCAATGATATCCACCGTCTCAGCGACATCGAGCAGCAAGCCTTTAGTGATTCTACCAATTCTACATGAGACAGTCAGATCAATGTGAAATTATATGTCTAAAGATTTACTAACCCAGCTCCGCCTTCTAGCGCTCTCGGAATCCGGGGCTTGCCAATCCCCAGCTTAGCTAGGAATGACCGCGAGCCCTGTAAGTCGATCCTCGACACGGAGGGAAAACCGCCGAGCATGCCGTCGACGCTAGCGGCGACATTCTGCCAGTAGTTCATCGCCTCATCCGTTGATATCAATGAATCGGGAAGTGGATGTTGGACCATGTTGAATGTTGTTGTCTGCAGTCGAAAAAAATTACAGTATTTCGAGGGAGGTTTTTCTCGTATCGCCGGTAGAACCGGATTAAAAATAGCAGAGGTCTAAAATGCCTGAGGCAGGGAATCCACTTGGGTAGAACCGTAGAAGCGAGGTCCAGACTTTGGTCTAATGAACTCACCGACAGATGGGGACTAAATACCTCTCACCTTGTAGAGTTGGTAGAAGGAAGTTTGTTTCTAGGTGCCATCACGTGAGATATATAGGATCTGAGAGCAATATTAGAACGGTCGAGGTTAATTGTCGAGGTTAATTTCATTGGACGTATGACAGAGAGAAAATTCCTCTAATGGTGTAACGTGATGTGATCCCATACCCCTGTCACGAACAACAGCTAGGGTGAAGTTTAAACCAGATATAACGCTATTGCTTGAAATATTGGTTTTGAATGCTTAAGTATGAGTCTGGAACCTTTGTGAGCTAACACCGGCTTCTAATACCGATATTTGAATAGCATGCTGGCTCAAACTGGGGAGTATGAGCATCTTGTAAACAGTCTTTAATAACAGGCCTATATTTCACCGCCCCAGATGATGATCATTTCCCCAGAGAATCTAATTTGATGGCAGAAAAGTGAATGCTTAGCTGAAGTAAGAAAGAATCTTTGATAGTGACGTTCAATCATTCAATTCATTATAGTAAAAGTTGTAGACTAATTATCGCGTCGTGCTCAGGCCTCGGGCTTTTGGCCATAAACAACATGTCTAGAACCTGTTAGTACTCCACGCTTCAGAAATTTAAGGATGACTTACATAGGCCACCAAGCATGGATGCGTCTGTCCTTCATTTCCGCCCTAACCTTTGCCAAAAACACCTCTACCTCCTCAGGACTCCAACCCAGCCCTTTCGTGAAGAGCACCATGGAAAGACCGGACAGCTCACCAGCGATATTATGGTTACACCAAAATCCTAAATCGTCAGCTCAACTCCCCATAGTAACAAACAACATACCAAGTTCCTTATAATAAGGATCAGCAGGCCATCTATTAGTCGGCCACTTGTACACCACCTCGGTAACGTTCACAAACCCGGCACCTATCATCTGCTGCTTGTAGAATTTCGCACTCTCCGCCGTGCGACCGAATTTATTCGTCGCTTCAATCATGAAACTAGACCACTGCTCGATGTAAGAGTCCCTTTTGAGAGTGCCGTCGTCGCACTGCGCGGGGAATGTTATGTCTTGGCACTCAACCCACCCGCCGGGACTGAGCGCGTTGAAGGATTGGGCGAAGAATTTGGGAAACTCGCCGATTGAGCCGGTCATCATGCGGGCGAAGATGAAGTCGAAGTTGTAGGAGAATGTCCATTCGTCCTTGAGGTCGTCGACTTGGAACTGGAGATTTGTGGGGAGGCTGTGATCGTCAGTGAGAATGAGCTGAATGGTCAAGTTGGAGGGCGTACAAATTTGGTTGGATGGGGCTGAGATCAATGCCGGTGACCTGAAAGTATTAGTACGGTGTGGTGAGTGAGATGAGTGAGGTCTTGTACCTCAGTTTCGGGGTGAGCGTCAGCAAAGTCAATTGCCCAGACACCAGTACCGGTTCCTGCATCAAGAGCGCGGCTCAAATGCTTGGTATCTCCAATCGGACTAAGATAAAGCTTCCCGCCAAGAGTGAGGGTGAACAAATGATGTTGGAGATCTATGTAGCCCAGTTAGTCCATGTTGGCCAATACCCGTATAAACTCACTCACCTAAAGGTTCTTGCTCGGACTGATGAAGCGCAGTGTTAGCGATGAGTTGATGAGACACGTGGCTTCATCCCGAATCATTGGGGAGTACATAATTGACTGTAATAATTAGTAGATGCTTCATACGAGAGCGGGTTTCGTACTGGACTCTCTGGAAGCATGGTATGTTCTTCCATTCGCAGTGCGATAGGCCATGATGCTTGAATTGATCGACGCTGTACTGCTCGCAGCATTCTCCTACATTCGTCAGTCTGCCCAGTCCACGAACAATCAATCCCATAGTGCATACCCCGATCGCTGAATCATCATCAGGAAAATCATGCTCGCTCTATAGATCATTAATTCCTGTCAATTCCCTTCAGCAAGCTTTGCAGCGAACCTCGGCCTGCAGCGCGCTCTCATCAGTCGTGGGAGCCTGTCTATCTCCCTCAGTCACAGCTGTCTTGAGATCCGCAACGTCATCACCCGCCTGCTTCTCAGCCTGTGTGTCGGCCGTCATCATTCCAATGTGTTGAAGCACGACGTTGCGCTGTATGTTGTGAATCGGCAAAAAAACGTTAAAGGTGAACAAGAAAAGCACACGATTCCCCCGCTGGTCTGAATAAGCAAGATAACGTGCCGAGCCGCGCCTCGTTACTGGGATAAAACGTTGCGGGTGAAGAGACAACTAAGCACAACTGACGTGACTTGTGGCTGGCATGTTAAAACAGTCACTTTCTCAACTGACTTCTCTTTCAAGGCAATACTCAACCTTGATTCTCGGATCATCGACCCTAAAACGATGCCCCCTCTCCGATCCCAGCGATTGATTTCCCGGGTTCCGCGGTCGATGGCGTGTAAACTAGAGCGATAGAGGATGGTTTTAGCGGTCTAGAGGGTCTAGCGCTGAGTTTAGTCCGCTAAAGATTATGTGGGGGGGCTGGAACACAAGAGAGCTTCGTTTGCATTCGCTGTCTTGCCGAGGGCTTGGAACATTAATGATCCCCCTTGGCCTGTAGAATTGTTCCTTTTTGTAAAGCCAAGTCCCCACGGGTTCGGGCCGTTGGTCTCTAATCGTAAACTATTCCCGGGAACCAACAGCTTCAACGGTTGGTGATATAAGCACCGGTCATTGTTGAAGATTATTCTTGGCATCGCCATCATGGCTGCGGCTTTTTTTCTTGGCCATTTGCGCGAAATTGCTGGTGATGTTCGTCCATCAATCGCAATCGCAGGACTCGTGGCAGTGTTCCTGGCACTCTGGTCAACCATCTCAACATGGCAGCAGTACAACCGCCTGCGCGAATTTAAAGGCCCTCGCCTCGCAGCCATCTCAAAATGGTGGTTAATCAAGAAAGTCGGCGGTGGAAGAGCTTACCTCGACTTTTGGGAGGTCACTAAACAATATGGTAAGTTATCTAGTAATCGCGTCACATCCCAAGCTTATAATCTCGACAGGCTCAATCGCCCGAGTCGGACCCAACGATCTTCTCACCGACGACCCAGAACTAATGCGGCACATCCTCAACGTAAGAACCGAATATCGGCGATCAGACTGGTACGACGGCATGCGCTTCGACCCTGGCAACAACAACATTCTCTCGTGGCGCGATGAAGACGAGCATTTCAAGCTGCGCTCTAAAATGTCAGCTGGCTACGGCGGCCGTGAGGTGGAGAATCTCGAATCAAAGATTGACAACAACATACTCTCCTTGACCAAGTTATTGGGAAAATACGCCGACGAGAAAAGGGCCGTCGATTTTGGTCGCCGGGCGCAGTTTTTCACTCTAGATGTTATTTCGGACCTCGCGTTTGGTGAACCGTTTGGTTTTCTGGAGACGGATTCTGATGTGTACAAGTATATCCAGATCACGGAGGAGACGCTACCAGCTGTTATGGTGACAACTGTTGTTCCGTGGCTAGTCAAGGTCTTGAGTTCGCCACTGTTCAAAAGCCTTTTGCCGTCGGAGAAGGATAGGCTTGGCTTTGGGAAGTTGATGGGGTGAGTGAGAGTTCTAACGGTGTTTGATTGACTTGTGTGAAATGGAAGTACTGACGGATTGAAGAATTGCGAAACAGGTCACTGCTGAGCGATTTGGACCCGATAAAAAGGTTCAGAAGGATATGCTTGGGTCTTTTGTTGCTCATGGCCTTACACAAAAAGAAGCAGAGTCGGAGATTCTGTTACAAATGTAAGTCCCAGGCCTCAATTGGTGTCTTGGCTAATGGTTGCAGTGTCGCGGGCTCGGATACAACAGCTACAGCCATTCGCTCAACCATGCTTCACATCATCACAAACCCCCTCGTATACAACAACCTCCGCACCGAAATCTCAAAAACCCACTTCTCAGAACCCATCATCCCCGACTCAATCGGCCGTGATCTCCCCTACCTCCAAGCCGTCATAAAAGAAGGTCTCCGCATATTCCCCCCCGTCGCAGGTCTAATGTCCAAACAAGTCCCTCCACAAGGCGACACCTGGAAAGGAAAGTTCATTCCCGGCGGTACCAAAATCGGATACTGCGCGTGGGGAATCTTTCGCCGTGAGGATATATGGGGTTCTGATGCGGGAGAGTTTAGGCCGGAGAGATGGTTGGAGAGTAAGGGTGAGAAGTTGAGGGAGATGGAGAATGCGCTGGAGTTGATCTTTAGTTATGGACGATGGCAGTGCTTGGGGAGACCGGTTGCTTTGATGGAGTTGAATAAGGTCTATGTTGAGGTAAGTGGTATGTTGATTGAGAGGGATGATGCTAATTGTGTATACCTAGTTGCTGAGACGGTTTGACTTTACGATTTGTGATCCTACCAAGCCTTGGACTGTGTTCAACTGTGGTATCTTCTCACAGTCTGAACTCATGGTTCGCGTTCATCGCAGAGATTGAACTGTCAAGGATCATCTGATTACGGTTACGGAAACATGTACAATGGAGTTGCTGGATTCCTGTATGCACCATAATAGTTTACTTCCAATTGCGTCTGCTCCGATCACTGTGTTTGTAGCTAGAAACCTCCAAGATACGTAAACAATAACAAAAGTTCTCTGCGATCCGGAACAACCTCAGCCATCACCTTGCTTGATTTATTCTCTAGTAACTACCTATCTAGATGCACATGCAGTTGGATGGTTTTTGGGCAGTGTACGGATAGCCGTAGCGAGATGCAGCGGGCAGGATGTGGCAGGTGAAACATGCAACGAGAGGAATTAAGCATAGGTACCTTAGTTGAGACAACAGCAAAAATGGGACTAACCGGGCAAGCACATGTCTATTGTACCTAAACAGTAACACAGCAGCCCGGAAAGTGGTGTTTCCGACTACCGCTGTCACTTCACTGACAGTTTAGCTGTAACCTCCCACGGGAGATTGACTCCACTATTCCCGTTTGTGCAACGCTGAAAACCAAACATTCAGCTTGCAGTTGCAGGCACTGTTTGTCGGTGCGGGCAGTTGCTGTTTGCTACAAGTCGCGGTCTTGCAATGCACCTGCCCGGGAACGGGCGAACTTTCACTACAAACAAAGATTGTTGCCTTGCCGCCCGAAAACCAGCGCTCCTTCCTGTCCAACTCCAGTCCGTGACTTTCCTTATCTTCACCACCCCCGCCGCCTTACTCTCGCAACTTCTCCTCTCCGTCCTCGTCTCTTTTCATCACCGGGGACTTCCTATCCTTTCACCCTTACGATCGTTCTTTACCGTCCATCACCAACGCCAGTTCATGCAACCACAGCGCCGTCACGATGGATCTCCTCGACGGTTCATTCGACCCAACCTTTGTCAAGTGGGTCAAGACCACCGAAGCAGCCCTGGCTGAGGCCCAGACGAAGAAGGGCCAGCTTGTGACCGATCATCCCGCCAAGGATACCGTCAACAATCTGTTCATGATCCGAGCACTCGGCAAGGCCATAACCACGCCTGGCTTATCCCCTGCTGGCGGATTCGTCCGAATGGCCTGCGGAGGCGACTACCCTTTCCCCAACTCCAAGCTTCTTGAAGACCATCCAGTAATGGCTCTCCCCATCACCACTGTTGAAGTGCCTTATCCACCCTGCACCATCCCTGAGAAGGACCTCAAGCCCATCAGCATCTCCGAGATGCGTCTCGAAACTCACCATTGGGGATCAAAGGTTCTCCTCCACCAGTTGTCGTCTGCCGACCGTCATGAGGCTGTCATGTTCATCGTTGAGGATCAGGCGGGCACGGCTGTCTTGCTCAAGCTGTATCACCAGCCCTTGGAGAAGGAAATCTCCTGCAACTGGACAATGTTGGACTATGGTGTATGCATCGTCAAGAACCCTTTCTTTCAGCGGGTTAATGACACCATTTCCCCGAATTTCTGTCAGGCTCCCCAGCCTTACTACTCGCTGAGAGTCGACCATCCGGGCGACATCATTCCCCTACGCCATGCCGATGGACGAATCCCCGAGGCATGGAAAGTTGACCCGTGCCGAGACGACAAGACCAGTCATGGCTACCGCGATCACGGCAACAAGGCCTTTCGCAACAAAAATTGGGCAGAAGCTCATCACTCGTCAGTCGCCCATTCTCCTTCAACTCACTTATAGCTAACATTGTGAACTACAGGTACTCCGAAGCCCTCAATGTCGCCGAGACTCCCCAAGACAAGCAGCTGGCCCACCTCAACCGCTCCCTCACCAACCTCAAGCTTGGTCGACCCGCCGAAGCACTGCTAGATGCCATCCAGGCTTATGACCTCGAGGCGCCTACCGAGAAGGCTTTGTTCCGTCATGCCACCGCCCTCTACAGACTGAACCGGTTCGAGGATTGCGAAGCCATGCTCATCGACCTCCTGGACAAGTTTCCTAGCAGCAAGGCGGCCGAGACAACTCTTCTTTCTGCCAAGACACGACTGACAGAGCAGAACACGGGTAAATACAACTTCAACAAGATGTATGAGACAGCCAAGGCAGCCAAGGGAGCTCCCTTGATTGATTGCGCCACCTACTCGAAGCCTGTTGAGATCCGGGAGTCGCCTGGTCGCGGTCGCGGTCTCTTCACCACCAAAGCTGTCAAGGCGGGCGACTTACTCCTCGTTGAGAAGGCCTTTGAGTACTCATTCATCGACGAGACCCGAGTGATGGACAAATGCACCCACATGGTCAACTTCAACACCAAGCGCTTGACGTCTGGTGCATCGGCGAATCTCTGGCCCAAGGTTGTTCAGAAGTTGTACCATGATCCGGAAGCCCTCTCTGCCTTTACCGAGCTACACCATGGGGATTACAAACCGGTAAATGCTACCAAGGCGGATGGACGTCCTGTTGTTGATGCGTAAGTTGACTTGCCCCTGGTTCCCGATGGAACACTTGTTGATCTGGTGTCGCAGTTTCCTTGTCGAGAAGATCCTTTCTCTCAATTCATTCGGTGCCCCACGATCCACTCGCGACTTCTGTGGCAACAACGTCTGGAGCGGCAACCCAGCCCCCGAAGCCTGTGCCTCTACCCGTGAGAGACCTCTCTTCACCTCCGTCGGTGTCTGGCTTCTTGCCTCTTCCATTAACCACTCCTGTGTCGGTAATTGCCGCCGCGCATTCATCGGTGACATGATCATCGTCCGCGCGGCGCGAGACATCCCGGCTGACACGGAGTTGGTATTCCCTTACCGCGCAACTACGGACTCGGAGTCCTACCAGGATGTTCAGAAGGGCTTGGCCAAATGGGGATTCAAATGTGATTGCGAACTATGCAAGAGCCGACTCAAGACCACCGAGGCTGTTCGCGTTCAGCGTAAAGAGTTCAGCAAAGAATTCTACGTGCAGGTGCCTTCCGATCAAGAATTCGACCTTGACAAGGCGACTAAGCTTCTGCGTGTTGTCGAGAAGACCTACTCTGGCAAACCCGCCAAGCAGATCCGCTGGTGCATCGCCCAACTTTATGCCTACGTCGGAATTCGCTGCCGTCAGGATGGAGATTTTGTTAGGGCTGCTGAAATGCTCATCAAGGGTCTTGAGACCATGGGCTTTGTCATTCTCGCAACTCCCCCAGATAACGGTAGTGCCCAGGCTCGTTTTGAAGTCAAGCAGTGGGGAATGATGGAACATCACATCCCGTGGCTCTTCTTCCAGTTAATTGAGTGCTACGAGGAGATCAACCCGCACTTGGTTCCTGTCGCTGAGCATTATGCTCAGGTAGCGTACTCGATCATTGTTGGTGAGGGGGATTCGATGTGGGATGTCATGCCTGCTACTGGCAACAAGGCGGAGCGAACCTGATGTTGGGATGATCTCGCGTGAAGATTGTGTTGATGAATAACAGGCAAGTGTTGCTAGATAGCTACGATTGAGAATCTTGCCATGGTAGATGGAACTTGGCACATTTACCCGGATGTAGTAGCGCATGAATTGAATCATCACCCAGAGATTTGTCCCATCACCGTGAAGTTGAATCAAGTGCCGCGCGTTATTCTAGGAGGCTTCCGCCTTTGTCAGGGCACCATTGACTGTTTCTGAGTAGAGTCAGTGGTATTCCTCGGTAGCTAGCGCTTATCGGTGAATCAATCTGCTCATACCAGTACAGACGGAGCATTCACGCGTGGTTTTTCTAGCGCGAGTTATCCTCCAATTCCCAATGCCGATGGCCACAGAGGCACGATCGATTACATCCGGCGGTGTGTCAAATACGGTGACAAGACAGCCCTAGATGCCACAGCGAGCCATGATCCCGACCGCCCTGTCGATAACTCTCAACTACCCCCCGTAAGCCGGGGCACACTGCGCTATGAAGCTTTGTATTTGACCAACGCCATCTGGGACTTGAACCTTGACGTGAAACACTTTTCTCTCTCCTGGAGCTACCTGGGTGCGCTTTGAATCGTCCACAAAGAGCTCAACAACAGGCCGGATGCCCTTACGTGCCGACGACCTCAACCTGTCCCTCAACGACAGTGTAATTTGTAGGCGTCGGTGGAGTGACGTTGTTCTCAACCCACACCATCAATCAGATCGGCGAGGTGCTGCTGGTGGAGACCGGTGAAATCGACGACCCGACTCGTGTAGGGAGCTTCGATCTTTTTCTCGACATGGTCTGCATTATTGCTGTAGTACTGACGATAGCGGTGTTCAAGGCTACCTTACCTGTGACCTCACGGAAGTGGTCCTTGTACCAATTTGAGTTGAGTTCTTTATAGTAAGACAAACGAGCTAACGACAAAGCATTGAGGAAGTTGAGCGTCGCCAAGGACCTGTCTGACTTATGGACATCGCCTCCCGGGGAAAAGAACTGTCTACTACGTATTGTCACAAACTATGGCGAGAGCTTGAGCACACCCAAAAAAAATCATTTTTATTTCATCTTTCCTATAATAAACAAATAATCCCAAAACCCCAATCACAAAATCCTAAACAAAAACAAGAAGTCAATCACAAATACTAGAGTTTACTCAGCAGCGATAGCGCCGTCAATACACTTAGTACCTGCAGCAACGGTGGAGACAAAAGCCCAGCCCCCGTTGCAGATACCCCAAGAAGTCTCGGAGAAACAGTGCATCATGCCCGACTTGACATCAGAGGGACAGGCCTGGAACTCACCAGACCAAGCGGGAGCGCCAGCTTCAGGCTTGGCTGAGTCGACGGGGGCGGGAGCATCGGTGGGCTGGGCGGGAGTGCTGGGCATGGTGACCATGCTAGAGGGGGCTGCGGGGGCTGAAGGTTGGACGGGGGCAGAGGGCTGTTCAGGTGCAGGTACAGGAGCAGAGGGTTGTTCGGGAGCGGGTGCAGGGACACTTGGCTGAACAGGAGCCGAGGGAGCAGCTGGGGCACCCTCTACAGGAGCAGAGGGCTGCTCAGGCGCGGGAGCAGGAGAACCAGACTCAGCAGGCTTCTCGGGCTCAGGCGCAGCAGCATCATCCTTAAAGTTGGGCTCAACACCCTTGGCACAAGTACCCTCACTCCCAGGCGTACCCTGCTCGTAAATCTTACCGAAATCACCTGGCTCAGGGAAGTTGATGACACTTCCACTGGCACCGGTAGTACACTCTCCAGGAATGTTGGCGCGGAAAATAGCAGGCAGCGTATCAACGTAGCTACTATCATCCTTCCCGCCCACGACTTCAATAGGAGAGCAGACCATGTACATCTCGCGATTACCAATCTTGTTAAACCAAGTCCACGCAAACGTCGCCGGTCCATTCTGCATATCCTTCGGAATCGGAATGTTGAACTGCTTAGTACACTCCTTACCCGTATCATCCCCACACTCCTTACCGTTCTCCCGCCCATGCGGATCAGTACCGGTAGTAGGAATATTACCCTCCGCCTCAGCGGGACAACCACCGATGATGCTGTAGATGGTATGCCACTTCTTAGGATCCTTGGGGGGTTCCTTTCCGTAGGCGACGCTGAACTGGCACGATCCGCCGCCGTGCACGGCGCTGCCCCAGAACTTGACGAGCTGGGTCTTGCCGGCTGTTACCTTTGTGACTTGCTCGGGGTGCTGGGTGCGGCCTTGGCAGGGGAAGGGGAGGTCTGCGCTGAGGGGCCAGGTTTGGTAGAGGGGTTCTGTGTCGAGGTTGAAGGGGTGGGGCTCGACCATGATGACGTGGGAGGAGACTTGGGTAGCTGCGAGGGCTAGGACGCTGAGGGTTGAGAAGAGAGAAGGCATTTTGATGGTTGTGGGTGATACTTCTTTAGTAGAATGTTGTATGTGTTGATTGTTGAGTTATGAAAGTTGGTTGTTGTTGTGATGCAAGATGCAAGTGTTTGATGGATGAGGAGAAGTGAGATGATATTTGGTGGCCATTTCAGTTTATTATATATGAGAATCTGTAAGTTACATGTTTCAGTGTTCTTGGTAACAAAGGATAGTAGTATGTCACCGAACAAAATGGTTGTTGCCAATAGAACAACAGCAAACGTACTGTCGTCAATACCCCAAACAAGGACAAAAAACAATCATCTCACATTGAATGTTCAATATTCACCAAATTGCCTTAAAGTTCACCAGTTTATGACCGATGTGGTAACAGAGAACAAATGAATAAAATCCCAAGTGACCAAAGACTTAGGATACCTGAGAGAACTTTATCATGGGTTGGTATATTCTTTATTCGATTCACCTTGTTCTTCAACCCAAGGCTTTCGATTTTGCGACTCACCGAAGATCTAAAACATTGCAAGACTCGTGTACAATTACTGATATTTAACTCGACGAACACTCTGCGAGCGCATTTCATTCGTCACGCATTTCTACAAGCTCTGTCAATGAAGGAAAGACTATTTCCAAGTCTTGTTATCCCAAGAGATGTAGGCTGTCAATCGCTTTGTCACCTCTCGAGAGAAAACGTAGAAGCCAAAAGTCTGGACGTCAACCCTAAGAGATGAAAAGCTTAGGTACTTTAATAAAATATTAGAAGGACCTTTTGATGAGTTTTGTATAAACTTAGGATGAGTTTATAAACTTAGGATAACTTTATAAATTTAGGATGACTTTATTACATGACATGCTACAGTCCAGAGGCTTCGTTCTCGCTGCCCTCGCTTCCACTCTCCAGATCGCTTGCGCCGCCCTCCTCGTCATCACTCTGAAATTCCCACCGGTACTCATGGTACCGCCTCCAAAATGAGAAAAACATAAATTCCCAATGGCGAACCATTTCTGGGCCTCCGAGGTCCAGTGTGTTGTTCTTTCCGCAGCCTTCACTGGGCGCATCGACATAAGCACCGGTGACCTGCCCGTCATAAAGGTCCAAAGCCTTTGCATCTTGCATGTGGCGGATATCGCGCATGACATCCTCCCAAATATCTTCGTAATTATCCGGATCAATGCAACAATACTGAACGGTGAGAAATTTGAGGGTTGAGGCGTGGCGCCGAATGAACCCGACGAGTTTCTGAGGGTCTATCTCACCGCAGCTGAACTCAACGCGCTGAAGTCGGCGAAAGGTAACGTCATCCGGAATTGCAGAGAACACTTTCATGCCGTGAGGCTCTAGAAGAAGATCCTCCAGTTGGGGCATAGAGGCAAGAAGCTGGGCGATGTTTCCCTGATCCATCGACTTCCCGCCGATAAATGCACCATCAAATGCATCACGATAGTCGCTTAGGACGAGGTGAAATTTGGTCATGCAGTTGCTGGAGAAAGAAGAGATGAGTTTTGGAGGGAATGGAGACTCGTGGCTGTCGAAAAGAAGGATCGGGAGGCCGGGCTGATATAATGACGTATCTCCTACCTCCAAAGAGGCATCTACTCTGAATTCAGTGAGACGGGTACGGATACTTGGGTCCCCGAGGACTTCAAGGGCGATGATTACAGCACGGGCTTCTCGGCCGACCATGCGGCAATGGTACCCGTCAAGAAACCCATTGTGGCTCGCGAGATCTTCTGTCTAAAGCCTCATCAGGATTGGGTTGGCACAAGGGAGATGGCTAAATGAGCCTTTGACTTACGGCGGATTGAGCATCTGCTGTATCACGCTTCTCTTGCTCATCGGCGGTAGGCGGCACCCCATACTCTTTGATGTATTTCTCTAAATCGTCGTTGAAAAAGTCGAGTTGCATTACTTCGGCTCTGGAACCAGGCTCGTGCCATGGCGCTATCCAGTCGCACCTGGGTGGGAAAGGAGGTCGCTCCTGCTTGGTTGCCCCAAAACGCCTCCACATTTTGACAACTGGGCTACTCGACTCTTCACTCTGCGCTCCTGAGTCGAAGTCGTCATCGGCCGTGCGGTTGCTGATAACGAGACTTCGCAGTGACTTGAAAAGAGGCATAGCCTGCTTGAGGGCAATGATGTCGGCATGACTTTGGCGGTTCTCGTGGTGGCCTTTGAGGACAGACGTGAATAGATTGTGGAACTCTTTGTCTGGTTCATCGGACCAAATACGACCTGCCTCGTCGAACTTTTGGGGCCAGTGATACGCATTCTTCCGTTCGGGCCACATGTGTGAGTACGAGGCCATGGTTCTGTAAACCTCCCAGTCGGCGAGACGAGGCGACAGGGTGGTGTCGTCAATCACGAGTTCTTTGACACCGCTGATGAGAAGCGGGTTGCTTGTGACAAGTCGGAACACGTCGAGATCGAGCTGGTGGCATGACAGGTAGAGTACAGGGAAGAGGTACGGCGAGGCGATGGTGTTCAGCTTGGTGCAGGTTGCACGGAGCGACTTGATGGCATTTCCGGGAAGGAGTTCAGCCACGGCGACGTGTATCTCATCCGGCAATCTGAGAACATGACAGGACTCCATGGCTGAGGGCACAGATTTATGTGAGAGAGAAGAGGAGGGAGCGGATGGAGCGGATGTGGATGATGTGAGAGAGAAGAGGAGGGAGCGGATGTGGATGCGGATGAGGGAAGTTGTGGTGGTTGCCTGGGTGCCTTAGACAAGTGAAATTGGTACTGGCACTGTCACTGGCAACCGCGATCTCGTTGCGTAAGCTCATGATGTGGACCACCTCCTTCTACAGTTTTGCAAGATAACGTAACATGAATCATCGAAACTTCAGAGAATCTTGCCAAATCATAGGAATTTGTTACCTAAACTTAGGCAAGCCTTATGGCTGTGATCTAAACTTTTCATAATCTTGACAAATAAGGTCTAATTTATGACAACTCATCTAAGCCTTAGGATGTCTAGTTGAGCTTGTTGCTACACAAACCGAATGATCATAGCTGCCTACTAACTATAGCCAAGACCAAAGTCGCGACAGACAGTCCCCTCACGGATCAGGGCCGAAAGCGCCACTCAGCAGCATCTCATTGACTCCCTCTTCATACGCATTCAGCCAGCGATCCCACTTCCCGTGCTCATCATCATACTTCCAGATCTGCCCGAGATCCTCCAATGTCTCATTTCTTCCGCAGTTGGTGATAGCAATACCCTCGAACACGTCATTAATGTCGGAATCTTCCTCCAGCTGAAGGATACCTTGGTTGTGGAACTTGGTCAGTTGGTTGGTGACTTCCCACCATGACAGTTTTTTATCATACGGCCTGAGACTGCAGTGCTCAATGATGAGGGTCTTCAACGTGTGGCCGTGGCGTCGGACGAAGTCGAGGAATGTCTCGGGGTGTAAGTGCCCGCAGCTGAATTGAACAAATCGCAGGCGGGGGAACGTCATATCGACAGGAAGGGTGGAAAATATCGGCATTCCATGAGGCTCCAGGTACAGTACCTCTAGCTGGATCATAGATTCAAAGATCCGGCGGACTTTGCCCTCCTTCACAATTGCATCGCCAATAGTACCGTCCGGGAAATTACTGAGTGTGAGGTCGAACTTGGTGATGTTTGTTGCTGCAGAAAATCCGCTTTCAAGTCGTGCGGTGAATGGGGACTGTTGGTCGAAGAGCGTGATGACCAGGCCGGGCTGATGACCTCGGGACACCATGTTGTAAGTCGCATCGGCTCGGAATTCAGTCAATTGAGACTGTAGCTTGGGGTCTTCGGAGGACGAGGAGTGCGAGAAATATCACCCGCGCCTCGCGCGCCAGAACGCGAAGTTCTGAGCTGGGAGCGTCAAACAGGAATTCGGCGCGCTCTTGTTTGAACGTTTCCTAGTCATCCAACTCATCATCGCCCTGCGATACATCAGAGACAGTGGCAAAGGAGCTCAAAGGCAGGCAGACTTACGTTGTTTTGCTGGTCAACAAAGAGGTCATACGTAGACTGAACTGCAGTCATGTCTGAGACACCATTTTTCGTGATATCGAACACCAGTCGGTCATCGAGCCAGTCCATGGTGTTGACTGGTGTTCTGTCATGAAGGCCTTGGGTGGTTGGATGCCAATCGCATTTTGGCACCAAAGGCACAAACTCCTCCGTTTCACAATCGAAGCGCCTCCACAACTTGGCCACGGGGCTTGATGAATCTGTGCTCTGCGCCCCGTCGGAGTAGTACTCGGTGGCCATTCGGTTAGAAACCACGAGGGTCTCAAGGCTCTTGAAACGGGGAAGTGCCCTCTTGAGCGCATCGAAATCTGCGTGGGCTAGGCGGTTCTCATGATGACCTTGGGCAGTGCTGTTGAAGAGCTTCCAGGCTTCTTTGCTTGGCTCGATTTTCGAAGGCTGCCCGTTCATATAACGAGGATCAAGGGTCTCGCCTTCGCCAAGTCCCATGTGGTCGTGTCGATCATTTGGTTCCTGTGGACAGGTAACCACCTTCTGATACGTAGCCCAGTCGCGGACCGACGGCGGGACAGTGGTGTCGTCGATGACCAGTTCGCGTACACCGCCGATGAGAAGAGGGTTCTTGGAGACCATACGAAAGACATCGAGATCCAGCTGATGACAGGAGATGTACAGGATCGGGAACAAGTACGGGGATGCGATGCGGTTGAGTCTCTTGCAGGTCTCGCGAGCGGCCTTGACGGCACTTCCTGGGAGGCGCTGGACAATATCATCGATGACCTCGTCCGGGCAGTCGAGCAAGCTGACCGGCGCCATACTGTGTTGACGGACGGCGGGCGCTTGTGGGCTTAAAGTGTAAAACTGTTGTATGTGGTGGTTTGAAAAGAAAATGTCAGCAGTGAGGAGGTGGAGAAAGAAATCATGACGACCACGCGCGCGGCACGCGGCACGCACAGCTTTCGCGTCTGGTTGTGTAACCTCAAGTTGCAGGCTATAAAGTAGATACCTCCTGAACTAGATGCTATAGTAACAGTCTCTAATAAACTTGAAAGGCATGAGTTAACTATGTAGAAGGAACGTATTTCTTCTCATTCTTATTTATAATTATATTATTAATAATACCATGATTTATACTGTGGTTATGGACTGGCCTACCTACCTATGTTAGCTGTTTCACATGAGAGTCTTGTACTGATAAACTGTCCTTATTGACAACTCTAACTATAGGCCATAGCACTGAGGGTCGGGCTGTTGATGGTTAAAGTGGTAGATTAAATGTTCAATGATCCAGCCGCGATAATTACATCAAGACTAGACAAGACCAAGTCTCGCGAACTGGTCCACAATGTCGCTAGAAAACCTGATTTGTTCATTCTTTTGACCAACTGACTTGGCATAGTAGTCACAAGTGCCCTGCCTGCATACATAATGCAATCTACCAGGACTCCCACTGTTCTGGCCGGTTACCTGAGCCTTGCTGGACTTGCTGCAGTAACATGGTGGGTTATCAAGGCTGTTGCCTCTTACGTCTGCGAAGCTCAAGAACTTTTGACAGTTTGTACATTTATGGTATGGCCGGCCTGCGCTCCCGTTTCGATTTGATGATCGGGTGACTAGGCGTCGGCTGGGACTGTTGCAGACGAAACAAACTGGGGGACGTGAAGGGGCAGGAGCGAGAGGAATGTTGAAGGTGTTGGACGATGGAGTCGCCTGTGGGTTGAATTAGTAGAGGCATACCATGAGAAAGTTGATGGGAGCCCTCATACCATGATGGAAGTACAACTTCATGTATCGGTAGGCTATGATGGTCTGGTTGAAGTTGGAACGATAGGTTTATATGGACCGTTGAAAGCCGATCAGGCTCTATCAGGTTCTATCACGAGCGGGGAATGTGGCACAAGAATGAAGCAGTTGAGCGAAATGATTGGATGTATTGGTGCAATACAAATGCAGGAGGCCTACCATCCCAAACCCCGCACATGGCGGAAACAAGAAGATCAACGAATTCACAACCCTCATCATTTGAGTATCCAAACAGTTCTGAGCCTACAGGTTTCTCAGCACCAACGTTGGGTCCTTCAAAAACACGTTACCGAGCACCAGTATGGAGACTATTCACCCGACGACATGCGCCAGCTGCGGGACGCAGGCAACCATGCGGTGCGCTGGATGCACAGATGCGCCGGACTACGATCCTGGAGATTCCATGAAAGTTGTTTACTGTGATCGAAACTGTCAAAAAAAGCACTGGAATGACCACAAGAGCCGTTGCCGTGTCATGAAGCAGCGTAAAATATTGTTGAGGGCAGCCACCATCCTTCGAGCAGCTTTGTTGACCTACCGAGAGATTCTATATGATATCGACCTCACAAAAATTGAAGCGAAAGATGGAATGCTCTATCTTTACCAAAACCAAAGAGCTGTCACCTCCCGTGTCAAGTGGGGACCCTTTCCAGACCATTTGACCTCCAATGCCGAGCACAGAGAGGCAGCTCTCACTATCAACCAGTGCACGATGGCCACGGCGCTTTTGAGTCGTCTTACCAGAAACTTTCTCACAGGCAAGTCACTTCGGATGAGAAAAACATACTATGAGTCCTTTCTTACATTTTCCAGGAGTACGCTCGGATGCCGAGGTATTGGATATTCGAATCGGAAAACCACTAATTCCACCAAAGCTAGTTCCTGGCCCTGACTTAAGTTCCTGCCCTCATACAGTGATTAAGATTGACTTATTATCTACCAAGGAGTTGTGGATAATTGACACAGCAGGGTGTCAGTATGGGTTTCGCGAGGTTCTGGTTCCGTTCAACAAGTACATTGCAGACAAGGCCTGCCAAGTAGGAGGCAAGCCCACCACATACAATTGGACAGAAACGAAAGACCTCGATTATTTCTCTACGCTGCCTTTCATGAACTCACGAGCCCAAAAGCAGGACCGGGAGGTAGAACGAAAGGCTCGGTTACACTTTGCCGACTTTGTTGACAGACATGTCAAGGCCAATATACTGGATGGTTCTGCTTCGGAGTTTAGCAACAAGCTTGCCAGTCTGGTTGAGAGATTGAAGATACATATGCTGAACTTTGCGGAATCTCAAAATGGAACTCGGGCATGATTGCCATGCTCCTGTACAGGTTTCGGATTGCCTAAAGATAGAATATTGAATTGGGATGTCAATGTCTGTATGTCTCTTGAGTAAGTTACCTTTCTGGATGTTACTTTCGGCGTACTTGTTTCGCCTATCAGTCCTTATTTATCAGCTTCGCCTATCAGTTCTTTTTTAGGAGTTTCCAGATTCAGAAAAGTGCAGAACCTCCCTGTTTCACTGCCTTGTCTTGTGGCCGTGCTCAGTGCTGTTGGTTGCTATGTTGTTGGTTGTGGTTGTCCCACTTTTGTATGCAGCTAGGCAAATCAGGAAACATATCACTCAGCTGGAAATAGGGAGGGTTTGGGACAGGTATTTTAATAAAAGATTCTCTTACTTAATTTCTATAAGAAAATGGCTGGGGAACTTTGTCCAGTGAGAACAAGACTTGATAGTTCTACGATAAGTTGTTTAACTAACTCTTCCTCCCCCTTATTTAGCCTGGTCAAGTTAGAGTAAAGTTTACCCCATAGATAAGTAGGTAGCTGGGCCGCAACTACCCCTTTTTGGGGGCACTACTGCATGACGGCGGAGATGACGATACTGATTAATCTCAACATCCATGCCAATGTTAGCTCGGACTTTCGGGTCACGAAAGCCATATATGGAGACCATCTGTTGCGGGCACGCGCAAAGCTGCTCCTCTTTCTGTATGGTGCAACGGAGGAAGATTCCCTCTGGCCAGTACAATTGAATTCGACTTCAAGGCGGATGCCCGCCTTGATTGCTTCTGGAACTATTAATTTTGCAATCAGCGAAGAAACGTACCCGGATTCCACGCAATGACTGTCCTGCCAATGATGGGTCTAGTACTTACTCTGTTCGCCACCCTGGGATCTTGCTACTCCAAATTCGCCCGTCCTCCAGAGTGGGACTCAGAACAAGATGCCGATGGAGACATGTTACTCAACCAACACTACAACACGGGAGATAAGATTCCGATTCTCTACGAGACAAATTTGAAAAACACCGAACTCTGGATTTGGCAAGTTCTGGACGACTACAAAGCTGGTACTCAGTTAGAAAGTACGATACCAAAGTCTTGTTCCGATATTGGTGTACTGACTCCGCAATACAGTAACAGATAATTATTGGCAGGCTCAGTACGATATTGCAGGGGCACTGAGCAACAATGAGGACGCTGTTTACTATTTCGACTTATATGAGCCTGACGATGAGTCTCAACTGGCCAAATCCCAATATGTCAATGTGAGCGCGCCGAGGAGAGACAAGACTGAAACTGTCACGGTATCAGTATCGATGTCCAAGACTTTGACATTCTCGACGCAAGTATCTACACTGCAAACATCGACAACTTTATCTAGTGATAGCAATGCTGCACCGACCGATCCACCCTCAAGCGATGAAACCGATTCATCGTCAGAAACAAAGTCGGGCGCTGGACTATCTTCGGCAGCGATTGGAGGCGTGGCCGCTGGTGCAACGATCGGTGGACTTTTGATCTTTGGGGGCATTGGATGGCTGGCTTGGAGGAGGCTTGCGAGAAAGAAGCAAGATAGACCAATTTCTGAACTTCCTGCTGATCTTCCTCAACAGCATCAGCCTGATCCTTCTCAGACCAAAGCTGAGCTGACAGGAGACATTGGCACATATCTTCCAGGCTATGCAAGAAGCCCCTCAGGGATCCACGAAGCACCATAAGCAACGGTCCGGGACGTTAATTTTATACGGGAATCAAGTTTGGAGACTAGTAACAAGTATTTCATTGATATTTAATGAATGTTGTAAGAAGCTGTCAAGAAATACGATGTGCATGCGTGATAGAAGACTACAGAGGCCTAATACAGCTTGGCGTCTGGAATATGCCCATACCACATGTATATTAGCATAGGAGCGAGGCGCAGTAAATTCCGTTGTATCATAGGGTTCATTGAATTTGAGAAGATTATCTTACGCAACGGTTTCTTGGTGAGAGTAGGGCAAGGAGACTAGATCTCGGGTCTGAAATCCCGAGGTCCCTGTCTCTTCACACCATATCTTCACTCTGGTCGAAGATCCTCACTGCTTATGCTCAGAGCTGCCGGGGACCATATCCGGATTTGGCTGGCGATACAGCACTGGGTCTCGAAATCACCATTGCGGATCAATTACCATACCAAATTTGTGAGCTGGGCGAGTTGGGAGGCTTGTGTTGAGCTGCAGTATCAGTAGGTGACATGTTAACTAAGACGTATTGGTAAAGTAAGTTTTAATCAAGTCTTTATCCTTATCTACCGTTGCCTCTTGTGAATTTGTATAAAAGAACCGGTATTGACTATGTCGATGTCGATGATCAGACGCATTCAATGCAGATAGGCCAGGAGATATTGAGATGTTCTATTTATCTCTATACAGGATCATACTTCCCTAGAACCCGAGGAAGTCTACCCAGGCATAACACTTTGCTGAAATCCTGGACAGAACAGCGATCATTAGGATGACGGAATCGGACCAAATGCCCGTAATCCCAAATTGGATGCATCCAACCCCCTTCTTACCCAATAAGATGTAGCCAACAAAACGGTAGGCCTCCCCTAGTGCATGGTTTTCCCCATCAAACCAATGCAGCCAATCAAGTAACCACAAAACCATTTATTACAACTTGCAATGCAGCCAACTTGGTCAAGCTGAGACGCAAGGGCGGCCCACCAAGTCGATGTTCGCAAGTCGCCGGTTTTGGGATTGTTTGAAAGTGTAAATATGTGTTTCTCTACTGCCCTGATTGGATCCTGGGTGAGACATTCTTATCTGTTGAAAAGATGAAAGGCCAGATACAAAAGGCACCAACTCTCATTGAATTCTAGCCAACAATTATCCAACAACATCCTTTCTATTTCACCGTCACAGCAGCTTAGTTGATGAACAACATTGAATACTCTCCTCAGATTGAGGACGAGTCCACGGAAGTAAATTTCGTGGACTCGGACTATCCCCTCGATTGTAAGTCACAAGCTCAACTTATGATACAGTACTCTGAAGTACGCCATTAGCCACTTGACTGACGCTGTACCTACCTAAATTTCAGTCTCGGCTGCACAATTCTCGGACCCGTCTATCTTACTACCTTCTTCTGATGTGAATCAATGGTTTAATTCAGAACACTCGACACTTGGAAATGCTGCTCCATTTTCTTCCATGAGTCATCCAGACTCGTCTGGAGACTCTATGCCCCAGGCCGTTAATGACCTTTCGAGCGTTGATTTCTCACCACCAACAGCAGAGGGGTATTTGCATTTCAACTACCCTGACCCCCTTTCCTTCTCTATTACAGATTCTTCGAATTCGCTGCTTAACCTTCCTGAAACCCAGGACCAAGTATGTCTAGGGGATATGTTGCCTTCTGGTTCACTGGATCTTGACTTCACTCTGTAGAGCGGAGATCCCGAGTACAACCAGACAAGCGAGCCTGTCTCCGATAAATCTTGTCCCCCGTTTGATGAAAGTGGAGCTACAAAATCACACTCATTTTACAATACTACATCTGATCCCCACGATTCTTCTGACAACATGTCGGGGAATGAAGGTCTGAGCTTGGAGACGATGGATGACCAAAAGTTCAAAGAGTATCCTGTTACTCGTTTGAAAAAGAACGAGTTTATCGAGAATGGAAAATTTCTTTGCAATAACGCGGACTGTCAGAGGACCTTTGACAAAAACCGGGAGAGGAAGTAAGCCACGACAAGTTTCCGACTTTTCTCTTGCTAATCAAGGCTGAAAGTAACCATCTTCGATCGCATGAAAAGCCTTTCCATTGTTCCTGGCTTGGTTGTCAGGTCAAGGCTTCATGGAGGAAAGACATCATTCGGCATTATGATAGTCATTACTCGCAAAAGATCATTCCATGCCTACAATGTGACGAGGCTTTTACAAGACCTGACAACCTCAGGAGACATGTTGAAGAAATCCACGAGGGGAAGAGAAGAACGCAGAAATCTTAGCTACAAACTTTCCTTATCAATGCATACGAAGTTAACTATTTACCTCACTCGCCCCGTGATTTATCAGTAGCAGCCTTGAATAAACAGCCCCTTTACTGATCGGGTTTGCGTCAAGTGCGAGATAGCGATTATGACAGCCGCTTTCGTTAATACCCGCCCCGATCAGGTCAGTCTCCCAAACCTACACCTCCATCCGACTCCTCGTCACTATCTCCAGACTCATTATCAGTGTTGGCAACAATCTCATCATCATTGAGATGCGCCAGTGAGTCAGAATCTGTAACTGCGTTCTTCGTCAGGACATACTTGAATGCAGATGTGACAGTCATTTTTAGTGAACTAACCATTACTTCCTCCATCACCGCTCTCAAACGCTTCTCCAACTTCAGAAAGTGCGACAGATCCCATGACTGCAGTGATGTTTGTTACCGAGTCTGGCTGCCATGGAGTTGGTTGCTGTTGAGTTATAATCTGCTCCTCTACAAGGTTGCTTAGCTCTTTGCTAAGATTTGCCAGAACGCGACGCTGGTCTGGCCAGTGCTGACTCTCTTTACCCTCAGGTAGATCGATAGGACGCCAACTGAGATACGACTTTTGGTGAGATTCAGGTTCAACAAATCTGCCCGGATGCCATTTGAAGTATAGTTTGCAGCACAAACAAGCGAGCTTGCTACAGGCTATGTAACGATCATGGCCCACAAATTCGCGTCGATTGCGATGAAAGTCTTCGAGAATCTGGATCTCTGCATGGACATTATGATTTGTTTCATCGTCGTGCAGAGCCCTGATCGCATCTTCAAGCCGCATTGAGCCGTCCAACTGCCCAAGATACGTTTGCATGTCCCCCAGACGTGGGTCGCCGGCTGGGAGCATTCTCACGATTATAGAATCCAGGTTTCTCAAACCGTCTGTCATAGGTATCTTTGCTGCAACGGGGGCTTCCACTCTTCTGATTTCGTAGGAGTCTAGAAGCGGTCTCAGTAGACGATAGTCATTGACGAGATTGATAGGTGTGCGAATCTTCTCAGCCAGACGGCCAACAAGATGCTTGACGGAGCGAAATGCGTCTGCTGTTCCTTGTGGGGCCACTGCCAGCTCTTGTCGCAAAGCCTCTAATGTTGCCATCTGAGGAGTATGGCGAGCATTGTAAGCAGCCCGACAAAGGGTTAAAGGGTCGGTTGCAGCAGAGAACTGGGGTAGCCAGTCCAGTAAGGCGGTAATTCCTACTTGATTGTCAGCCAAATGTCCCTTTGTGATCGCTTCTGTCTTACCAGGTGTCTGAATAGTATCGAGGTTGGCTGTTAAGTAGGCCTCACAGGAACGGGTAGACCGAATTAGGATTCCACGTTCTTTTCTAAATCTTGGACCCGCAAATTCGATATATCTAGCTGTCAACGTCGCTATTAGAGTTTCTCTTTCTGTTTCCGTCGAGCTTGGTTCTATTCGCAAGTTCTCTAGGACGATAGAGAGAAACTCGATGACGCGATCATTAGGCGTCACATTCGATGCAATCCAAAATACGACACCGTTGTCCAAAGACTCAAGAGCAATCGAGGTTGTTGTTTTGCCGCCCTTTTGGTAGTCGCAAAAAAAGCACAAACTTGAAAGAAACCTTCGCCTTATGCCTTGCAGGTCTGTAGGAGGTCGCGGGATGGTATGGGGACCGTTGGCTCTTTTAAGAATATGGAAGAGGGCAAGGAACTCAAAGAGTCGAGAGAGAATTCTCGTGTACTTGTCTAAACGTGGTGGTCCGATACCCATGTTGATGGCAGGTTTTGTCGTAATAGTCACTGGCAGACTAGGTAATCTTAAAAATGCAAGCTTGCTATAAAGGAATGAAACCAGCGGGAAGGTGAAGTCGAGGAAAGCGCTGCATTTATACATTTATGAATTTCTTCTACTTTCGAGTCTTTGAAGCCCAGGAAGGCTTTCTCGCCTCTGTTGGTAGGCTTCCTGCATATGTGGGTAGCCTTACAAGGGGGAGGGAGGGTTGAAAATAAAAATCGGTTGGGGTCGAGCACATTCGATCATTCGATGGATGCCTAGCCACGTATTTACTCAATTCAAGACATGGCATCGCGGCAATTGAAATCAAGTACTCTACCATGAGAAGCTTCTTAACAGAGGGAATGGTACGGATATTTGTCTATAAAGTTCAGTATCAAGAGCTTGAGAAGATAAAAAGGAAATATAATAGTAGATTGTTGCCATAAGCTGAGTCGGGAAATAGCGGAGTAGGCCCTGATAAGAAATTATCGTTACTTCTTCCATGTTGTCTCAAGTTTCCCAACATGGGAAAACAACGGTCCGTCAATTCAGCCTTCGATTGAGTGCGGGGTTGGGCCTCAAAACCGAGTCAGGCATACCTGCAGTGTCCAAAGGGAGCTGAAGCAAAGCCATCTATCTCATCAAGCCTCAATGTGCCGCTGCATTCCTCAAAACCTGGGGTTTCGTGCGGGGGTTATCGCTCATTCTCAATGATTTTGCAGGTTTATACCCAAATATCAAGGATTGGTCGTTAGGTATGTCGGAAGACATCTGTCACGACCAAGAGAAGCTTTGAGATATGTTGGCGGGATTGATCGGCTGGAATGAAGCCTGGGAACTTCCATTTTATAGGTATTAGTGGTAAGCTTACAATAATTGGATTTTGTTCCGTGAGCCGGGCTTTCGCCTCCTTAGCCCCCTAGATCATGTCTAGTGGAGCTTAACAGTGATATGAAACAACTGAAATGACCTTTGTTGTCAATCCAAATCAACGTACGACGCGCAAACATGTTGGGACCGAACTCTTCCATAACTTCCGTGCAAGATGCTTAGACCCTTCTCTCTTTGGCGACACGAAGAAAAAGTAGCTGGAGAGCTATTATCTGAACTACCTAAAGGGTCAATCGCCATCTGCTTCTTTCCTGCTTCTGGGAGAAAAGAGTAGGGAGGAGTAGGACAATCTACTGTCTTATACTAGCTTGATCTTGTATATGCTTTCACTATTACCAGCTGGATGAAGAGTATTGTTAAAGAATCTACTTAATAAAAATCGTTTTCTGGTCTCCCCAAATTGGCCCAGTAGGAGTGCTTTTCTGATAGTCTGGCTCGAAGTATCCGACCCTGTAGAAAAACCCGTTGCTTTGTTCAAGGACTATACCTTGTGGAATAAATTTGTGCACGCGGTGAACTTCCAAGCAAAAGAACTCCTTCTCTGAAGGAATATTTTTGCTATACCACCGGATTATAATCGGGGCAGAAGACACTTTTCCATTAGCCTTGAAGTAGACGGGTCGGGTTCCATGCAAGTAAATCTTTAGCAATACCCCAGACACCTCTAAGCACCCTCCTTTGACACGCCCATATTCAACTTTGTCATCTGAAAGTTCAACCTGGGAATATTTTACCCCTAACTTGAAGTCATCGGCGTCGCCTCGGTAGGGTATGGACTCTGGCCAGGATATGCCGCTACGAGCCAGGTGCCACGACCAAGTGGGGGATTTCTCTTCAGTTGATAGTATATCTGGGTAGGTGGCTTCATCATCAAGGTCTTTGATATACCATAGCAAGCCGAACGGTAGCCAGGAGGTCCACAGTCCTGCCTTGTACTCGTCAGGCCCTACGTTGTGTCTTTGGGCGTAGTCTGCTGCAACAGCCGCGAAGGCTGGTAGTCGATCTTTAGCTTCTCCGATGAACCTAGTAGTAAGCTCTTCAACCAAGTCTGTCCATTCGTAGGAGTCCTTGACTTCGTCAACAGTGGAGTACTTATCCAGTGACTCTTCATCATTTGATCCTCCGTCAACACGGTAGCCACGAGGACACCGCCAAACCATTTGTGAGCTGCCGAAACGCAAAACGCGATTTGCAAGTTTGTCTTCCTGTAAAGTCCAAGAACGTAAATCAATCGGTTCCTTCCTGATGCGCCTGATCTCTCCTTCGGCGCAAAATGCAAACTCTTCAAATCGGTTGCCCTCACTGTCGACTTTGTGCCACTGGATGGCCCAAGTGCTAAGATAGCAAGACTCAAGGTCGCGCTCATGAAGGAAACCTTGGTCGCTGTGTGACGCCAAGGCTGCCGAGATAACAATAGTTGCGCCTTGGTAGATTTGCCACATCTTAGAAATCTCTTTGCTTTTGTCCTCCTTCCAGTCTTGAACGATACAGAGAGCATCCACCCAAAGGTACTCCAGACCAAGGGTGCGTGCTACCTTTACTGCGTCTCGCAACGTACTCGGTAGTTGGATATAATCAAACCCCTGTTTTCGTATAGCCAAAGTTTCCTTCTCTGTCTTGAATCTGTTGTGGCCGGTATTGCCCCAGCAGTAACTCAACGCTGCATATGATAAAAAAACGGGCCGTCTTTGTATCTTCAAGGCGCAAGGTTTTGCAATCAGAATCTCCTATATAAATGAGTCGACTGGGCATCTCTGACCCAGCCGTCTCTCCACATTCTTTGTGATGCTCCAAACACTCCTGCAGCCAACGCTTTGCCGTCATTAACTCAGCCTTTGGTTGCAACGACCTGTTCGCTATATGGTTGCTGAGACAGCTTTCTGGAGAATGTCAGACTGCTGCTACTTAGGTTATGGTTGTGGGGTAATTACCTTCCTCAGTAAAGAGGATCATCGGTCTCTCATCTACATCTTGACTCTTGTTGTCCTTACTTATCCAGTAGGATTCAAGTTGGCTTGCATCTTCAGGCGAAAGTTTGATCTCAAGACTCCAGTCGCCTAATTCTTCCAGTACACTCGAAGGAACTAGGGGATAAAACAGTTGAAGCCGCTTGGCACATGCAGCTCCGCAGATCTCGCGTAGCAGCCCAGACACCGAAAAGGAGCCGGCGTTTTGGGCTCGATGTAGCTCCATGAGCTGTAGGGAGAACATCACACAGCCACTATTGGCAAATTCGCATACTTGCTTAAGTGTATACTTCCGCCGAATTTGTAGACTATTGCCTTTTCCTTTTCCTTTGTCTTCTTTATCCTTCACATCATCAATTATGATGAAATTGTGGCATAGACGACAATAATGAGGCAGAATGCCTCCTGGTAGCTGCAGCATTTGCTGCTGAATCTCATTCATCATGGCGAGCTCAAGAATAAAGGGAGATCATAGCAAGCCTTGTACGAAGTGGCGGTTGCAAATACTGTTACGTTGGCTCCAGGCATCAAGACGGATGATGTGGCATCTGACTGGCAATTTCTCATATCTGATTGGTTAATGCAACATTTGTCACCTCTTTATCCCAACCAACACGAGGAAGCTGCACGTGAGATTCATCGCCCAACTGTCCCCTGCAACCCCCGCATCCGTTTGTTCAACTTCAAAAACTGCTTTCATTTCACGACTCTGGCGCTGCAACCGTATCCCTCTTAATTCTCACCCATCACATACGGCTCACGCCACACTTCCCCAATATAACCGTGAGCCTTGCTGATGAGATCACGACAGACTCACGACTAGACTCACGACTCACTGTGAGCCATCCAACTATGTATAAATATTTACTTAGCAGTAGACTTACCCTCCCAGCTACCAATAACACTTCCTTACATTAATAAGTCTAACACGCAGTACTTGACCATCAAGAGACGTGGTACTATAACGACTTCTCAGTATAACGTACGTCCTACGCACTCTGCAAACATAAACCTAGTACGGACTAGTTTTCCTGTTTGAAAGCCCAACCGTTGCAACATGGCTTCCACGACTGGCATCCGCTGTGGTAGGTGTAATAGGGGCTTTCGATCACAGCATGCCAAACAGCAACACGTTGTGGACTCTGAAAATCACTATCTTTGTCATTTTTGCCCCACATAGGCCGATTATGAGACATTAAAAGAGTTGGATACCCACTTAGAGGAAGAGCATCATGTGTGCACTGCTTGTAATTATCGGCAGTTTGGGGATAGCCATCGACTGGCCCAGCATGATATGGATAAGCACAATATATGCATTGTGTGTCGAAGAGGGTTCCAAACCGCACAAAACTTAAAAATGGTTCGCTTTTGCCCAGTCTCGAATTGGCCAACCATAGGAGAAGCTGACTTCTGCTATACAGCATAAGCTTGTCCATGCTGAAAGAACCATCGAATGCGCAGGCTGCAGCCGGATGTTTGTTACTGATTCTGCTATGCTGCTTCATCTGGAAACTGGAACATGTGCTTCTGGTGCTGATAGAAATCTTGTCTCGAATGCAGGGCGGCAGTGCTATCGAGCATTTTACTACATTTCTTACACTTCAGGTTATCCGTTTCAGTGCCCAACGTGTGAGACACCGTTTAGTCTCATGAGTGGCTTGATCCAACACGTTGAGAGCGACTATTGTGACGAGTGCCTGGATCAAGATAGACCATTGCGGGTATTTCTAGATCAGTTGAAGTTGAGATTGAGTTGATGGCGACACTCCTTTTATGGTTTGATGGCATTGTTTAACACTAGGTCGTGGCTGAAGTGGTATAAATTTAGCTATCAGTATTTAGATTGATCGAATTGTAACTGCCATATATGCTGCTGTCTCAAAAACTTGAGGTCGCTCCTAGAACTGTTTTCTCGGACCCTTTGGTATTTGCAGGTCCTAGTCATACTATCGAGATGTTCCTCACCGCAAGTCGCTTATGGAAATTATTTTATGGGATGCTTGGCTAGTGGGAGGGTCTTCAAGTCTCGCGGAGTTTACAGAAATTCTTTTCTTACTTCGCAAGTACTGAACTCAGCATATCTCGCTTTCGACGTCCACGCATCTACGACCAATAAACGCCCGTTTAAGGGATCCTCAACTAATCTTGATGACCCCAATTACATCCTTGCATGTATGGTAGCTCGTAGTAGTTATATAATAGGGCTCTTATTAGCCCTTAGGTGGATTCAGGCCCGACAGGTTGGCCCCTATAAGTCTAAATACTTCTGATTCAGCACTTCTCAGTAAACAGCAGGTATTACTGCCAGCCTTAGATATTGAAACAACAGGCTTGTGGGGTTTTATGAACACCGGCTGAGTGTGTTCCAAGCCTCGCATTTCACAATCACGATAACGAAGCATCGAGACCAAAAAACATGACTCCCAAGTGGTATATGTGACTTTGGGCATCAAGGTTTTAATATTAAATGGCCCTTGCCCGTGCTGGTGTTTTAGTGCTGTTTGTTTCAGTTCCTGGATGGTCACTTTGGAGGCAGATGCGGCAGATGGGTTCGAGCATGACTGAAGCGCCATGTGTGAAAGCTTTTTTAGGATTATCATCGTTATGTAGCGTGATCATGAGATTTTGCGAGGCTATATTTTGCTCAAGCCTGACATGGAAAACCAAATCATGTCTTATAATGAAAGCCATTCATATTGGTAAGCTCAGCTTGTATCATTATGGAGAGATTCAATAGCTTCTGTCATGTGGTATTACACATAATGCAATCAGCTATTATAACCTTGATTTATTAATTGCTAATCGCGATTGTTATTCCAACACTGCTCTTCCTTATGCTTAAATCAGCCGACGTGGATCTACAATATACTGAACCCTTTTCTGAACAACGTCAAAACGCATATAACCACAACTCTCGCTCTCCAGATGGTTGACCATGGCGGCTAGAGTCGTGAAATCCTTTCTGCAAGAGGCTCCTGGGCAGTGATAGAGCTTTGACTGATGAGTAGGGGAGCCTAAGTGTTGATTCAAAGACCGCAGCTTGTCAAAGAGACGATGGCAAAGATAGCATTCATAAGCCTCAGCCTGGTCGTTCCATGCTTTCTTTGTGGCGGCATAGGTTACCGTACCAGACCAAGTAAGTAGCTTGTTCGAAATAATACCGCCTGGGTCCTGCTGACGGATGGCCGCATAGAGTTTATCACGGTTGAGAGGAGCTTTAGTGCAGCATCCCCTCTCGAGATGATGGACGAGTCCGGTGGCAGCTCCTTGCACATCCTTGCAAAAGGGACACTGTACTGTGGTTGTGCGATGAGCTTTACCGCGCAAGTGCTATGGAATGTAAGTTGACGTTATAAGAAAACAAGACATCAAGGCTACAAACCTGGCTGATACCATGCCAGTCCTGGAATGGACGAGCGCAGACAACACAATAGAAGTGGTCCTGAGCTTCATGATTGTGTAGCTCATATTCTTCGTCAAACTCGTCGTCGCCATGATCACACTCATAGAGGATGTCCTCCGATTCGTCCGATTCGTCCCAGTGATCCAAGTCGTTCATGTGCTGTTCAACTGCATTCTGGCTACCGAAGTAGCGGTTGCATGTGTCACACTCAAAGGCTGGAGCCTCGTGGCCAGTGGCGTTCATATGCTGCTCCCGCGATTGCCAGCCGGCCGGAAACTGTCGCCAGCATGTTCCACAGGTAAACATGACGAGATAAAAGGTTTTAATGATCACCGAGGAGATTGGCTCGTAGCCGAGAATCAGAAATCAGTAAGAGAGTAGGAGGGCAAGAAAGGATCCCAACAGATGCGGGAGGCCCACCAGGAATAAGGCAGCAACATAGATGTTGGTCGCACGCTATTGCAACCTAATCTAATAATTGGTTAATCTTTAACCTGGTTGGTTAGGGCTCCGCAAAGGTTTGTCTTATCTCGCCGATTTATGTTTTGGTTGGCTGTTCTACGAGAGAAGAGGAAACAAGAATCATGGGGAAGGATAAGACTGGTGAGGGGCTACAATGGTTACTTCTTGGAGAGACCTTCGGCAAAAGAAATCGACTCTATATTGACTTCAAACAGAAATATATATTCATTGTGAATACACCTAGATCTAAGCCCCCCTGATGGACGAGGGAGAGAATCCTTTATAGGTAGTCTAGCGTTTGCTTATGATAGAATATTTAACGCAACCCACTTTTTCTTCTTCTTCTGATTCTTGTGGCCAGGGCTTTAAGTCCCCTCAGTTGATTCTAGAGCTGTTTGGCTACCTTTATAAGTCTGTGGCGAGAATGAACCACAGAACTTTGCCGGACTCGACGTTAAAAAAGCTCCCTGCGCGTTCTCTACAGCCTCTGGCACCTTTTGCTTACTCTCTAATTTTCCAGCCAACGGTATGTGCCTGGCAGCATCATCGCAAAGGCTCGAAGGCGATGGTTTGGCAGTAAAGAGTTGTTCTATTACTGGATTGTCAAACCACACACTTTGAGGCTTGTTGAACTCTTCATCACTGCCCTCAACCTTCGAGGAATTTCCTAGCCTGGGAAATGGATTGTTGCTATCTACATCGAGTAGGGTATTGTCTTGTTGCATTGAAACTCCGCTAGCACTTGGAGCTTTCTGGACTGATGATTTGAGCTTGAAAGCGCCGAGACGATTACGAGGAATTGGAGGCTTTTCAAGGCGGTGGGCCGTAAAAGTCTCACGACCCATGGAAGGACACATGTTTTGCCAATATCGCGAACCGTCTCGTACCGTTCTGATTCGATATCAGCTAAGGCTCCGTAATCTGACAGTAGCTGTAAAGTTTGAATAATTCGATCTTCTAGCTCAGGGCAGTTTTGATAGACAGCTTCATGGAGGGGTGTGTTCCCGTGAGAGTCAGAAACGTTTGGATCAGCACTGCGTTCTAGTAAAAGTTCCACCACTTGTGGCGAAGCAAATCGACAAGAGACATGAAGAGCCGTACTCTGGCTTGTCTGTATGACGCATAGATGCCCGGGCTTGACATGGCCTTGTAACAGGCGTATGGATATTCCGGCGTGGTCTTGGCTCGAAGCAGAGAATAGAGAGAGATAGCCTTCATCATCATATAATCCTGGATCTGCTCTATTGTTGAGTAGTAGTTCAACCAACTTTTCATTGCCACTACTGCAGGCAAAATGAAGGGTCCTTGCTCCGCGGTGACTGCAATCTGCTGAGCGCCAACAGGTATGCTGACAAAGATGCATGCGGGATACCGCCGATTTGAGGTTTGGGTCCCACCATAGCGAAGCAAATGGTATAGAGTGTTGGTCAACATTGATTCCCACAGGGTGTGTGAGTCGTCTCGTCTATTTAGGAGATAACAAACTCCTCTAAAACCTCGCCATGGGGTCTTTTTCATGGCTGCCAGGTGAATGGCAGCCAGCCCAAAACGACTCAACCTACTCGGATCAGCTGCCCTAGCCAGGAGGTACTCTGTTGTTCTTGGCAGAGAGTAACCGGAAGCGATTCGAAGGCCAGCATCAAGTAATGCTTTATTCTGTGGTTGCACCACAGCGAGGCACAGAGGCGTCAGGTCTGGGAGACCCCTTCCAGGCTCCCAAAGATCGGTGCCAAGCTTGATAAGATGACTTGCCACATGTGGAGTAACTCCAGTAATAGACAGGTGAAGATATGTGATGTGTTTGAGCTTAAGTGGAGGTACAAAACTTGACAGGATCGATGTTAGCGCAAGATACTGCGGTAAAACAGGAACGAGAGAACTAACCCATTCAGCTGGCTGCTCAATTCATGATAGACCAGCCATTGCATCATACGCTGCGAGTCAAGTCTGATAGCGCGGGACGTGAATCTCCGGAATACCAGTTCCCGACGTCGAAATTTACAACACTCAACAAAGATAAAATTAAAGAGCCATTGGGAGGCCCGCCAACAGATGTAATGAACGCAACGAGTAAAGGAGCTTAAATCTCTCGAAGACCCGAGATATTCTACAATCTGAAGAAAAATCTCGAGCGGGAGGGTTGCAATGTAATCCATGAGGAGATGCTTGCGATGTTTGTCGTTTATTTCGAGATGAAATGGCATCTCACGCATCGACAATGCTTATCTCGCCCCGCAATGTTGTTGTGGCACGTGATTGGTGTATCTTCAAGCTTAAGGCTTTCAAGATAACCATCAAGATTAACGACGAACAGATGCACGAAATCCCTCACTATTCTCGTTCAACTCTTATGGTGGACACCTCTTCAATAGTTCATATAATAGCCATTATGTGCTGACCTACAGTCACAAGGTAACGAGATATTCTCTAATGTTTAAGAACGTGAGGTTGAGTCTTCTGCTAAGCTTTCACTAATCACTGCAGCTTTGCTAAATAAGAGAACTTTTCATCAAGGCATATATAAGGTTGGACCTATATACGTTCTGTATGCGAAACACAGTATAGATATCCAGGCCCAGGCTCCGTATCCATTCTAACCTTGTAACAGACCCGAAAGGGTGTCTTGAGTGAGTGTATGAAGATCTTAATGGAATACAAAGAGCGAGACTCTAACCAGAGTAACCCCAGCGAGGGGCGTTGATGATGATACCACAGATTACGCCGGAGATGACACCAGCAACGGGGAGAGTGATGATCCAGCCCATGTAGATCCAGGCAACCATGCGCCAGTTGATAGAGCGCCAAGTACCAGAGCAGAGACCAACACCAACGGTGGCACCAGTGATGCACTGAGTTGTAGAGACGGGGAGCTCTGGGGGGGTTGTTAGTCACAGTGAAACAGGAGGTCAGGCTCGAAAGGAAGGACTTACTAAGACGGGTGGCGAGGATGATGGTGATGGCTGCACCCAACTCCATGGAGAAACCTCGAGAAGGAGAGTGGAGAGTGAGACGGTTACCAAGGTTGCGCATGATATTGTATCCATAAGTCCAGATACCAAGAGCAATACCGGCACCACCGAAGCAGCTACGCAAGTTAGTCAATGATCAAACAAGTATCAGATATTCAACTTACAGAATCCAGACAGGAACAGAAGACTTGCTACCCTCAAGACCACCAGTTCGCCAGATCTGGTAGATAGTGGCATAAGGACCAATGGCGTTGGCGACATCGTTGGCACCATGAGTGAAAGAAGCGGTACAGGCAGTCATGACTTGCATAAAGGTGTAGAGGTACTCAGCGCGGTTGTCGTAGTGAGCAACGTGAGCGTGAATCTCGTCCAAGTCACCAGTAAGCATGCTCTTCTTCTTCTGCATGGCGATGATATCCTGGTCAACACCAGAAAGGAAAGCCTTCTTGAGATACCAGAAGAGAACAGCACCGCTGAACCACTTTCCATCAGGCTTGGGCCCGACAAGGCTGCGAGGAGCCTTGGGCTCAACGCGCTCCTCAATGTCGGGAGTACCCTCGGAGGTCTTCTTGTTCTCAGTGGTAGCCTCCTTGCCCTCATTGCTGGTCTGATCTTGAGCGCGCTCGAACTCATCACTTCCAGTGCGACCAGCACGGCGAAGACCATCGAGCTCTTCACGGGTCAGATGACCCTCGTAGAAATCCTGAATACCACCAGCAGCGCCTTCGGGCTGAGCGGGAGGAGGAGGGCGACGAAGGAGGAGAGGACCCTGGAAGATGTTCCACCAGCGAAGCTCCCAGTCATCGCAGATGACGAGGCGGTAGAGCCAGGGGACGAGGAAGATGGTGATGAGAAGAGCCCAAGCGGCACCGACACCGATGATCATACCAGCGGTCTCAGCGTCGTTAAAGTCAACCTTAATGCTACCGCCCTTCCAGACGATAAGCATAGTGAGGAGAGAAGCAGTGATGCCGAAGTAAACAGGAGTAAGGAAAAGACCCTTCCAGACGGGCTTGCTTCGCAACATAACACCATACTTGGTGATAAGGAAAATGACAGCAGCAAAAGCACCCGACAGACCAGGAGCAATGATCCAGGCGAGAAAGACCGAAACGACACCAGAGCTAATACCCTTGTCGAACTCAGCCCAGTGAATACCATCAACACCGACTAGCGCAATACCCATGCCGATAACACCACCCATGATGGAGTGAGTCGTGGAGACGGGAAGACCAATCTTGGTACAGAAGGTGAGGTACAGCGAGGAGGAGACGATGGCGCACATCATGCCGAGCATGAGGAGAGCAGGGTCGGACTCGAACTGGTCAATGTCGACGACCTTAGTGCGGATAGTGTCTGCGACACGGGCGCCGACACCGACGGAGCCGGCAAATTCGAGGATGGAACCGAGGGTCATGGCTTGGATGTAGCTGATGGATCGGGACGAGACCGACGTGGCCCATGAGTTGGCGACATCGTTGGCACCTAAGTAGTCAGTATTTCATCACAGGTCAAATGCGTGAAAGGACGTACCGATGTTCCAGGCATCGAGGAACGAAAAGATGGTGCCTATGGCAAAGATGTAATCATACTGATGAAGCACCATGATCAAGGAGGACCGAAGACTCGGATTTCTCTCACTGTTCTAGAAGAGAGAGTGAACTGAACTGAACAGTCGATGTCGAACATTGCAGAAACAGCCTGCACCCCGACTCCTTATATCACCGTGTCCCTCGCCATGGTGTGTGGAGCGGGTAAGGCTTGGCGAACAAGCTTAATCTTATGCTTCTTCGGATACGTCTTTTAGTGGCAAGGGCCCTCGGTGAGTCCTTTGGTAGGTTTATCGTCTTGGCGGGTGTGCTTGGCACGCGAGCAGGGGCAAGTGGTATCTCGTGCGTGGGTTCTTGATGTTCGTTGGGCAGGGGAGCTCTGGGCGGGAGGAAGTTTGGATGAGGTTGTGGGGGTTCAAGTCTTGGTATCATGGTGATGAGGTCGATATGTTATTTGATTGGGATCTTTGATTCGATGCTGTATGAATGATGATATCGAAGGTGCTGTTTAGAAGGTGACTGCATGAGTGACAGGCGAGGGGAGTTGATGCTCGTGCACTAGGACCAGAAGAGTCTTTTACCTGCAGCCTGGCTTTGCGACATGGCCTCAAACGTTCAAACAAGGGTGAACAAAACGGCCGGTCGTAGAAATGATCATATTTCACCGACAATAGCGTCAAACAGACCCCCAAAGAAGAATACACCACCGTAACTACCAGCACCGGAAATAGAGCCTTGTACTCGAGCCAGACGACAGAAATACCCAGCTACATACAGCTGTATCACTGGCTGACTATTTTCTGCATCTAAAAGGGCACTCTTCTCCGTGGAACTTGTTATAGCCGCTCATCAACCCACGTGCATCAACGATTGTCGTTGAGAGCTCAGAAAGAGGCTCGGGGCGGGAGCCAATCAGATGGGTCAGAGCTCCACGTGGAGAGGCTCGTTCGCCCAGAGATAAGCTCCCCAGATGCCAAGACTAATCAATTACAGGGGTTATTGTATCATTCACTATTTTGCCTGAGACAGGTTTGCGAAGATCAAAAAGGTTAATATGAATAAAGTTATTAGAGTTGTTCCTTTGGACTTCTTTTTATATCCGTAAAACGGCTGCGAATATCATGCGGGACTCATGCATATGGTAGAGTGTACGATGATGATGATCGAATAGAGTCTCCAAATCACAAAGACAACTTGATGCGCGACACCGCGACTAAAAAAAACCAATATCACACATCTGCCCATCCATTTCAACCCGTCCTTTGCCAAGCTCTCGCCAAGGACCGCGCCACCACTCCTTCTCCTCCCGCTGCAACATGAGCTTCTCATACAAGCACGTTTCCTCCCCGCCAAGTCTACCACTGACGATTCGAAGCTTTTTCACGTCCTGTTCCTCGTTGCATGTAGTTCTTGGCTTTGGCAGCGGGAAAAGCGTCCAGGATTCCCATTGCTTGCTTCGCCGATGGCTGGTAGCATTGAGCCAGTAGAGTTCCAACACTGACGACTTTGTCTTAGCCCTTAACCTGCTTTTGTAATGGTGGCTCAGCTTCCTCGGTGATCGCCTTTTGTGGCCTGTCTGTTCTAGAAGTATCCCCGTCTTGGCTGGTGATATTGTGCTCATTGAGGCGAAGGTGAGGTTTGGAAAATTCTGCTAGTGCTCAGGTTCTGGTAAGATGGCACAAATCTCTTGATAAAATTCAGAGACTTGGTACCTGAGAGGTCTGCCAACTATACAACTAATTGTCGATACATGATCGATCACTACGGAGCCAGTGTATAGAGTACTGAAGCGTGATTTATCTCCTTGGCATTTTTGCTTGTCTTCCAATGCAGCACTCGCTTGTCGTCTTCCAGAATTCCAGTCCAATGGAACCGACGTCAAAGTTCTCTTTCCCTTACTCCTCTTGGCTTGTTTATATGCCCTACCATAGGCTTCCTTTTCTGTTTGGCCTTGTCAATTGCCAAGATGCCACTCGAAACCCATAAGTCTGTTCATTCTTATCAGCATATGCCGAACCATCGTACACGTTGTTGCCACCTGCTCTACCCAAGGAGCGTCACCTTCTTCGGGAGCTTTCACCTCAATCCAGCCGTATTGTGACTGCTCAGCATCCATCGATTCTCCCGGCCGGTTGATCCATAGTCGAGCTATGAGATCAGGATGGTAACCGTCAATTGACTCTTTTTGGCAGTCCTCTACACAAGGCTGGACCTCTGGCCACGATAAAGTCCTGAATTCAATCTTCTTCGTCTCGGTCCAGTATCTGAATCCAGGCCATTTCCCTCCCTTGGAATTGTTGCCTCGGCTGTACCCATGGAAGCCAATCTGGGGGGGTACATCTAGCCAAGATGCGCCCCTAGCAGGATCATCAGCATTTATGAACCCATCGTCTTCTTCCTCAAGGGTGTCGTTTCTGGTTTTTGGTCCATATTGCTGAAAGCTCTCGATGTGCCAGCTCTGATCACAGGTGTCTAGGACCAATGTAAACGCCTTGAGCATTGGGGTGTGCAGCCACGTAGGTAATGAAGAATTGAATGGCATCTCGGCGTACGACTGCTGAAAAGATGGGAAAACAGGCCTTTTGATCCAATAGAGCATGCGCCGGATGGGAAGGCCTACGTCCTGAGAATATTCTGGCCCTTCCTTCCAGAGTGTTAGAAATATATCGTGAGGATGGGACTCATATATCCTGAATGTGTCGCGTACAGGATCAAGTCGATACACTTCGTTTCCATCAGAACATACCACGAGGTATCGAATTCGATCGCATATCGACTTGATTATCGGACATGAAGCGCGGATTCGGCTCAATTCGTTCTCATCTTGATTCTTCAAACCATCAGCCAACTGCATCTTGTCGTATCCCTTTACAAAGCGTGCTAGGATCGAGGAGGGGATAGCAAACCTGATGATCTCGGTCTTGAGCTCGATAGGCAATCGTTCGGAAGGGAAAGGCTCCATGGCTGAGATTATATAACACGTCAGCCACAATATGAAGAGTAGAGAACGGAAGAAAGGAGAAACAGGTTGAGGAGAGAATTATAAGACACCCCTCCTTATTTTATATTCAAGTACCGAAAGTCTATCGAAAGGGTTAGTGTTATTTTTAACATATCAGAGATCGAATTTTTAAAAGACTAATCGAGCTTACTTATGTTTTTATGCCGTAGGTTCGCGTGAGGCCAAGTGGCATGAAGTCTAAACAGTGAGCTGCATGTGTTATTGGTAAGTGACCCGTGGCTGGGAGTCTAAAATCACACAGAACTTAATTACAAGAGCTTTCAGAACAAAGTCTAAAGTCTAAAGAAGCCCTGAATCCTAAAGTCCGCTTCTATATCATTCAATGCCAAACAGAAACTGGATCGAAAGTGTGTTATCTAAAGTCGAGGCTTGTGACTGAGAGTTTATATCAGCAGAGAGAGCTTGGCTGTTGGAGGATTACCCAACCTCCATGATATGCCCCAGAACAAGCTCAGATAACGTCCCATGAAATATGTCATACTTTCCGTGAGACTAGAAGATTTTAGTGCTACTTGTTTATCTATCTAAGATCATACTCATAGAGTAATGCTTTAATCTAGAGCGCCCAGGCTGATATCAGGAACAGGCCGAAGATGACGCAGCCTTTACCAAGCCAACTTGGCTAAGACTCCATGAGGCCATCTCCGGACACCAAACTTGCGAGCCTCATCTAACAAAAGCTGAAAAACACCAAAAGCAAAAGGAAGAAACCAATGTTCAACGGGTACAGGCGTAGTTCCGAGAACAGGCTGCAGAGGCGGGATGTACAGCCAGAAGATAGCCATGGCAAGCGAAAAGATAATTGCAGGGAATAGATACCAGTTCTGCGTATTCGGGTTGAACAAAGGAGGATGCTGAAAGATACTGAGTCGACGAGTTCTAGTCGCCATCAGATTGAACCACTGCATCACAACAAGGTTGACAAAGTAGATAGACGAGGCCTCGTTGGTCTTGGCCAGGTAGTAATCTGGATCGATACCAGCAGGGAGCTTTCCGAAGCTGAACCAGAGCTCGCTGAAGGGAATGCCTTGACGCTGGAGATACCAGAACGCCATGGCGAAGGAGGCGACTGTTTGGAGGACGCCATTGACTCCGTATGCTTGAAGGATGAGCTGCCAGTTGACCAGACGATCCTTCTTGATGTTGCGTGGGGGACGGGTGAGAACGTCGGCCTCGGGCTTTTCGTAGGATAGCATTGTCGCGGCGGCGCAGTCTGTGAAGCAGCTATTCAAGGTTAGTGAATGTTTGACTACGAGCAATAAGGATAATTACCAGATGATGATCATAAGGAATGAAGACAGAGCTTGGGGTAAGCCAAAAGCGACAAAAGCCATGACAGGCCAGAACTCGGAGAAAGAGCCGGCAGGCAAGAGATAAGAGATGACCTAGAATCAATATGAGCCTTTAATCTTTTGCATAGAGGGGGTTCAAGACATACCTTCTTGAGATTGTCAAACACAACTCGACCATACTGCACAGCAATGATGATGGAAGAGAAAGTATCCAACAACACCATGTCAGCCGCCTCCATGGCAATATCCGAGCCACTGCCCATCGAGATACCAACATCAGCAGCCCTCAGCGACGGAGCGTCATTGACTCCATCACCCGTCATGGCAACGACATTACCCTTCTGGAACTCACGAACAATGCGAAGTTTCTGTTCAGGCGTTGTTCGCGCAAACACAATCTCCTCGTAGTGAGTCAGCGTCTCCCATTGATGCTCGTTGAGAGACATGAGTTCCGGGCCACTGAGGACGATGGCGCCGAGGTGGGAGATAGGTGAGTCTTTGGTGTCGTCGGGGCTGTAGCGCTGGAGGGCTGTGCTGTCGTCGACAGTTTGGGATGTGACGATGCCGGCTTCGCGGGCGATGGCTAGGGCAGTGAGGGCAAAGTCACCGGTGACCTGCAAACTGTCAGCTTGGGTCCAAGTTGCCAGTGAATGAGAGTACTTACCATGGCAATTCGGATACCGGCGCCGCGCAACGTGCTCACAACATGAGGAATGTCATGTCTGAGAGGGTCAACGATGGCGACCATTCCAACCAACGTAAGACCAGTATTGGACTCCCTTGTGACTGCATGCTCAAACTCACTCGTCTCCCGATTCTTAGGAAGGTCACTACCCTTGACGATCTTGCGAGCAAGCAACAAGCATCGTTTACCTTGTGAAGAGTAGGAGTTCTTCAGCTGCTCAACTGTAGCTCGCATAGCCGCATTGAGAGGGATAGTTTCGCCATGTTCAGAGACATATTGCGAGCAACGGCCGATAAGAACATCAGGAGCACCCTTGATGGTCAAGAGGCTAGATCTACGGTTAGAAAGTTCATCTTGAAAGCTCTTGTGACTACTTACACGTCATCAGTGTTGAACGCGGTCTCCTTGCTAAGCGTAGCAGGTACAGCCTCAGTCCTGGTGCAGGAAAAGCAACGGATCATGAACTTGTTCTTACTGTTAAAAGCAAGGTCATAGATCTTGTTCCAGCAGGCACGCAGGTAATCGACGCTGCTTGGGTCAACAAACTCAGCGAATCGAAGGACAGCTTGGTCAGTCGCATCACCAAAGATCCTTCTGTCTGCCAGTGGAGCATCCTTTGTAGCAGCATCAAACTCAGATGCGTTACAGAGTGCGGCCAAAGCACGAAGTTGGATGATCGGGTGAGTGGAAGATTTGGACTGGCCAAACTTTCCGCGAGCGTTCTCGATGGTCATGTTGAGTCCTCCGACAGCACAGTCGGAGACAGCCATCTTGGCCTGCAGCTTGTTAGCGCAGCTCAGACATAAAGTACAAAAGGAGGCTTACAGTGGTGAGAGTACCGGTCTTGTCAGAGCAGATCACCGATACAGATCCAAGTGTCTCGACAGTCTTGAGGGACTTGCAGAGGATCTTGTTCTTCTTCATCAGGTTGGCGGTGATTGTGAGACCAGCTGTGATGGAGATGGGAAGACCTTCAGGGATGAAAGCAATGGCGACGCTGACGCAGTTGACAATGAGGGTTGGTACGTTGATGAAGTCAGGATGCTTCTTCTTCAGGAACGCGCCCCTATTAAGGATGTTAGTGTTGTAACGGATGGGTAAGGTGGGAGAGGGAACGTACCAAATGATGCATACAACAGCAATCATACTTATCATGATGCTAGCGATGATGATGACAAAGTAGAGAACTTCCTTCTCAAGAGTCGTCATCTGGACTTTCGGCTCATTCGTCAAACTCGCGATACGTCCAAACACCGTCCTATCACCAGTAGCAACCACAATACCAGTGCACGAACCAAGGATACAGTGTGTACCTTGCAGACCAATGTTATGCGTCTCAAGATAGTTGGTATCAGTGTGATCCACAGTACCAGCCACAGGCTTAGACTCTCCAGTGAGAACAGAGCGATCAAACTTGACGTCGGAAGAAGCCTCGATCAAGCGGATATCAGCGGGTAGCTTATTCCCTGCCTTCACCTTGATGACATCGCCTGGAACGATATCTGCTGCATTGAGGTCAACGAGATGACCATCGCGAATAACGTGGCCCTCTTCAGGAAGCATATTCTTGATGGAGGACATGGTACGTGATGTAGACCAGTCTTGAAACATGTTGAAGAGTGCTTGGATAAAGAACACGGCGAGGAGTACAATAGCGAGGGCCTTTAAAGATTAGCAGATCGAAAGAAAGACAGAGATGGGAGACGTACGAGGTTGGCAACAGCAGGAGGATCACCCAATGGCTTCCACGAGATAAAGACGAGGATACAGCCTGTGAGAAGAATACTTCCGAAACCACCAAAGAAGTACAGAAAGATTGTTCTGAACCAGTGCGTCTTGGCGGGAGATGGTGCATTTCTACCATATTCGCGCAGTCTCCTCTCAGCTTGTTCGCTCGATAGACCAGCAGTGGATGAAGTAGTGAGGCGTTTCTCAACGTCGAAGGGTGCGATGGTATGCCACTCGAGGTCCGTCAAAGCTATACGCGCACCAAACATTAGTAAAAGTCAATTTAGTAGAGTCAAGTGAGAATATCTTACCTTTTGTCGTGACGTCCTTCGCCTTGGCTAGCTCAGCTTGTTCCTTGCCCTTGGACTCTTCGATGTTGAATGAGCTGTCCAAATGTCAGTACAACTACCTTCTTGTTCTCTTTCAGAGGAGAATGTGACTCACACAGTGCGATAGGTGACAGGAAGGACAAGCGAGGGATCAGCGCGATTTCTCGAGCCTGCTCGATGGATACTTAACGAATCCCTCGAGCGAGAGCGAGAGCGTCTACGAGAGCGCCGTTCACCATGACGCGAAACGCGACCGGCTTCATCGTCGTCGTCGTTCCAGTGAATGCGCTCACCGACAAGCGAGGCGTCCTTTTTCTCGTCTTCAATCATATTGAAGGTGAGTGGACAGGTAACCAAGTAAGAGCAGAGGAGATGTCAGGGGCAGTAACAAAGTAGAATAGAATGGTAAAAAAGGGAGGAGAAGATGGGAGAGTGCGAGCCTTGATATTTGTTTTGGCCTGTGGATATCAGGATAATCGCTCATCATTTCCAGGACAGTTCGCGTTAAGCGACGTCGTAAAGGCTGGCTGAAGTATTTCGTGTAAGTGAATCCATATTAAAGGTACAATCCCTCAGATCATAGCGTCAGCTCCGCCTTTGGTCCTACGTTCTAAGCAGGATTAGTGACTTTTCTCTTTTCTCGATCCCTAAAGTTTACTCCACAGGACCTGGCGTAGGGAACTGAAAAACCGGTGTCGATAAACGAGAAGGATGTGGAGTGCGCCCTCCTTGGTGTCATGATGTTAGACCAGCCCTGGGAGTGTACCAATACCGCGGTTAGGATATCATCAAGTTGGTGTTTCATGCGTAGACGATTGGCCATTCTAGGGCATGTGGGTGCACTGCCTCGATGGCAATAAGCAAGCTGTTTACGCTTAAACGAGTAATCCATGAGCTATGACGTGAAGGAATCGTGGGGAGTCTCTGTTCCTCGTGCACGGTTTGACTCAAATATGCAGGGTACGGGTGAGGGAATATTGAGACACGTCGACATTGGATGAAATCCTTATTAGCTGAGGAGGCGCAGTGCCGATCACTCTAGGTAATCCGGTTCGGCATGTGCCTGAACTGGGCAGTCTCACTAATGATGCAGCACAGACACGATGTGATCAGTGCACTCCCACTGACAGAAATAAGCATTGACACACAAAGAGCTAAGAGAAAACAAGCCTTTTCTTTCCGAGCTGGTGGGTGTTGGTACCATTTGCAGGCTTTTGTCAACGGACCCCTCCCTCTAGCCGGAATCTGGCAGCTCGCTAGCAGTGAGGAAACAAAGCCTGGATGAAATGAGGTATCCGAGATTTGAGAGACACTAGCGACGGGCGCAGCTGGCAGCCCTTACATTGGACAGACGGACGACAGTTGGACCTAGCCTTTTAGAGGCTCGATTTACGACGTCTTGGCTGCGAGAGACAAGCTTTTTAGCGCCGGGTCCTAGCGTTCAGGGTCCCCGCCAGTGCAACGCTGTCACGGTCGACTCGCAAGCCACTCCACTTTAAACGAGAGATTGCTATTCAATATATCACATCATGGTAAAAACAACAATCGCAATTAAAAATATTGTGCAGCCTGTTTCAGGGTAAATCGATGGGCGCGGAGAGATCTAATCTTGTGGCAAAGCGCGATTAGCTTAGCTTCTCGATGAACCAAGATGAGCCAAGAGAAAACAACGCTTCGATGCAAACTCCCTGGGGTGCTTCAGAAACCCTCATTTCTTTACTCCTTTCACAAGCCCTTAAAAAAAGGTCATCTGGTGCAAGCAAAGAGGGGAGTTTCAGCCGTTGGTGGAGGATGAGGGATTTATCTTAGTCGTTGGTTTCTTTACGAGGGCTTGTCAGGTACCGTCTTGTCATTTCTGAGCTTTGAGAATAGGGCTGTAGACTACCCCAGTACAAGGCGCGTGGGACCAGTATTTAATCCCCGACCCCATCGCGCTATCCAGATTCAGGGTGGGTGTCAGATTCGACTGGCGGCCTCCAGCTCCATTTTGCACAGAAATTACAAACAGAGACCAGTTTCTGACGGGTCTTCTTTTACAAATTCCAATAATCGGCAGCGTAATGGTTATGTAATGTGAGTTTTGGAGGGCATTGAAGCCTGTAAAGACCAGGCAAGACAACCTCTACGCCAGGTCATGGACTCTTTTAGGGCTTCGCCAGGTACACACTAGGGTTAGTTCCATTGAGTCGGTGAGCACAAGCACGACTCGATTCGGTGTTAGCTAAGTCTTTTAGGAACAGCTCTTAGATGGAACTTATGAGTAGCAAATGGTTAGGCTACCCGGATTGTTAAAAGGACATGTGCGATTAAGTGGCTGTTTTGCATCCCTCTCTGGCTAGGTCTAGGGTAGTGCAATGTGACGTTTCCGATAGCGAACCATTCCAGGAAACAGAGCCAGCAGTTAGTTATTCTTTGAACACTCAAGAAGATTGATACTTCTTCTTATTGTATTTTATTTAGCCTTCTTTCTGTTTGTACCATGAGTAGCCTGATTGGTTTTGCAGAAATGTGGTGTGCATTTCCAGTTTCATTTCACGCCGTCCGTTGCATCGCGTTGGATCGATCTCATTATCGATAAGCCGTATCTTATCGTTAGAATATCATTAGTGACGTCCCATCATTAGGCCCAATTCTGCCCATCACCAGCTTCACATGATGAGAATACAAAAGGTGCACTCTCGCCCTCATCGTTTCCGTTGAGCTCTGCCACCCCGCGGGATTTGGGGTCCGTCCAACATCCAACCAATCCCAATCCCCAATTCCTCACTAAATCACCCCCAAAACTCCTCCCTCCCCCACGGCGGGGCTCCTCCGGCCTCGGCTTCGACGTAAAAGACGAGCTGTGATTGGCCCTTTTGCTACAAAACGGTCTTCTTTCCGATGTCATCATGTTGCCCATCATGCGCTCATCTCCACGCTTCGGCATCCGTACATATACCTCCCACTCCCTGCAAACTCCCCTCTCACGTAGATCCATCTCCAATTCCTACTCACAACTGCCCGCCATGAAGCTCCTCTACCCAACATCCCTCAAACTCGACATCCAGAGCCTCGAGGGCTTCTCCGTCGACCTCTTCCCCTACGACGTCAAGAAGACCATCCCCGAAGAGCACGTCGATGCCGAGATCCTCGTCACCTGGACAAACACAGCCGAGAACCTAAAAGACGCCGCAAAGCGCCTCACAAAGCTCCAATGGATCCAATCCCTCGCCGCTGGGCCAAATGATGTTCTGGGTGCTGGATTCGACGCCTCCAAGATTAAGATCACAACGGGCTCGGGTCTGCACGATCACACTGTCGCTGAGCACGCGCTGGGTCTGCTGCTCAACGCCGCGCGCCGCTTCTACGAGATGCGCGATTATCAACTTCAAGGAAAATGGCCCGGTCATTTGGGCGGCCCTCAGCCCGATAGACCAAAGAATTCATTCACGACGCTGCGCGATGCGCGTGTGCTCATCTGGGGCTTCGGCAACATTGCAAAGACCCTGACCCCGCAGCTCATCGGCCTCGGCGCCGAAGTTCGGGGCATTGCGCGCCGAAAGGGTGTCCGCAATGGAATTGAAGTCTACAGCGAAGACGATCTCGACACACTCCTCCCCGAGACCGACGCTCTCGTCATGATTCTTCCTGGCTCTGACTCCACGCGCCATGTTCTCAACGCTCAGCGCCTGAAGCAATTGCCCAACCACGCGTGGATTGTCAACGTGGGGCGCGGTACATCTGTCGATGAGGACGCTCTTGTCGATGCGCTCGAGAAGGGAGAGATTGGCGGTGCGGCGCTGGATGTCTTTGAGACTGAGCCTCTTCCTGAGCCGAGTAGGATCTGGAAGGCTCCTAATACTATTGTGTCGCCGCATGCGGCTGGTGGAAGACCTCAAGGTGCTGAGGGGCTTATCGCTGATAACCTAAGACGGTTTAGGGCGACGCAGGAGTTGAAGAACCTCATTTAGAATAGAATAGAGAATAAAACAAATACTTCAAGTCAACAATGGTTAGTTTTCAATGAAATTATGGTGATCGAAGCCTGTATTCTGTAGACAAAGTCCAAGGTTAAATTGATGAGGGCATTCGCGATAAATCTGTGACCCCACTTTTCTGCCATGATGAAGCAATTCACAGGCACTTCTTCAGTTGCTGACTGGACATCTCTTAACAAGGCATCATAGGCTTAGGGAGATGCATATAATAGGCCTTACTGCAGGAGAATATATCGGGCCTGAGAAGACCACAAACTGGTTCTAGATCAGGCTTCAGCACAGCTTGAAAATGAGGGGTTCAATGAGCAAGAGAAAAGAAGACCGTCAGGGTACCTTGGCTCTAATCGCCATGATACAGCCTGAAGTATGAGAACACCAGGGTAAGTCAAGCATGCGTCTCATGAAAATGGAAAACAAAGAGATTTGAGTGATCGGCCGATCTATTGACTATCGAAAAAGAATCTAAAGCAAACTAACTGCAAGTCCGAACGAAGCGAATGTCTAGTACAAATTCAAATCTCCGTCATGATGTCCCAAGCTGAGATATCATGCTCCCCCTATTACTTTTCGTGCTGTGTCAAGCCCAAACCAGATTCAACCATCCAAAGCTGAAACTCGAGCATCCTCCGGTATTCCTCATACAAGCGCCGGCGAGGAGTTGCTGCTTAGTTGTGGTTCTGTCCGTTGTTGCCAGCGTTCTTGTCCTTGGGGGCCTTGTTCTTGGGTGGCTTATCACCAGCGTGGTCCTGATCCTTGACAGGAGGCTTGTCCTCGGGCTTCATGTCCCTCTTGTTGTTGCCAGCGTTGTTGTTGGCCTTGCCACCAGTAGGAGCCTGATCCTTGCCACCGTTCTTGTTCTCAGTCTTGATGCCGCTCTTGTTATTAGCCTGTCCACGGGGTTCATCATGAGTAGGAGTGGTGGTAGGAACATTGGCAGTAGAGCAACCCTTGGCAAAGACGTAGAGCTCATCATCACGACGAGGAACCTTAGAGGGATCAACAGTGTACAGCTTGCACACAGGCTCCGACGCATCAGCAGGAAGACCAAACAGGAAACTCTTGCAAGACGCCTGAGCATCACAAGCATCCTGGCACTTCTCCGCGGTCTGAGCACTAGGCGTAGCAAAAGGCTGAATCTTGCTGTTGCTAGCCCCCGTAGGCGCAGTGTTGCAGACAAGATCCCTCGCAGCTTTGGTCTTGACCTCGCCGCGCGGCTTATCCTGCGTAGGCTTGGTGTTGGGCACAGCCTTGCTGGAGCAGGCCTTGTCAAAGACGTACAGGTTGTTTCCCTGGTTGGGGACCTGGGCTGCAGTGACAGAGTAGAGCTTGCAGGCGGGAGCCTTGGCGCCAGAGGGGAGGCCGAAGAGGAAGCTCTTGCAGGAGGCATGGGCGGTGCAGAGCTTCTGGCAGGCCTCGGCGGTGGAGGCGGTTGGAGTGGAAAGGGGTTGGATTTTGGCGGAGGAGGTGCCTGAGGGGGCGATGTTGCACTGCTGGGAGCGAGTGTCGAAGGGATGGGCGAGGATGGCAGTGGCCATTGAGGCGGTGAGCATGGCGATGGAGGTCTTCATGATGAAAGATTGTTGAAGTTGAAAGTGGAACTTGAAGTAAGTTGAAAGAGTGTTGAGAGAGTGTGAAGATGCTTGATTGAAGTGATTGTGTTGGTGAGTGAAAGGTGATTCTTTGTAGAGAGTTCATGATCCCTTTATACCTTTTGAGTCGATCATATTCAAGGATATCATAGACAGCATTGTCCCGTAACTCATCATGACCGCGTCAGCTATTTCCGAACGACTTGACGATCAGACGCTTTGGCCTGCTGGAGTTTACAGCATCCCATTCTCAATGGCGATGCAACTCGAAGCTGGAGCCAGGTCCACATCATGCATGAAAGCAGTGAGTTTGCTCATATTCCCGAGCTTACGTGCCCCATTATGAGTTAACAAAGGTAAACCTTCTCGAGTTACATGATCATCATACCTACAGAAAGCATGATGTTGGGTACCAAGCCAGTAGGAATGTCCTTATTCACAGCGTGACGAGTCTTTTGGAATAGTACCAATATCGTTGCTATGTTTACTATCAACTCCATTCATCCCGTCATCAGTAGCCATGCTTTCTCCTATTCGCTTGACGGAAAGTTCCGTCGTTCATTACGGCTGTGAAGAAATGATCGCTGGCATCCTTACCAGCATTAGGCCGATCCCCCACATGCCGTTGAAACAAATCAACGTTTCCTTTCGGAACCCAGGAGGTCGGGAGATTTCTGTAGGTTTGCGCTAAAAGCTTGTTCGTGGGTTCAGGGCTTGCAGTAGCCGCGTGGAGCCGGCGGCTGAGGCTCTGCATAAGGGACTATTCGAGTTATGAATAGAACTTGGATATTCATCACGGTCTAGATCTTATCCCACTCAAAATATGCACTGTGACTTTTAAATGATGTTGTTAGTTGACTGTTTACTGGCCGTCAGTCGCACTTAGCCCATCGAGTTCACATCAATGGCTAATGTAGACATCACGCGTAGACAATACATCCAACCAATGCCAGCCTTGATCCTGTTTACCGTAAAGCCCAAAACAGATGAAGATAGACCATAAATCAACAGCTCCCGGGTAGCCTCAGACTGATCTTTGAAAATTCATTATTCTCGCTGTGCATTTCCGTTTCTTCGCTCCACTCGCGATGAAACGGCCAGCGTCTAAACTACTGCATACAGTGCGCCCCAGAAAACGTTTCGACCAAGCCCGCATAAACATCCACGTAATCGGTACCAAAGCTCAACAACCTGGTCCGATCTGCCGACACTAACACCAACAGTTACTATTCTTATTATAGATATAATTTGAGCACCTTAATTAGTTGAAAAGAACACAGAGAAGGTTACCTACTTATACTATCTACTACTTACACTAAGGTATTTACAAGAATGAATCCTCAGCTTCCTTAAACCTGGCTATAATCTCCCTGGTAGCTTGCAATGGTAGAGCTTCTACCGTCCGGCCCATATTGCCTGTCATTGTCTCAGCCATACAAAGCGCATTGTATATAGCCTCTTCCGTAGCATCAGCTGCTGCTTCAAAGAGCCCGTTGATAGTCTTGTTATTAGTCGCCTCTACATCAATAAGCTCAGGCTTGAATGGATCAATGGTCTTGGGCTGGCCAGCAACTGTCTGCACGGGTATCTCAGCAGCCGTGGAAAATGCAAGAAATAGATCTCCCGAAGGGTTGTGAGCATAGCTTCCCACACGTGCAAGGCCCATAGTCGCCCGCTTGGCCAGCCGCTGGAGCTGGCCAGGAAGAAGCGGTGCATCAATGGCGAGTATGACGATGATGGACCCGTCCTTTTTGTCCTTTGCGTCGTTGTACTCTTTATCATGAGCAGCAGCGGCCTCGTCCTTTGCATTTCTCTTTTGCAGGATTCGTCCGACTGGGACGCCTGAGATGTGCAGATGCTGGAGTCTTCCGTAGTTGGCCTGGACAAGAGCGGCAACTGTGTACGATGTCCCGTTATGCCCGGGCACGATTCTACTGCTGGTCCCGGTGCCGCCTTTCCCTCCATGGCACAGCATACCTGTCCCGCCGCCCACGTTCCCCTCGGCAATCGGGTCCTCAGAAGCATTGGTGATGGCGTCCACCACGTGTTCCGGCGTCACCGCAAACTGCCTCAGGTCGTTGAGATGCCCGTCAAACGTCTCGGCGACGACAGGCAGCAGGAACCAATCGATGCCCTGCTCGCCTTTCCCGTAATGTTCAATTGCGTACTTGTAGATTCCTGTATAACAAGACCCTACTGCAAAGCTATTGGTGATGAGAATGGGCGAGTGTAAGAGACCGCTCTCTTCGATCCAGTGTGTCCCGGTCATTTCTCCAGATCCGTTGAGACGGAAGACGCCGGCATGGCAGGCCTTGTGGAACCAGTCTTTGCGCGGGAGGATGGTGGTCAATCCCGTGTTGATTTGCCCACTCTCGTCGCGGATAGTGGTCGTGTGGGCAAGGACCCCGGGCACGTCTGTGATGCCATTTTTGGGACCAGGTGACATGAACCCTAGATGTGCCTCTGGTATGACATCGCGGAGCCTGCCGCGGGGTTGCTGAGGGGACGTATTCGTTGCCATTATTTAGATGTTCGTATTCTGGCGCGTTTATGTTAAGATACACTGGATAACTATGTAAGTCTCAAAGCTGGACGGTAACTAGGTACTTTGCTCTATTTATCAAGCCCGGCTAAGAGAGAGATGGATGATTTGCTGTGGTGTTTTCTGATTGTCGGCATGAGTCACATCGATCCATTTATCTGCTGCTAATCTTACTGAAGTCCAAAAGAGAAGGTACTGAGGTTTAGAGTACTACATAGAACCTGGATCCGGATCACGTGGTAGTTCCATATTGCGAAGGATTTGTTCACTACCACTTTTAATAAAACGCAGGGTGCCAAGTAGCAGGGCATTTTGGTGACAGGAGCTGCCATCTCTCCAAATTTGAAGCGTCATATGATGTTTTACCCCTCTTTTAGAGATAAGCTAGGATGCATCGGAAATGCCTCAACCAGACGGATCAGTCCATCGATCAATGGTTAGACAACTCTTTGTGTTATCCAACAGGAGGAGAGGTTCTCAGTTAGATCATAATATTTAGCGGACAAGCCGGTCAATGCTCATACTTCACAGCTATTGTTGTTGCCCGCCGGCGGTGGATCATCCCACTTCCCGCTCCGACCTTAGCTTCAGTGACAAGCTTTTCGGGATCTATAGACTTTGGCAAATTCACCAATAGACGCTCTTGTATTGTTTCCGGATGAAACGGAAGAAACATTTTGCCGAGCTGACGTCTCTGACGTCCTGTTGGAGAAATGGATACCCATGGCGAGAAGCAGGGGTCGAGAACGAAGGCCTCAATATTGAGACTAAGAGTGGCTGAACGTTTCAAACCCCGACTTAGCCCATTCATTTGGAAGTAACTCAGAAAGGAGCTTACGAATTTGGAAAATGGCTGTAGTGGAAGCCGGAAGCTGCGTAAGGGCCAGCATCAATCTGAATCAATAGTTCACAATAGAGCCCATGATGATTCCACAATGTGTTTGAGAATCGGGAAGAATGGGCTGTCGGGCGTGTAGGTAGAAAGACTCTCATATGTGCATGTTCGCCGACGAAATGACCAATTTCGGGATCGAGACTAACTTCCGGATAGATGATGAGACCGTCGACAAGGTACTTTCGAACTGCTCCTGAGTGCCACCAGCAGATACAGGATCTCGTGGAAGTTAAGCCAAGAGGATTATCGGGCAGAGTGAAGAAGGTAAGAAGAAGAAACTTCATAGACGCCTCTAAACAAGAGAGTAAACGATCACGAACGGTGAGTTGCACGGGATCGATTTCCGGACACTGCTCTTCTTCCATCGTACCAGGGCATGTCTGGTTCTCTTGAAGACCGAAGAGATACTCATTATGAACTAGCCTCATGTCTTGATATCAGCAACGCAAATTGGACATCTTCCCATTCGCCGTCATGGCCCTTGTTGTGATTCCAAAAGCTCAGCCAGCCACGAAACTTATTCATCTTCACCGAAACTAACTAAGATCATGGAACTCTTAAGCCTGGTTCCGTCCAGAAGATGTTTCTTCCCACATCACGCTTCTCGTGAAGAGTTCGTGCGTTAGCTCCCAGACTACTGATTTCAGATTCATGCAGACCTACATGTTGAGGGTCTTTGTACACAGAATAGCGTGATAAACGCGTCACTAAGAAAGACTCCTTCTAGTCGCATTAACAAACTAGACTACTCTCGATGTTCTGACGCTTGGGGGATAAATACTTGACTTCTCTCCCATCAATCTCAAGTTTTCTCATCACAGCATCAATCACTCTAACAACACACTCGTTCATCTTCACTACACTCTTTCAACCACATTCATTTATCCTTCTCAATCTCTTCAACAGACTCAGCTCAAAATGAAGTACTCTCCAACCTAAAGCCACCAAGGTCGCAAAGGTCGACAGCCAGAAGGTCCAGAAGAACCAGGACAAGTCTGGCGAGACTGAGGCTAAGCCTGCCAAGGTTGAGAACAAGCAGCCCAAGGCTACCAAGGTCCAGAACAAGGATGAGACCAAGAACACCAACGACAAGGACAACACCAACGAGGACAAGAACGTCAAGGCTGACAGCCCCAAGACCCTTGCTACAAAGGTCCGCAACAACGAGCACCAAGCCACCAAGGTCCAGGCCGTTGAGCACCAGGCTACCCAGGCTGAGGGTAAGAAGTCTGCTTGCAAGACCACCAAGGGCTCTGCTGCTCAGCCTAAGATCACTCAGGCTTGAGTACCCTACCCTGAGGAGGAAGTGGCTTTGTCAAGTGGGTTCTGTCGAAGAGCCTTCATTTCCTTCTCGGTCCTCTCTCTTTCTGTTCTTCATTTGTGGCTTCCGAGTCTGTCTTTGTTGAGAATCACTTTCCTTTCGTATCTATCTGCTTTCGTCTTCTGTACTCTTATAATGTTTACATAGATTAGAGCTATATAGTCTTTCAATAACATACATTTCCTTTTCTACCTCAGCACGCGCTTTTGACAACAGATTTTGATCATTATACATTAACTGGGGATGAAGATGCATTTGCATAGTGGACAGTCGACGTGATGTTCTTTGAACCAAGAGTCCAAGCATCTCGTATGGAACACGTGCTCGCATGTTAACCGACGCACATCTTCCTCGTCTCCTAGAGTCTCAAGACACACGGCACTTGATAGCAATTGATGTTAGCATGACTCCAACTCTGTAGCATTTTGACGTACCATATCTCTGCTAGGCTAATCTCTGTTGAGCTCACGCTTGATTGCTTTCTAGCATCTTTGTACTTGATGGAAGGATTCGCTCGGTTTAGTGTCTGTAGGCTATGTCTCTCTATCGGCGTTCGCTGTCTTGGTGGTACGCGAATAACGGTCATGCGAGGATTTCGACGAGTATTACAGCTTCGGAACTTCAATAGGATGCTTTGCGGGTTAACTTCAACTGACGTGTAAGCTAGTCTATGTAACATACATGATGATGGTTAGTATGACGAGAGTTCCACCGAATAAGAACCAGGGTAGGTTCACGCTCGAGGCCCTGTCATCGTAGCCTTTAGCCTCTGATCCGTACTTCCGGATATGGTTCGTGGATGGAGAGTTCATCGGAGCACTTACATCGAGGGCCCTTTACATGTGAAAATCTGCAAAGTTCGACCGCATTCACGATCCGAGACGGGTAGACATGCCTCGATTATAATAGTTTCCGAATTTTTGACTGATAGTCGGATAAAATTAGGAGCGGATATCAAGAGCCAAGGTATTTCATCAGAATTGGCATTTGTCCAACGTTTTCTCACAGAGATAGTATAAGCAAGAACAGAAGGACAACAAAGGTCAAGAAGAGCAGTGTAATAGAGAAGTTTGTGTTTCAAAATGCTGAATTGATACGGACATTGCTCATCTTTCAAGGGATGCCCAGAACAGTATCCAACTGACAAGACCAGCCAAGAACAGTAGCACTCTTTTGCACTGCCACTCTCCCACCCTCTCGCTAAACCCAACCCGGACACTAATTACCAGCCAAGAACCCATCACCCGTCATCGTCATCACCCATCAAAACCCCCAAAACATGCTCAAAATGAACCATATAAACCATGAGATCATCCCTTGACGCGTATATACCATTTCGTCCAGACCACAAAGTATTGTTTCAGGATACCGTTGTGTGCTCGTCGTATGGATTGTTAATAAACATATAAACAACATGACTGGGTTCGTCGTATAAATGTGGATCGCCAAGTTCACTCCTGATGATGCCAAGTCGGCTTTGTTCAAGTTATCCGGTAGTTGCGTACACGCGGTGACAAATTTTCTCCCTTGTCAATCAACAAATCAGTCCAGTCGCATAGAATTTCGTTAAGGTTTAAGCATACGGATCAAACTCCAGGGGCTGACACAGCTTTATCTGACACTCTCAGCTCAGCCCCCCTCTCCTGAGTCTCCACGTCCTTTTCCCTGCATCCATCCATCTTCCCTCATCATGGGTATCGACTTTGGTCAGGCGATTGGCACGGCTTGTGCGACATTCGCCGTCACTAACGTCGATGACATTTTCGTTCTCGTCGCGTTCTTCGCAGAGGCTACGACGAGTCGCTCGCTCACGCCTGTCAAGATCGCTATCGGACAATATGTCGGCTTTACAGTCATTGTTGCCGTGAGCATGATTGGCTATGGCGCGTCGCTACTCATTCCTGCTGAACCAATTGGATTTCTAGGCCTCTTGCCAATATTGCTGGGTATATGGCGGATCCTGAGTTACATCTTCAACAAGGATGAGGAGGAGGAAGAGGCTCTGGATCAAGAGTTGACGACTGCAGATGGGTTCAAGGCTGTTTTCAAGGTCGCTTCCATCACTGTCATGAATGGCGCCGACAATATCAGCACGTACATTCCTCTCTTTGCTGAAGCAAAAGCTGGAGAGCTGGCGATATACATCGTCGTCTACTACATCATGCTTGGCGTATGGTGTTGTGCAGCATATCTCATCATGCGGCAGAAGCATATTCTGCACATTGCACAGAAATATGCCCGCAGGATGGTGCCGTTTCTGTATGTTGGTCTCGGAATCTTCATCATTGTGAACTCGGAGTGTTATCCATGGGCTATTGAGGAAATTGATGATGACATTGCTTCACATCCTGGCAAGATCGTGATGGGAGTCACGACTGCTGGTTTGTTGGCGATTTGTATCGGCGCCATGCTTTGGAGGAAGTTGAGCCAGAGGTCGGAGGAGGTTTCTGTTGACAATGAATCGTCTGCTGTTGACGGTCAAAGAGGATCACAAGGAGGACGAGACACGGCGCAACAAGCTGGGGAGCAATCTGAAGTTTCCAGGGACGCAGGTAAGGCACAAGCCTGTTTTTCTGAAATTGATACCAGAAGTTGACTGACAGGAAACTAGGCGGCGTCGATGATCGTACGAACAAAACCGGAGTGCAAATCAAGAATGCCCCCTTTGACGTTCCCAGGGAGGGAAGCTCGGCGGTATAAAGACCATGCGGATACAGACATGACTCTAGTGGGAGGCAGTACCTGGTCTGGCATCAGGCTATTCTTAATAATATTTGTTGTTCGCGACATCGTCACCTTGCTAAGTCCACTGTATGACTGGCCGACCTCCAAGTATCGAGGGTCGTCAAGCTTATCGAAGCTACCATTGTGATGCCGATTATCCGCCGTCAATCGCATTCGCAGAACGCCCAAATTCGACGTCATATCGGCTATAGTTCTTCATGGGTTTCTACCCACTTACTCATTTCTTAGACTTGCACTTTGAACAGGTTCTCTATTCAAATATCAATGCGATACAGCGACAAAGGTGCGCGTTCTAGACATCGCATCAACAGTTATCTGATACACAACCCACCCTGACACTTGCGTTAACAACACACGGTCCACGAAAGACAGTTTTATGGATAAATCACTTGTCAATTTGGGAATAGTAGAGGTTTCGCTTTGGCCACCCGACAGGCATCTTACTCGCCGAACAACCGAGTTCATCATCCTCTAACGACATTGACGAATCGGAATTAATCCTCATATGTCGTTGGGCAGAGATATCACTTCAAAATTACCGGACTATGCTGAAACGATAAACAAGCTTTGAGGCCCGATTGATAGTGTGCGACACTACGTCTGTCGATCAATTGTCTTTCAGGCTGAATCATGACATAATACCCCGTGCTTACACCGCTTTTAATCCAATTCTTCGGCCCCAGATTTCCAATGCGCCACTGGAATCAACAGCCAACTTTTCCGACATATCAGTCTCATTTATTGGATATAAAGATGAATGCATCGACTAAGAGCCCAGAACGCATCGCTGAGCTCCGACAGAGTGAGGTACCGGTCCCATGGTGTGATGAATTTGAGAAGATGATAAGTGGCATGAAGTTAGTCTCGTACACTTCTCCGAGATTACTATCTGACTTGTAACATCTAGCTTCAACACGGGGAATTCGCAAGAGATGATGGATTACAAATTAGCTACAAAGAAGAAACTACTCTCTTTTAACGATGAGAGTATTCCTCAAGGCAGCACCCTCGCGTCATTAAAATTAAGACGCATGGCAGTAGCAAAAGAAATGTTCGGCAAACTAGGCCAAGGCGTCACCATTGAGCCACCCTTCTTTCTCCTCTGGGGCTGCAACATATTCATCGGAAATGGCGTCTACATGAACAGAGAGTAAGCCCTCATAACCCCCACAAACCCCCATCTTGCTCAGAACTACACAGGGTATCTATCCACGACAACGCGCTTGTTACTATAGGCGATGGCGTACTCATAGGACCTGGGGTCTGTATCTGTCCCGGAACTCACGCTGCAGACATGCAAAGTCGGAGAGAAGCGCAGGGAACATCGTTTGCGCTACCGATTCGTATAGAGGCGGATTGTTGGATAGGAGCTCGGGCTACGGTATTACCGGGTGTTACTATAGGGAGAGGAGCGACTGTTGCGGCGGGGGCGGTTGTGATTAAGGATGTTGAGGCGGAGACGTTGGTGGGAGGAGTCCCGGCAAGATTTATTCGGAGTTTGAAGAGTGAGACAACATGAGAAGCTACGTATTGGCAGATTTCGCTTTAAGGGTCAGGCTATTGCTTACAAGAGAACGTGTCAAAAGAAACCGATCGCATTGATATCACAATCCTGTCTTGACTTGACCTAACGCCATGCTTAGCTGAGTCCGCCGTCAACCTCCTTCACTCACGGACTATGCACCCGCCACAGCACCCGCAACCTCCCCAACAACCTCATCAATAATCCCCTTCAACTGGCTCGACACCACCGCCGAAAACAACACCATGACCACAAAGAACTCATCCCCCGTTACATAAACACTAACCTCCTTCTCCCCAAACCTCTTCCAGCCCGCACTCCCATACTTGGCAACCTTCCTCCCACTCTGATCATACAGCTCAAACCCCGTACCAGTCATCTGATTAACCTTCCACTTGAATTTCCCCATGTGTGTATAAAAACCCCAACTGCCCGTCATGCTGCTGTTCTTAATCACCATTGGTTGGTTGAACACTGATACGTCGATGCGTGATGTGCTGAGATGCATTGTCGCTGATGCTATTATGTTTTCGGGGGCTGCGTGGCCGCGGTGCATTAGGAGCGTTGAGCTGCTGGGGCGTTTGTAGATTGTGTACAAGGGAGGGGATTCTTTTGGGGCGTTGGAGGGGAGGATGGAGAGGAGGTTGCCGTCTTGGGGGTGTGGACGGATGGTGAAGACTTGGGAGCCATTGGAAGAGGAGCCTTGGGGGCTAGATGATCCGTATAAGACTTTGTTGAGTAGTTTCTCCATGAGGGCGGTGATGATTGGTTTCTGTTGACTGTTGTTTTCTTCACCTGGGAAGCTGAACAGACCAAGAAGGTCGGTGAGGAGTCTGTGGTTATTTATGTCTGTTTTGCTGAGTGACGTACGTCGATAATATAAGCTCATGTCATTTCCCGTAAAGGGAACTATGCTGCGACAGCGGTTGGAATCAGCATGTTAGTGCACAGCCTTGTTGGTGGCAAGTCAAGATGATTGGTCGGTTCGTTCAAGCGGTGGTTTTACGTGCATGAAATTCCGACGCGGAACTGAGACAAATAACTACGATTCCGCTGTCATCATGCATGTTTTGGCAATACATTTAGATCATTACATAACTAGAGTTAGACTTGTTAAGTTTCAAAGTTAATGAACAAAATCAAATATCTACTGCTTATATAAATCCCCGATCCAGTCCGCAATCATTGCCACCATCTCCTTGGTACAGCTATGGCCCGTATTATCTTGTATGAAAATCCTAGCCTTGCTTTTTGCCGCAAACTCCCCATTCATCGCCATCTTCCTCCTCTCAAGCCAAGACTCAGAAAGACCTGCTGGCACAAGCGTATCATACTTGCCATTGCACATCAGCAACGGAACCGTCCTGGGGAACTCATCTCTGGCCTTCCTATCACCTTCTCTCACCAATTCTGCAAGAGCCCGTGGCCATCTTCGTCGCTGCTCCTCACTCATGACTTTCTCTAGCTCATCATACGGGACCTTATCAAGCTCGTCTTGATCGACTCCAAGAGAGGCTGCGTCGAGGCCGAGTCGGGAGAGGAGAAGAGAGGTTAGATTGGGGCAGCCGACCACGATTGCAAATGCTTCGAATTGACCGGGTGCTACTGAGGCCATGCGCCAGGCTGTATGGCCTCCTAGTGATACACCTAACATGATATTGTGAAAGTTGCGAAATCGAGGCAAATATGCTGGCAAATAGTCCAGGATGAGCTTGAAATCCTGAGCGGACCCTGATATCATGGACATCAAATCTATTCTAAGCGCAGACTGTTAAACGAATCCTTTAACTTGTTGAACGGATAAGTAGACGAATAAAATTCGTGCCTTTCACTTACCCATGATTCTTATTACCACTCGACCAAGTCTCATTCGCTCGTTGATCGATCTGGAGTCTGTTTAGTAGATACCCAAAGTAGATCCATACATCACAACTTCGTACCTCTCGATCACCATGGTTTCTCATGTTCATTGTCACCGCAATCATGGGCATCCTCTTCCGTCTTCCATCCGTCCTGTACATGTGTAAGATCTCATGAGCAATGCCCTCAGTGACGAGGTACGTTCTTGTTCGGTTGTGAGCAAGATACAAGACAGCGATGTCATCTCTAGGCAAGTCATCCAAATCCTCGAGTCCGTACAGGTAGATCTGAACGCCACCCACTACAAGGGATGATTTGCTGGAGCGCGGAGTGGTAAGTGGTAGTGAAAACCGCGGCTCCAGTCCACCATGTGCAGCAGGTGATCGTGTAGGCATGTTGTGCTCTGATCGTAGAATAGGTTATTTGACCGGCGACAGGGCGGGAAATGGGTGTAGTTGGATGGCATAGACCAGGGACAGGAAATCTGACATCAAACTGCCCATATGTAATCCGTGAGGCTTGTTGTGCAAACCAACGGCAGCGGCAGTAATATTGCTTATAGGCGATGAGGCCGAGAACCGGAAAACCGGCACAAAAGGTCATGCTAGGGCCTTTTGATTTTGATTTTTTACCGGCGTCAGCATCATTCGGTGAATTGTTTTCGGCTACTTTTTAGTCCTGTTCAAGCGTTCTCGTATTCCTATCAGATAATAATTCATAATTTGTGCCGAGAGCATGAATGCCGCTGATGCAAGAGGGTGAGTAAAGTCCAACTTATCCCTGCATACTCCTTAGTTTGGTCAAGATTTACCGCATGTGTGAGCCTAGAAAGATGGTGTACAATTTCGGCAAATTCGGTAAATTCATTAAATACGGATGTGTAAGCGGGCTTCAACGATCTGCTCCCCACTGGACACGCTTTGATGGCATTCCAGCCGTCTGGGCTCGTCTGTAGAGGTTAGAGAATGATCTATTTCAAACTTGGAGCACGTGGAGCGAGGACTAATTACGCATGTGAGATGCTCGCATGCTCAATGTAAATACACGTATTATTCCATGTTTTTGCTTTTCGCAATCTTGTTCTTGAGTTCCAATACCCGCCAAACTAGTATTCTATTCAGTGTCTTTGTCGAAGGGTAGCATCCCTAGAATCTCTCAAATAATGAAGTCGTTTAACTTTATGCTTCTCTCAGCGTTGTCCGCCTGTATCGAGGCCGGACTGGCCCATGGACGTTGTCGAGACTTGCCCTCAGGCCAATCCCCGGGCCATGTCTCCAACGTCAGCATCACCAGTAGCGGCAAGGAACGCAGTTTTCTCGTTTTCATTCCACCAGGATACAGCGAAGACAAACCAACACCTGCCATCTTTTCCTACCATGGGGGCGTCAGAGACGCAGAAGACCAGCTGCAGCTCGATCAGCTTACCAGCCCGGACTTCAACTCAGGATCACTTGTCATCTATCCTCAGGGTATTCAAGTAAGATCTCACCAGAAGATTACCCAGAGACTACAGAATATATACTAATACTCCATTAGGACACATGGCAAGGTGTTCCCGGTGTCAAGACAGACGATGTCAAATTCACCGCAGATATCCTAGATTACATCGAGTCTCATTACGCGGTAGACAAAAGTCGCATTTATGCTACAGGAAAGTCTGACGGCGGTGGCTTCAACAACGTCCTAGCTTGTGACGCTGCCATGTCTCTCCGCTTTGCAGCGTTCGCACCCGTATCGGGAGCCTTCTACATCGACACTTCACCATGCGATCCAGATACAGTCTCTATTCCATGCAATGCACAACGCGATAATATACCCTTCATAGAGTTCCACGGTGGTAACGACACAACCATCCACTATGACGGCGGAGCGCGTAAGAAGGAGTGCTTACCTGGTATCCCGCATTTCATTCAGCAATGGGCTTTGCGCGACCATCTCGGGGACAGCAACCGAGAAAGTCACATCGCACCCAACACGGTTCGTTACCGTTTTGGCAGTGGCTCGACGGAGGGTTTGGTTGAGCACTATTATGAGTCGGATATCGGCCATGATTGGCCAAGCACGGTGCCAAACGACGACAATCAGCGCTCTGGCCACCATGTTGCCAGCTACAACGCCACACCTATCATCGTCGATTTCTTCTTGCGGCATTCCTTGTGATTCGGTCTATAACTGAGTGGCTTGAAACTGCCTTTATCAGGTTCAGGTCATCTGCACTCATTCATGTATAGCCAAGATAGCTGAGATAATCCATGAACCTAGGAAGCTGCATGGTGTGAGGTGGACGGGAGATTCTTTTAGCTTATTAAATTCTGTTGCAAAAACTTGAGTAAAGCTGCAAGACTCACGCTGAATAGAATTCCGAGTAGTTGGGAGAAGAGTATGTGCCAAACGGACAATATGGTGGGCCAATTATACATACATACGCATCTCGGTGAACGAAACAACATGGCCAGTAACAAATAGATAAGGGTAGCTTGAACTAGTCTGCGGCATCGCTGTAAAATAAGCGAGACTGCGAATTAGGCTGCACCGAGTCTACCTAGAATGGAATATTGTAATACAACACGTCATCTACCGGCTCACTCGCCATTGACGACACGCGTTGGCCGTGTACACCGGCATCGGAATTGGAGAAGAAGTGCTGGAAGACATCTTCAGATAGTGAAAAGCCGGGACTAAGGAGCTGGTCCAAGTTGCTAAATTGCGGCGAAACCGAGTACCACAGCTGTTCAGTATCTTGGGGCATTACATTCAAGTCTGTCATTAGAAGGCCGTCTGCCTGGCACTGATTGTCCATCGAAGTATGGGCCTGAGGCTCCACTAGACCCGTGTTGGTGCTTTGCTGGGCCGAAGCTGCTAAATGTGGCTCAGGATCCGAAAGATCAGATGAGCTCGATTGTGAGGCTCTTGTCTTGTCCAGGATCTTTTGAGCCCGATCAAATAACTTGTACATTACATCGGCGCTCCAATATGTCACTCTGAGGTTGGAGAGCACAAGCGTGCATAACTGCATTTTATGGGTTGCAAGAGCACGTATCAGAGCCTTGGTCGATTTGCAGTCCGACAGGTGAATCTGCATGGCGGGGATGATGGCGGTGATTCTGCAGAGCGAGCGAGGAATATGTCAGAGTAATAGTCAGCGAACGGTTACATGGCAACATACATCATTGGTTTCAAGTACTCTATAGCGTCAAGCTCTATGAGCCTCTGTAATAGGGCATTTGTATTTGCCGCAGCATCACGAGCACGGCGCAAAGCCACTTTGTGCCAGTCTAGAGGCGTCCCTGTAGGCGGAGGCGCAGACTCATTAAGCGCATACGGCCGGTACAGAATCACAACCGTCGCTCTACTTATCTATTAGCGCTTGAACTAACTAGATAACATCATGTAGGAAGGGAATGACGGACTGATAAAACAAGTCGATCTGGTACGCGTGAATGCTAAGAGTATCGCACCACTCACCCATAATCCCGGAGTTTGTGGCTGACAATGATTCGATTTGCTGAGCATACTTGTCAATATCATCCACGGTTGGGTCTGGTCCGCTCACGCGATAATGGAGTCGAAGTATACCGCCGAGAACGTCGCTGATACGGACGAGTCGGAGCCAGAGACTCGTCAAGGCCGCAGAGTCAGCCGGAATAAACCGTCTCTTTGCCTCATCGGCGACACATTCCAGTTCTTGGAGGACATCTTGGGAGGTAGGAAATGGGAGGTCGCAGTCCTCACTATGGATTCGCATGGGGCGCCCCTTGGCTAACGAGACCCAGCGATCTCTGACCACACACGACCACCAGATACGGCGCCTCAATGCTTGTTCCTGAGGATGTATCTGTCGGGCGCGAGTACTGGATCGAGGGTTTCGGTGGAGACCGATGCCTTGTGCTAGGGATATGGCAATACCAATCCAGTACCATGCTCCTGTGTGGTCCTGCGGGTCTGTGTACCAGAAGCTTAACAACATAACTGACTGGATCAGTTTCAGCTTCTCAGTAGCTCGATCGAGGTCATATAGGCACTGAAGAGACTCCTTAGTAGCGGCTCACGACGCCTCCAACGAACTAGAACTGCGTCACTGACCTTGGCGCGTTCATACATGGCAGTCTTCATAGCTTTCCGGGATGGAAAGTCGAATCGTCTCAGAAGGTCGGCATCTGCAAACTACAGTAAGTCAGATCTGAGTGTCATTCTCCCAAAATTGAGCATTCGAAACTTACATTTGTTGCTGCCAACATCATACTCCAAAACAGAAGATCGTGCTTTTTGTGCGGCCCCTGTCCGTGATAATCATTGAGAAAGCCTTCAGCATCCACTATCGGTAGGAAGAAGTGGACATGCTTAAAGTAGGTCCAGATCATGTCATCGCAGGCATCTGCAGGCAATGTGGTCAAGACTCCTTCTGAGCGCATGTATTCCACTTGATGTGGCTTGTGCAAAGTATGGAGGGCACCTTTCGGCGGCTGGTATGGTAGGGAGTCCTGTGGAGAGACTGCGTCACAGATATCGTACACGGTACAGCGCGGTCCACGTTTATCTCCTGTAAGTGACGAGGTGAGCTGATGAATGTCTTCGCAGCGATTTGAATGACCTTACCTAGATATGTATCTGGGCTATCATCAGGCAATTTGGGGTCATCCCCCACCCCTTTCTCATGGTTATCTTCGCTTCTGGTCAAACTGTTTACCGGTCTGGATTGCAAGGCAACGCTCGACTCCTCAAATGTGGAACGTGTATTGTATCCAGCATCTCGTGTTGCAGAATGGTGAGAAGCCTCGTCTGTTGACAAGGCTAGTAGACATACAATCACAGGATCGAGAGGCTGGGTACCCACCTCTGTCTGGAGAAGAAGTCGACTTGGTATGTGGTTGACGAGGTCTAGTATTAGCATCTAGTGCACCGTCAGCCGTATGCATCAGCCCCGTGAGCGAGGATGAGTCGTTTTTACCGATATTTCTTGCGCGGGAGGACTATGCAGTCTTCGCCGCCACGCTGGCAGTTGGAACAGGGAGGGCTGGTTCCAGCGACATCGCACTTGACCTTTCGCTTATTGCAGGCCTGACAGGCAACTCGCGAGCGAATTCGTTGAATGCCAGATCGTGCCGAGAGTGGCATACTGCTGTCATGGTCGCGCGATGTATCCCCGGGCAGAATTCGTTCGGTCAATGTTCTTTTGTCGGCAGACTGAGTGCCAGTAGCATCGGCAAAAAGATTCACAAGAAGGAGAGAATTGCGAGGGGGGATCATTTCTAATTTGCCGTTCTTCTCGGTTGAAATAATACCAGGCCAAAAGAAGGTAGTCAGCTAACGTTAGTACGAAGTCAGCATGGTCATCCATCACAGGTCATCACAGTCCCCGCTTACAGAATTCCAGACTACTCCGTAACAGATCCGAGACCCGCTAGGTACGATTATTGACATCATCAGCATGGCTCTCGGTAAATTCGGCAACAATCCCTTGCATTCTGGAATCAGCAGAAACCACGTACCTAGTTAGTAACCCAGACTAACTTAGCAGAGGCTACTCACGCTTCACATCTGGCATTTCCCCAGAAAAGCGAAGATTTGGGTTTCCCCGCAGAGAGCCAAAGCTTCTCCAGGATGACACAGTCAACGTCCGTATGCTTGTACTATGTACAGCATTGCAACGCCAGGCTTTGTTACCGAATTGCCGTTTTCTTCAGCGACTTCAAGTGAGCTATAAGAACATCCACATGTACGTTCATTAGCAGGACCATTTTCAACACTCCAAGCCCAGACCAACACTATTACCCTGCCAAAAATGAGTTCAGCCGACATTACAGTCCAACAGTCCAAGGCTCACCTTGCTGGCGATGTTGAGAGGGTTGAAGACATTGATGGCAAGACTGCCACGACGTCTCCCTTTACACTTGAGGAAGAGAAGAAGTATCTCCGGAAGATCGACCTCTGGTAAGAAAGAAAGAGCAATCTCCTTTTTGACTCGTGACTTCTTTTCTGCGGGCCATTCGTTGCTGACAAGTTGCACAAAGGATCGTCCCCCTCATGATGATGACCTACACTCTCCAAAGTTATGATAAGGGCGTCATGAGCGCCGCCACGCAATTTGGCTTCAGCCAAGACCTGAAGCTGACAACCATCATTGGCCACGAGAAGGACGGCACTCCCATCACGGACAACCAGAAGTACGCCAACGCCTCCATGATGTTCTACATTGGCTACTTGATCGGCACCTACCCAATGATGTACCTAACGCAGCGCTTCTCCATCTCTCGTGTTGTTGCCTCTGCGACCTTGTTGTGGGGAGCTGTGCTCATGTCTACTGCCGCATGCTACAACTACCCGGGCATCATGGTCAACCGACTATTCCTCGGTATTCTGGAGTCAGCCGTCGCTCCATCTTTCACCGTGCTGGTCACCTTCTGGTGGACTCGGGAGGAGCAGGCTCTGCGAACATCGCTCTGGTATGCCTGCGTTCGGAGTTGCAACCATGGTCTCGCCCCTCATAAATTACGGTCTTGGCCAAACACATGGATCTCTTCCTTCCTGGAAGCCCATGTTTCTCATTCTCGGCGCCGTTACTATCTTGTGGTCCGCTGTTCTATTCTTTTGCCTCCCTGACAACCCGATGACATCCAAGCGCTTGACCGACGCCGAGAAAGAGATGGCAAAGTATCGCCTCCGGAGAAACAATGCTGGAGCCATCAGCCACGAATTCAACAAGGCTCAGTTCTTCGAGGCCTTTCGTGACTACAAGGTCTATAGCAGCGCTCTCATTGTTATGCTCACCGGTGTGCCATCTGGCGCCCTCGGAACCTTTGGCACCATGGTCATCAATGGCTTTGGTTTCAATCACTTCGATTCTCTGGCTTTGACATGCCCTATTGGTGCCGTCACTGCCCTTACCATTCTCATTGTTGGTGCTATCACCCGCAGGTGGCGCAATACCCGATACCTATGCATCGTTGTCTGCGCCTCTATCTCGATCGGCGGAACTCTGATCTGCTGGCTGGGACCAAGGGATAATAAAGGTCACTTATTTGCAGGGATCTTCCTCGTTGCCATTCAAGTCGCCTCCGGTGGTCTGGCCATTGGTCTGTCGGCATCCAATATTTCAGGCCACACCAGTAAGTCTCCCCATCTCATATCGTGCAGAAGGACACCTTATTCTAACACAATCTGCAGAAAAGTCAACTGCTAGTGCTTCGACCTTTGTTGGATACTGTGTTGGAAACGTCATCGGCCCTGTCATCTTTGGCGCATCTCCTGGCCCCAGATATCGTGCAGGGTTTACTGGTGGCTGTATCTGCCTATGTGGCGTGGTTGTCATTGCCACGGCTACATGCTTTTTGCTGCGCAGAGAGAACATGAATAGGGACAAGAGAACCGGCCGTCATTCAGATATTCTGCATGATGTTGACGAGGATCTTACGGATATGGAGAAGATGGATTTCAGATACGTCTTGTAAAGGTAGCTTTCCTAGGGTCTAAATCTTTCCATTGTTCTTTCTCACTCTTGTTATCGGGTCAAAAGCAGCTGTGAGCGAGGTGTTACTCTGATGAAAGACATCCACTCAAAGGTCTCATTTCAGTCTATAATTAGGAGCTTGCCTGATATAGTAATTAAAACTAACAGAGAGGTAAGAGATCTTCACTGCAGCTTATCGTACAAGGCTGAGCGAGTCTCCTAGATGCGCTGATCTCGGGATAATAAAGGCCTGTATGCCTTGGATCAACAACCCTCAACCATCTGATTCGTCAAGAGAATAAATAAGCAAACTTAGATTTATTGAAACTCGGAGAGAACGAGCCAATCATCTACAATAGTTTAATTTCAGTCAATTGCTTCTTTTCTCAAAACATGCAAATCTCGTGGCTCATCCATGCTTACTATTCCAAATCAGGCAAAATGGCGCGCTCCGTCATCGTTCAAGTGGAGACAAAAACATGTGAGATCCATTTCCAAGGCTGAGACGCAGCCAAGCTTACATCTCGACCTCCTCAACGAGCCTTTAACTATCTCGGGCATTCCAGCTCGCCTTTCTTGGTCCCTATCAATCTTGTCTCTTTTTGGTGAGATATACCGCTCTGATCAACAATGCCTGGCGTTCCATCTTACAAAGGCTGCGATGCGTGCCGAAAGCAGAAGAAAAAGGTAAGTCAGCTCGATATCTGGGTTGGAGAATTATTGAGTTAATGAGTGGATAGTGTGATAAAGCTCAGCCCAAGTGTGCGAGGTGTGAAAGGCTTGATATTCCGTGCATCAACGTGGGCAAACAGCGGTATAAGTTCAAAGTCCAGACGCTCGAGCCGGGAGACAGTATAAGTCTTCAGAGCATCGATACAGAAGATGATACCACGACTTCAAGTTCGCGGTCTTCAAAATCGCCTCTTTCCTTCACCCAAGCGCTGATAAAAGTTCCTTACAACAAAACAACCATGGTCACTCAAACGCTTGTCTCACGGTTAGAGATTACAGATCTGCGATATGACATCACCTGCTACGGAGACTTTCTTCGGCATATTCCCGCGCGGTTGGGAAGAAACGAAGCTCTTGATGCTTCAGCTGAAGCGTTGGCTACGACTTTTTCGACATTGCATCGACCGCAAGGATATCAGACTGTTGATGCGCTTACGAAATATGTCAAAGCGATAAGTTCGTTGAGATTATGCTTGGAGGATCCTGCGAAGGCGAGAATGCCTGAGACTATGTGCTCGGTGTATTTGATTATGATCTGTCAGGTGAGTGAACTCTAGTTTGAGTTTTCGTCAAGACTGACAATTTTAGGGCTGGCTGGGAAGAGATGATGATCCGACTACGAGTCATGGTCAAGGTTTGGCATATCTTCTCAAAGCAGCAGCGCGAGAGAACTGGAAAGCCGGGTTCGAAACAGACATGCTGTTGACATTCTGTGTCCCAGTCGTATGTCACCATTGGAGCCTTCTCGCCTCCATGTCACAAGGTCTCGTGACTAATATTCTCAGATCATAGAAAGCATCTCAAACCCCAAGGTCAGACTAGAAAAATGGTTCTGGGACATGCTCGACAACTTCAAAAAGAACAACCCCCCCTCAACGCCCGAAAGCGCAAAGGCACAGCAAGAAGGCAAGGACGCAGGCGGCATCCCTAGTCTATCTATCCGAAATCTAGGCCGACTCCCAGACTTCATCAACGACCCTGAACTCCACCGCATGGAAATAACATGCGCATACCACCGACTCTGCCGCGATCTACGCAAACTCTCGGAGATCGTCAAAGCAGTAACATGGGCGCCCGGCTTCTCCCCAACGCCCATGCAACTCCGCCTCTCCCGCTCCTACAACTCAGCCTACTCCGTCCTCCTAACCGTCCTCGTAATAATCGGCCAACTCATGCAAGCCTTTGATCCGTACAACCTCGCTCTCGTCGGCGAAGCAGCACTATGTTCTTCAGAAGTCGTGTCCCTCGCGCATAGGATAAGTCAGTACAGACCGCTGGGCGCAAGCCATGTTCCGTTGACACTGGCTATTGCGTGGGCTGCTACGGAGGAGCCGGGGATGAAGAGACAGCTGGAGGAGACGTTGGAGGAGTATCAGCAGGACTGGACTGTGACGCAGTGGATGAAGGTTGGGTATTGGTGGACGGACAAGTTTGCGGAGTTGAGGGGGAGGTTGGCGCCGAGGGTGTCGCAGGAGAAGGAGGAGATGTTGATTAGGAGGGGGGAGAGGGTGGCGCTGAAGGGGAAGCAGCCTGCTGATGAGTGTTGTATCATGTAGAAGCTGGTCGTGTCAACTCACGAATAGGATTAGTTAAGAAGAGAGCAGGTCCTTTCTTCTCCAAGAACACGCGAAACATCTATTCAGCGTTCACAGTGAGTGGTAAGTCAGCCAGATGGAAAAGGGTCGAAATGAACATCGGTCCAGCAGATGTGTCACGAGCCGCATATCGGGGAATACACACAGGACCATCTTCATGTCCAGAATACTCACCCGGAGGCACTGTCGAAGAACCACGCTATCTATTGTACTAGCCCGGGGTTATCTGTAACGAGTGAAACAGCCTGCGGTTAAGGTTATCCGACACCCTCCTGTATATCACAATTAGTTGAGTGCACTTGTTGCTTTCTGGGGTCTAACCCATGAGTAACTCACATCTGGCGAAGAAAGGTGGTCAATAGTGCTAGATAATACTCTTATCGAGTGGCCACCAAGCGAGGCCATCACATGAGAGCAACAGCACTGATAGCGGCGAACAGATCTAAAACCGACAGCCTATCGCTCGAGTTAGACGCCAACAGCTATCAATCAATAAGCACGTGTTCACGGACGGTTATCTGAACTACCCCCGGGCCGACAACCTGTCAGTTCGAAATCAGACCAACTCCACCACTTCAAGAGCCCCCTTTCCATCCGGATCCGCAACATTTTATCCCAATCTCAACTAGCCACCCCACAGATACACATAGTCGCGAACGAGCCTAGCGTTCTGAAGCGGCGGTTCTATTCATCCATGATCCATCCACCAAAGAGCACGCCGATCAACGGAATTGTGCCGGGGATGCGGGCATCAAAGCTTACCCGTTTGAGGAGTGCGGAATCAACGCATTGACAACTCGTTCGAAGCTATGCTTTGTTGGTGTAAGTCAGGTTTGGGGGACCTGACTCGTTTAGCCTTGGCACGTCAAAGATGTCATACGACAAGAGCGGTAGGCTAAGCCCAAGACAGGCTGCTTAGGCTTAGCATGAGAACCCCTCAAACGTGCACTGAAGCATGGCTGGAAGAAGAATAGTTGTGATGAAAGCTTGTTGATATCGCTTCTGGTGCTATAGGCACGATTCTATCTATACGGGCAAATTATACATCGCTGGGTGTTCTGATCCAGGCGTCTTTACCCAAATCATCAAACATTAATAAACAAAAAATGACACAAAATGGTCGCCCATCAAATCTATACTCCGTGATAGACCTTGACAACACCGGCAGCCGATCGTTCAGAGTTAGTCTCTACATCGTCGGTCCGTATGCTATCCTTGCTATGGCTCATCAACTCATCAGGGATGCACCCCACGGGCCCTCTCCTATCCTCGGGACCAGCATCTTCACTCGTGATCTGAATCTCATGCTTGGCGTAGATCTTGAGCGGTAGAGCGTATGTGCCGTTGATCTCTTCCTCGCTGTCGACCTGGTGCAGGTTATGCTCCGCGCGGACCTGAGACCGCACGACGGAGCGGTGGTTGGTGAAGTTTGAGCGGTATGCTTTGGAGGGGTTGTTTGTGCTCTTGCCGTACGTCGAGCCGCTGAAGGAGCCGAGCTTGAAGATGCGGCGGAGGAGGGTCCAGATGTAGGGAAGATTGGCGGTGATGATGGCGGTGGAGGACTCGCGGATGTACCAGAATGTCCAGTTGGAGCCGAAGGGTTCGTTGAAACTGTAGAACTTGTTGAGGATGGCGGAGAGGATCTGTGCGGTGTTAGGTCTGGGTTTCAGGTGGGTTCATGTGAGGTTAGAAGCTTACAGTGAAGGAACCCAATGCAAAAACGCCAACGAGGACAGCCTTACGCTTCAGTGGGAGCTGAGACTTGAGAAAGATTGGCATTGGGATGAGAATGATCATAATATCGGATGTGATGTTGATGACGGCGTTGGTGATGAGATGGTTTGTCGCAGCAGAACATTGCGCTACGACCGTTAGCATGATTCAATTGAGCATTGATGCGACATACTGTTCTTTGGAGGAACAGCCCAGTACTGGTTAAATGGGCGACACCAAACACCAAGGTACAAGATCTCCATGATGACGAGACCAGCAGTGACATAGGCGGCGACAAACTTGACAGCCAAGTTCTGACTCAAGCTCATTCTGCGACTGTTAGAACCGTAATTGGGCATCGGGACAAGGCGACGTACGTGAGGCGGTTGTACATGAGCAGCAGGCAGTACTTCATGAGCCAAATAGTGGTAATCTGCATCTGTTCGACGACCAGGACCCATTTCGACCCGTACTCTCTCGTTTTGATCTCTTGTGCATCGAGGACGACGTGTTCGCTGGGATCGATGAGGTTACTACTCGTTTGCGAAATAATCGACATTCCGATCATTAACACGGTGTCGGTAAACTGTAACATTAAAAAACGATTAGACAAGTTACGCTGGAATTGTTGGTGGTGGTGACGTACCATTGCTACTATCATCAAGTAGTCCTCGACTTGTAGCTTCTTGACTGAACCCAGTAACATCCGTCGTGATATCCTACACAAGGGTCAGTCAGCTTCAAACCCAATTGATCCTTTGTGAAAATGCCATGTCTTACATTCTCGCAATGACAATTAACCACGATAGACTATACCAAGTCCATATCTCAGCCTCAAACGCCGTCATTTTGTCGGTCGCACGTAATTAATCCGTCTACAAATCGGCTTCTTTTCGCGGGGGGATCGAACGGCGGACGGGTGATTTCGTAGCGTGGGTGCAGTGTCAATTCGACGTGGAAG